TCAGACTTGTGCATTTCTTCGATGTGTGGTCTAACAATATACGAGTATAACACATCCGAGGCCAGCGCAACTGGAAATTTTTCTCCGATCTACCTTTTCATGATCGATTAGGCACTTAATGAAATGAACTTATGAACACGACATTTAATATCGCAATAATTGTTAAGACAAATTTAAACACGGTTTAGTTGTACTTTCGTTTGAAATTTACTTGTAGAATCTTAGTTACAGTAGGTTCAAAGAAAAAACTATAACAAAGTGAATGTGTCATCAAAATATTTATGGATATGGATAGCCTACACATAAATGAATGCAATGTAAATTTTGCAATAATAAAAAAACAATGTCAATCCAATCAATAATGTGTCTGATGTGTATCGTCAGTGGGAGGAATTAAATAACGACTCACAAACCAGGTGGGCTACTCCATCAGTATGCAAAATCTGGTTGATACAATGGCCTAATATCCAGACAAAAACCTGACTACATCCACAGTCCCAGATCTCGACATTCCTAACTAAAAAGTAACTAACGCTCCTGGCCAGTTTAGTTCAATTTATAAATATTTGCGGTGTGAATTCTTACTTTCGGAAATTTCGGTTTTAACAATGACCAGATTTTTGTTAACACCGCACCGAAGGCGGATATCTAAAAGATACATCTTACATAGTTATTCACTAAAGGGATGTTTAAGTGGAGATATAATTGAGAGTGCACAGTTAATCACAGTTATCAAGAAAGGTATGCAGACAGGTACAGGTTCTTTGCATTAGCGTTTCGTTCCGACCAGGTAGATGTAGATAATAAGCGAGCAGCGATTATAATCATAAAGCAAACGAACAACCGATATTTCGTCGCATGTATTATTTATAAATTTGTAGAAAATCAGTAATTATCTACTTAACATTCTTACAATAAGTGTACTTAATTAGTTAAAATGTTTATGGTAATTTTTTCAAGGGAAAGAAACTAAAGTGTGCAGGGTTTGAATTAAAGCATATAATAATCGTTGCCCATTTCTTTCGGTTACCGGGCATATCATGATTCCCGAAATAGCCATTTGGTTTAATAGCGTTGCCGCCCACATGTGAAGCACTGGAAGAGCTACTATACATCAATTATTGTGCATGATTGTGACTTTATGCATATTATACAGTGTGCAAAATGGGCGATAGTAAGCGGGGACCTTTTTCAAGGGTTAAATTGTTTTTCTTGAAGAGCATGTCCCCAAAACGTCCCAATTATGCCAAATGATTGATCTTGATATCAATGATATCGAGGAGCGAGTTAAATAATATTTAATCGTTGATATATTATGTGATTTACCTATATGTTACCTATTTTGGGTGCTTTGCGAGACGCCAATTCACTGATAACAGAGTCAAAATATATACTATTATCAGTTTGTACCTATTTTAAAATTTTTATCGTGTGGAGCGGGAAGAGTGCAGAGAAAGAGACTCGTAAAATAAGACTATTGGATGGACTTCAAAAGATAAAATATACTTATTGAATCTTGAAACAGACATAAGCCTGTTGAGACTTCTGTTTGTTCTGGATAATGGTAAGTTCGTCTTTGTCGTTGTAATCAGAGGCATGCTACACAAAGTTCAGCTTCGGTACGGTAACCATCAACACGGGAAAAGTAACCAATGCTAATTTGTCCTCAACTCACTCAACTTCTGACGTTATTTAAATCAGGGCTCTCCAGAACATGTTGTCCTTGATGTTGTCTAAATCTAAAGATAAGTACTCACATACCCGCATCGGCAAAGCGTGGCTGCGCGCGTGGGGTGTGTGTGCTTGTGCTTTTGCTTCCGCTTCCGCTTCTTCTGCTTCTGGTTGTGCCTGTGCTTGTGCTTGAGCTGAGCTTGTGCTTTCGCTTCTGCTTGCTTGCTGAAACAAAAACATTCAAATTCTCGAAAATCCCTGAAAATCTTTTAAACTCGTTTTAACTCCAAATTCAATGAATTCTTTGAATTGTTTGAATTCCTTGAATTTTTTTAATTCCATGAATTTCCTGAATTCCTTGTATTTCTTGAATTCTTCGGATTCCTTGAATTCCCTACAACCCTCTGAAACTGTAAATCCGGAAACTACATTCTTGCAGCCATGTACAGTTCTACGTAGGCTTTTGAGTCACCCCATGAATTCGAAATTCTAGAAAAGGCCTTTAATTCCCTAAATGACTGTACCAGTGGATTCACATGTAGGTAGAATCCTGAAATGGTCCCAAGAATCGAGGTGCTAATTTAGCGGAATAATCTCGAATCGAATCTGAAATGGTTTTGTTCTTTCCCTAACTTTTTTGGTCAATGTCATAAGTCGTCGTCGCACGTCATAAGCACATTTATTACGGTCATGGGGAACTTTGAGACGGTCTACTATTTTGGTTGGTATTAGGGTTTCTGTTGGTGCCGTAATCGAGTTTCTAGTATATCAAGTGGCTCCCCAATGACGTCAATATCAGAATTATCATCAACTATGTAATATTTGTTTGTGCACCCAAAACATGGCCGCCTACAGTTCATTGGCGTAATGTGAAAGCAGCATCCGTAGATGCATATTGTAAATTAATTACATACAAACGTATTTGAACAAATGGAAATTGTGCACAACTCTTTTGCACGAGACGACAAATGAACCGATAGGTTATAAATTTATACATATATTCTCTGTTCATTATAATATTATACAATAAGTACAATATGAAGGTACGCCACTGGCCAAGAAACGTAATAAACAAAAAGTAAGCAGTTTTTGTGCACCAAGAATATGGTCGCCACAGCTACAACGCGCAGCATTGCTCTTGGTAGGATATTATCATCTCCTTTATTTTATTGGCTAAGGTCAGGAGAGGCGAGATCTAGAAAACAACTTTCGTGCCGTGGTGCACACAATATTTTTATCCTATACACTTACATTTAAAATGATGCCCGTATGCTTAGATTTACGTGTACCTATTGTTTTCCCTATGTCTACTTTTAAATGAAAATCACTTCTGAAAGGCGCCTAATTTTATGCAACCAAAATAGCTTCACAGGAAATAACTACTTCTTAATAAATATCACTATATTCCGTAGATATAGGCACAATGTACGTGTGAGAGATAGCCAACTGAGTTGACATTCCCGGTACGTGATATTTCATTAGAATCTAAGGAAATATTAGAACATATAAATGGGTTTACGGTGTTGCACTTCATGCCAAATTGGATTTATACTTGACTTGGTGACAAAATCACACCGGTCTGACCGGTCAAATTTTAAATCCTTGGCAGAGTCCATGTCTTGACAAATGTTGGATATTTACATGTGTTTTAAGGCTGAATTTATATGTTTGGTGACGAAAGCGCACTGGGACCGCTTTAAATCCTTGTTGATCTTCTTGTACGTTAATAAATCTGTTTTATAATTATAATCTGTTCACCCAACAGATGCAGTTAAGCCACTCCCAATAAATATTGGCCAATGTAATAACAGACCCGTTTCACAGTCACAAAATTATAAAAACCGGGAAATTTAAAATCGCATGTCACATTGTATGACTAAGTTATAAAGTGTTATATTTTGAATATTGACCTTTAAACACACAGCAGTACATAGTTTCAAATTGTTTAGTTCAAACAGATTAGTTTGTTCGTATAAATGAAATTAACGGCAAATTGAGGCAAGGCAAATATAAAACGCAATGACATATTTGACGTTAAGTCAATTTAAATACGGCAATTATAATTGGAAGCAAATAATTGCGTGTGTTACAGGTTTTGAAAATTAGGCCAATTAAAAATGTTCATTTAAATTTGCCGGGAGGAGCTTAACTGCATCTGTTGGGTGAACAGATAAAAGATTCGTTGCATATTCACATTGGATTTTAAATTGTTGGTAGTCTCGTGTGTTAAAATGCGGTACTGCGCAAATGTGATGCAATTGCCAAATATATCTCTGTGTTAGATAACCCTATTGGCACAGATGCCCCTTGTTGATAGTAGGTAAATTGTTGGCCGATATCTATGTATATACAGGGTCTGTCCGAAAAGTAATGTCACCGACTTGAATGGGGATTTACGATAATTCAACTGGTTTACCCGGGTTGGTAGATTTTGCTATGGTTACAATTATTGCCACATTTGTTTCTATGGTGGTTTCTACCAATCCGATTAAAGCGGTTGAATTATCGTAAATCCCCATTGTGAAGCGACTATACGCCGTAACGTGCTAAATCGGTTTGCTTCAATAGAACGAGAAAACAGCTTTATCCAACAAGGGGTCGCTATAAGGTAAATTTAATCAGTGTTCAACTGCTTTTATTAATGTTCTTATTCAATTAAAAAGAAATATTGCGCTAAGCAATTTTTATTTCAAAGGATATCCTTGGCCATCCAACGTGGAAATAGTGCATGTATCCTGGGCACTCTCCCAACTGAAAAACAGTTCGACGAAATTTTTTTGTTATAGTTAATTATTGTTTTCTTCTTTGTTACACAATTTTAAACATTTCGTTTAAATAAAATTTTCGAAAAAAAAAGAAATATTAGCTTCCTTCAAATGTTTAGTCACTATATTTAGTGACTTTAACAAATGTTATTACAACCACGCCATCTAGTTATATAAGGCGTAGTTATTTTCTCGTCTAGTCTGATAAAATGATTCTCTCGCTATATTCCTGCACCGTCTTCATTCCTGTCCTCATGCAGAAGAAAAAAATGGAAGTATCTCATTGTATAAGGTAAAAAAATTTATTAACGAGTGACAAAAGGCGAGTTTATGATTTTGACCTTGTCGCTCGTTGTCTAGGTATATTGGTGCAGTTTATTGAGAGCATTATACTGCAAACCGATATTGATTTTTATTAGCTATCGAACCATACGCATACCAAAATCCACACAAAATCGATTTAATTAAACCTGGTTTGAGATCTCCAAGGTAAGAAACACTTATTACAGAATATTAATTATTATTAAATCTTAATTAACAAATTGTTTTAATTAAACGAAACGCTTAGAAGTGTTTTTCAAAGTCCGATTTGTTGAACTTTAATTTTCCAGATTTTTGTATTTTCTTTATTAAATCAGGTCTGGTAATAAGACAGCGAAGAATAGAGTTGTAGAGCAAATCATCCTCAAAATATGCCGGAAAGGGCATATCTTCTAAAGAAAAAATATGCACGTTGCCTTCAATATCTCCGACTGAGATACATCGACCACTTTTAGTAAACTTAATCACCGTATTCCTGCATCGCGTAGGCGATGGAGTAATTGATTGCGGATGATATATTTTACGTTGGATGTCCCAAATGTAAATGTTGCTTCCACACACATTTGCAATGATCGTCGAATGAGTTGGGCTCCAATCGGCGCTTTGTATCGACTGGAAGTCCTTATTAAGTTCGAACAGGGGCTCAGATATACCTAAATTAGAAGAATTGCTCTGAGATAATGAGTAGGTATATGTGTACCTAGGAGCTTACCGTCAGCCCAAATTCTCACATGCCAATCATCACCGCACGTCATGAACAATTTGTTGCAAAACGGAGAAAATTTCAGTTCATACATTGGTCCTTCGTGAGCCAGAAATAAGTCCAGGTGCTGATGGTAATGGTTCCTCGAGCATTTGTGAATTGTTCCCTCGTTTGTGCCGATGTAGTAAATACTTCCATTGGCTGGATGTTGGCGAAAGACCAGTGCTGCCGCGTGCCTTTTGACAGGGATACCAGAAACGTGACACCGTTTCAAAGTTTCAATGCCTTTTAGTTTACCTTCAGGCCGAGAAACTCGCATAATTTCTTCGTATATTAAATCATTGTTATCTTGGGTTCGATAGAAACTGATCCGTCCATCCTGACTCGAGGTGATGATCTGTTCGGTACCTCTGAAGTAATCACTACCTTGGTACCAAATCACTTGCCAGACTGGTGAAAAAATCGGCGAATCTTTGCCACTACGTCCAATTATGCGAATATTCCTACAACTGACGTCCAAGATTTTCACTGCACCGTCGTAGAAACCGATCCCCAATAAATTTGGGTTCTTCTTCGAAAAATGCAAAGCGGTAACTGGATGTTCAAATTTGTAATTCCTTTCCGGCTGCACCGGATTCTTGATGTTCCACAAGAGCACCATTCCATTCGCCCGATCCTCATAGTAAAATTTGCCGTAACCCACCGCCAGTATATCGGGGTTGTCTTCGTTCCAAGTTAACGCCGAAACGCATTTGCCTGCAATCAGAGTTAGACGCGATCTTGTGTTGCGACAATTAGATTTACCGCTAGTTTCTTTGTTGGCGAATGTCCACAGTAACTTTAAACCGTATTTGTACTCGATGTCCTTTCGATGAGGATCCGGATCAGACAATCCCCTAAAACGTTTTTGTTCCGCGTTAAAATTGTTATTAGCCAGTAATCGTTCGGTGATGCACAAAGCTTCCTGGAATGAGTCGTTTCGTAGAAGTTTCAGTAAATCCAAATCTTCTTTGGATAACTCCTCATCTTCGTCTTCTTTGTTAGTGTAGTCTGCAATCTCGTCATCCTCTCGCTGCTTCAGTTTTTGTTGCGCACCTCCATATGAATCATACATGTCCCACTCTGACGCGAACGCTTCATTGTGTTTACGTTTGACTTCCTCTGCTTCCGTTGTTCGAGTTTTCTTTAAAATTTGTACAGTTTGCACTTCGGCGTTTACCACCTTTCGATTCCTTCCTTTTCCTACCGTCAGATACTCGTATGTGCTGTTTTCTATTTCAACTTGTGCCGCTGCAATTAACATTGGGAAGTAACAGGAGATTGTGCAAGTTTGAACTCACCCTCTTCCGAATCCTTATCAACAGTTTTACTAGGCAATTCCAAAAGAAAATACGTTGGTGTTTCTTTGAGCAATAGGCTAATGTGAGATGGCATTTTCACGAACGCAGTTTGAACGGCAGCCACGTCTATAGCTACGTCCTGTTTTGAAGAGCTGTCTGTTGATAAAGTGAGCTTTCTTTCTGGCTCGATAACAATATTATCGACCAGACTTGCCGTGTGGTAGCTTTGTCGAAATACCGTATCAGCGAACACTTGCTGTTTATGTAGTTCACTGTGAAAGCGCGTTGTGGATTCAGTAAAGAGTTTCGCATCAGCAGTTAGGCTTTTATTCTTATCCAACTTTCTAATACTCGTGACAATTTCCGTGCCGCCTTTTGTTGCCTCATTGAGAGCTGGATTTAATGGTTCAGGCGTGACGTCTTCTCCATCGAGAAGAACTTTTACGGCTCCAGTTAGCCTCTTCGCAAGTACGGATCTAATCGGTGCCTTTGGAGCCTTTTTCAACTGAAGTTTGTCGCTCGTATGCGGTTTACTATTTTTATTCATTTCTAGCAAAATTTACGGTAGCTATCATAAAGTAAATGTCAAAATTGATTTGAATATACAAACAAATACAATGCATTTGTTATTTTTAATTATTTGCGTCAATCGTAAGACAAACGTTTATAATAAACGTGGAACGTAATTAGCATTGAATTTATAATATAAATTCAATGGTAATAGTGCAGGAGATTTTGCCCTTCTCGTTGGCTCATTTTTCATAAAAATCTTCACCTGGCGTTACTAAACCAAAACGTGCAGACTAAGTAGCTTCCTGCCAGTTTTGAATGGGACTTCTGTAGGGGATTTATTGGTGAGCGTAAAGTCGTCGCGTTAAGATCTGCACGGAAATTTTGGGGAGAATACAAAGATGACGTTGTAAACCTTGAGCTTGTGGGGTGGGTGGTTCAGTTCAGAATCGGAACTCAATCCATTGCTATCTAAGAATGGAGCGGTTTTTGTTAAGTAAATTATAAGCATATATTTACCAAAATCTCCCATTTCATTACTAGAATAGTTAATTATAGATTAAGAGAGAGAAATGGTTGATTTTTCCCGCGGTGTTATTGTTGCTCGAGGGTCACAAAGCACCAAGAGAAAAACGCCATTTCTTTCCAGCGGTGTATATAGGTACTTACTATTTTTTTCACTCGCGAGGACGTTTACTTATACTTTAAATATAGTCAAAGATTTTTCATTAGAACTCCTTTATAATCGTATTAGTGGAGTATTGAAACTGTATCATGGCAACAAGCAGGTACAATAATAATCAGGTTAGCAACCTCCACGCCTTTGTCTAGACTTCCATGCCAACCAATAAACAAATATCGTGTTTTTGTGAAAACGTGCGTGGATCTAAAATAATTCTAAATTATGGAATCTGCTAGTTTTTCCGAAGAACCTTTTGAGATTACTGAAGCTGCTAACGCTACTGTTACCAATTTACTGCCAGCGAAGTCCAAAAAATTGTATGAAGCGGCATACCACAGTTTTAAAGATTGGTGCCTACAAAAAAGTGTGAAGACTTTTTCCGAAAATGTCATGTTGGTTTAAGTATTTATTATTTTAGCGAAAAGGCGGTGTGGGCGCAATATTCTATGGTGAGGTCTTGCCGAGGGTCTTGCATGCTCATATAGGCGGATAACATCGATATCAGTAAATTCCCCAAACTGGTATCATTTCTAAAAAGAAATTCAGATGGGTATGCTCCCAAAAAATCAAAGATATTAACAGAGAAGAGATGAAAAAATTTTTGTCTGAAGCTGACGATGATGCCCATCTAATGCGAAAAGTAAAATAGATTTGGCTTTAAAAAACAAACTCGTACCAAAGAATACTTTGCTCGTACTAACAGTGTTAATCTTCGGAATAAGTGTTGCTGTCGCACTGACGAATTAGTTACTCTAGGGATCTTCCCTCATAATTACAATACCCTTTACCAAAAACAAGACATCTAGAACCTTCGTAGATTTTCTTCATTTAATTCGCAGGTACGCAGCACTAAGACCTGAAACAATACAACATCAACGATTTTTCATTTTTTACAAGAATGGAAAATGTACGACTCAGCCTGTTGGCAAGAATACCTACACTTGGCAAAGTACCATCAACGATTGCAAGTTTCTTTAAAGTTACCAAACCCCTAACTATATACGGGACACTCCGACACTGCCTGCGCCGATCGTCCACTACCCTATTACCGGACACGGGTGCTGATATTTACCACTATAAAGCGGCACGGTGGGTGGAAATCTACAACTGTTGCGGAAAGTTATATAAAAGAGGGTTACTCTTTGGTTATATCATTTGAAAACCCTATCGCCAATAAAATTAATATTGCAAATCGAATTAATCAAGATTCAAAGGGATAGTTGTAGTTCTAATATCTGCAATGTTATACCAGAAACCAGTTCTTCTTCTGATTCAAATATGTTGATCAATAAGGTACCACCAATTAATTTCTCAAAATGCGACAATATCACGTTTAATTTAAATATAAACAATGTGCCTTTTTGAGTTGTGTTAATATAAGCATCAGGGAGTTTTCATTACCAGGGTATTATTTCCCTAGGGGTAGGGGAATAATTTGCCATTTCAGTCCCTATTTTAAGTGGTCATAGAAACTAACTTTCACTCTCGCAAGTGAAAAAAATACTTTCAATATGACTTTATCCTATCAAGGCGTGTGGGGAAAACTGAGTTCGCAACTTGGTTGTGTTTTGTTTATTTTTTGTTTACTCGATCAGCTATTTGCATCTTTTGACCAGTGGCGTATCTTCATTGAAAAAGGTATTTTGTAGATCGTTGCTCCCCATGTTAATTTAGAGGGTTTTTATAACGGTACCAATCGAAAGATTTTGTTTCTCATCTAATGTGCGCTTTTGTTTTTAGGTAGACGCCAGAGCTTCTCCGGAATGTGTTTATTCAATCTCTTGAAGATCACCATTTTGCCCTCTTGAGATGAATCCACAAAATTTTCCTTGTGTACATATACCTAACTGATCAAATTGGACGTGAAAATATTAAAATCGAAGATCAAAAAAAGGTAAAAAATTCTCCCTCTCACTCATTTTGTATGGCTGTCTGAAGAAATTAAAAAGTCGTGGGACAATAGACAGATTCATGCAAAAAATGCTGATTGGATTAGTAATGGTAGTAACATTTCCTGGAAAATTCGCAGGTGCACCGTCCTGTTGAAACCAACAGTTTCTAACTTTTGTTTTTTTGTGTGCAGTTATCATTGTATTCGTAGTGAAAAATGCTACGCAATCCAATATATGTACTTTTTTACAGGCCATATTATATAAAGAATAGAGTCGATGATGATTTCTCCGAAACGAAACGTTTTATTGAAAATCTCTCCATGCTGCCTTGTAGAGGCTCAAATAGTAGCATTGAAAGTATTTATTATTTTTTCGCACCTGTTGGGACAAATAACATTAGAACAACAAAATCGGCAAATTTCGGTTTTTCTAGCATATCTTCGAAAGTAATCGGAATTTTTTGGCTTTCTTTACACTTTGATTATATACTATACCTTTATATCAATGTAACAACTGTTTAATTGCGCAACGTTTCCCTGATTTGCCCATCTTCCTACCTGCTATATGGTTTCCAAAAAATCCAAATTGCTTGTTTTCGATGTTTTTCTGGGAAAATAAAAGAGGCACAGTCTCTTAGTAACGGGGTATATTAAATATTTTCCATAGCCTGCTTAGTTTTAAGATACAGCACCAAAGTTTGTTTTTTCAAATGGAATATGTATAATATTTTATGTCTTAAGTAACATATCATACCACATGTTATATCTGTGATACCCTCTAGAGCATTAGTAACTCATTATTTATCCTTAATGACAAAACAAATATTTGCAGGTCATTGAAAATTAGAAACCGTACACTACTGACCGGCGATTCCCTAAGCGGCAATGACCAAACCGGCGACGACTAGCCGGCGCTATACCAAACCGGCGCTCGGTAAAACCGGCGCTGTGCCTTGCCGGCAGGCCATGGAAAATATAAAAATATCCCCTCATTAAGAGACTATTACGTAACTATTATTCTTTCTGCTTTTTTGATATTCCCACAAATAACTAAGTTATAACAAAGAGTATATAACGTGTTATAAGCAAAAACTTTTTATTGCATTTTTGGACTTTTGCGCAAATCATACGTTAAACTTGGCATCGTCAATCTAGATATAGCTTTGAAATGCAAACCGCATCACTCTGTCTCTTTTATTAGTTCTCAAAATATCCCAGGAGAAAGAGAAACATCGAAAACGAGCAATTTATTAGAACACTCTGTAAAATGTATTTGTTAGTTACATATGTTACAAATTGAACTTTTCGCCAAAATTGTAGTTTTTCATACTTACTTCATATTATCTACAAATATTTCTAAATTTCTCTCCTTTAGGCACATTCAAAGTATATAACACTGTGATGTATACCTACCTACATATTTCAATCATTAAAGAATTCTTCTTAAAGAAAATATCGGTTGTTTCCTTTATTTATACTGTTTGATGTTTAAAAAATCGCGCTCACAATGGGAAGTATTTTTATTATATTTATAGTCCTTGTCGGTAAGCGACTAAAGTAAAATATTGTAGGTAGGTATTGTATGACTTTTTAACCCCTATTAAAAATGTATTTATTTAAACAACAAAGTATATATAGTAACATTAATCACAAACTTTCAGAAAAATATCACTAAAAACTATAATAAGCATCTTGCGATTTCTGGAATTCTAGATTTTCATTTTTGACCAGAGATTAAAGATCTAGTAGCGACACAGCCGAAGGGCCGCACAGACGGACGGACAAAGTGGCGACAGTAGCGCATTTTTTTGTGGAAATGCGCTTAAAAGCGTTTGAAGCAAAATCGGGTACCTAGTCGGTTTTTAAGGAACTACCTATCTAAAAAAATTTGAAAAATTTAAGAAACTCAAGCAAAAAAGAAGCGAATTAAAAATTCGAAATTCGTGACCTTTTTTATATTGAAATAATATAATAATGTTGAGTAATGTGTTAATACATATATAGTTCCATCACCCAATATTTTGTACTGCCCAGTTCCATCAAGTCATTCTTTCAAATAAGTTTTACACAGTTACTCGTGTCAAATATAGCCATAGGAAGAGCCAAGAGCACAACATTTGGGTCTCGCCTTTCAAAGTTTTACATTTTGTGCCGTCCACAACAAAACTGGTAAAAAACCCGAGAATTCTACGATCTTCGAGAGTAGCGGACCGACCGCCTGAACAGTCAAAGTGAATGCATAAGCGCCCCTTTTTAAAAAAAAAACTCGCACGGTGCGTTTTTCTTGGGACACATGGTATATGCGCAATTGCGCATGCCTAATAGTCAGACCGCCTGCTTGATTGTTTAGACGATGTTGTCATTTTTACTTAACCTATAAATTACATTACAATAATTTGGCATTGCTTTTTATTTAATGCTTTATTTACTTGTTACTTGTAATAAACAAGTATATTATGAACCTGCTTATAAAGCAAAAATATCTAATTTCTTGCAAATCAAATTGTTTTGAATCGAGTCACGTTTAGCTTTAGGTGCCAGTGATGATCATAATTAACCTCGAAAATGATGGAATGGAGGGAAAACTGAAACGCCATCGTGATTAGAGAGCAACCATTCTGCTCACAAAATATTTAGTGTGTTTAATCTCAGATGGGTTCAAAAGGACTCACAACAATTGTAGACAAATTAGGAGAGTCCAGTATATCTCCTGCTCGGTAAGCAGTTGAAAAGTTAGTAACACTTCTTGTGAAATTACCACTTTGCTAGAAAACGATCCAGGTTTGACCCTTCTCTTGGGACTGAAAATAATAAAAAATGGAGTTTCTTGAAGAGTTCTTCCTTAGAAAATTTGTCGGATATTGGCGTGGGACCTTTAATAGGTGATTCTCCCGAAGATGCTCTTGCAGATACGTTTCCAGATTTTTTAGACATTACTCAGCCAAATTCTCTTAAAGCTCAGGCCGAAAGAGATAGGAAGGTAAACCTAAGTGGGCGTTTATTGTAAAGAATTTTCAAGCCTTTGATTTAGCTTGCATTGGTTTTGCAATCTACATTGTCTAAAGAAACGTTGCAGAAGCTTTCGGCCAATGAATGGGAAAGATTGTTACTGTGTCGGCCAAAGCGAGACATCGTCTACAAACTCAGTGAGTGCAAAATCTGCTTTAAGTTACTTGTTGAGCAACATTCCTTATTTTCAGATCACTTCCAGCAGTTATCCGACGAAGTCATTTTACACATCTTTTACTGGTTACCGAAACGTTGCTTAAAAATGGCAGCGTTAGTATGTAGGCGATGGCATAGACTTTCACAAGATGAAAGTCTATGGTCTCGTATGGACGCATCACATAGACATTTAGATCCCGGGGCATTAGGCAACATTTTAAGTCGACAGGCAATAATTCTTCGTTTGGCTCACGCAAAAGTAGTTTAACTTGTATCATATTGGTACTAATTTTAGTTTTAAGGTTGCTTTTCCACCTTTTATTCCCGGTATGAAGGCGTATTCGCAGGAATTTCGGTCAAGACTACTCTACTTAGATTTAAGCATGGCTACCATTAATCAAGAAGCTCTGACAATGCTATTTAGTAAGTGTCGACGTTTAAAAAAGTTAAGTCTCGAACATGTACCTGTCGATAATAATGTTTTATTCGCATTATCTCGCAATAGAGAATTAGAAATTCTCAATTTGGCTATGGTCGAAGGCATAACTCTGGAAGGCTTCCACCACATACTCGCAAATTGTCGAAAGTATGCCTCGATGATAATTTGATAAACACTGACTTTCAACTTTCAGGTTGAAAGAACTTAATGTTGCGTGGACTTACCTGAATAGTCAGTGCCTTAAACTTATTTGTAGTAATCTACCTTTGACTGTTGATAGACTGAATTTATCTGGCTGTAGAAAATGTTTATCGGATGAAAGTAAATTGATTTGACCTGTTTCGGCGGAATAATAAAGTGATATCTTGCAGGTGTGCTCGATCTAGTGAAAAGCTGTCCGAATTTGAGAGAGTTGGATCTTTCAGATTGTACAACTATATCATGTAATTCAATCGATCATATTGTTAGGCTGGGGAACCTCAATTTTTTAGCGCTCTCCAGATGTTATTTTATTAATTATCGATCAATTATGTAAGTATATTAGACTTTGGGACAAATTCGTGATCTGTTTAAAGACATTGGCCCGTATGAATAAAAGTAAGCAAATGCTTATACTTACAAAATTCAAAGTAAATACTCGTAAGTGCTCCTTCGCACTGGGCGACTTAGCAGCGCTTCTAAGCAGAAGGACAGGACGCAGTGCAGCGCTGCTAAACCATGCTAAACACACCAGTATGAAGGGGAAGTTACGAGTATTTACTTTGAATTTTGCAAGTATAAGCATTTGCTTACTTTAATTCATACGGGCCATTATGTTTACTGCCTCAGAAGCAATTGAAAATTGCTTTACCTTACCAACATTTCTATGTTTATTTTGGTTTGTAGTTCTATATGTTGTGTTACGTCTTTTGGTTTTTGTTTTCTTTTTTTTATTTGCTCTTTACCTAGCGTTTTCAAAATTTTGATTCGATTTTAGGGTAAAAATGCCATCACATTACTTTTATGGCAGTAACTGTTTATTATGTTTTTCATTTATTGAACTGAAATTTTGTTTAAAAACCGACAACATTTGACAATTAATTATGGTTTATTGAGAAAGTTTCATGTTGCACCATTGATTCCTTTTAACTGTAGGTTAAACTACAAATATAAAGAGATTTAACACTGTATAAATATGCATTCACGTTATTTTTTAAAGTTGAAACCAAATGCTCTTTTTCTGGTGTCTGTCCATCCATTAACGTACATACTTCAGTATCAAGAAAGTAACGATTTCTATAACTACTTTTTTTATACGCAATAACAAGATGCTACAGTGTGAAGTTAGCAATATCAATATAGCATTAAATATGCAAAAATATGCATATTATGCATGTATACATAAATACTACTTTGGGGTGTTTGGTCATTCATATTATGTTGCTGTTAATATTAAATCTACACATATCACCCCTTAAATATTTCCAATAAAATGTTTGCATACCTACTTTACTTTTTTGAAAATAATAATGCCTTCACTTACACCATGTTACTTAAAAGTAAAGGAAAAAATATCTATGCAGGTGGCTGGAACCTCACCAATAGCACTGATCAATGTATTACACGGCTATTATTTTGTCCACAACTGTATTTAATCAAATTTCCATAGCCCTCCTTCAATCAAAATTTTGGTGCTAAATAAAAATTTTATAGCCAAATAACATTCTTCATTCTCCAATCGTTTTCATTTTCCTTCTCAGCTTTCAAGACCATTAGAGATAATTTCAGGCAGATCGGTCTGCTTCTAAAGTTATTATATGTAATTAAAATATATAAAAATGAATGAGGTTTTTTGAAATTTTTTGCTTTTTGAATTTCGGTTACGATTTTTAAGGAAACAGTTTGAGATCTTTACAAGCTGATTTTACTGCATACTTCTGTGGGCCAAAAATAAGAAATTCAGCCAAATCTGTTAACTTTTTTTTGCCTTTACGTCAGTGGCCTATGCAAACCTATGCTAATTTATTCTAATGTGAACCCCTTATAAAATGGGGTATGGCTTGTGTATTTGTTTGATTTTTTTTCTGGCATTATAAACATATGGTCATATTAAACCAGTAGTTTTTGAATAATAAATATCATTTCGTTAATTAGGTTTTTTGTTTTAGATTATTAAAAGAAGTGAAATCGTTAATGTACTTGGATGTCCATGGCGGTCATATCGATCAATCCGAGATAGATATTATACAAAAGAATTTGGGTGGCAAGGTGAATATTAACAAATTCAAATTTAGTTCGATCGCTAGACCTACGGTTGGACCGAAACGTTCCACTATTTGGGGCTTACGTGTTAGAGACTGACTGTTATGTGATTCTTGTTAATTGGTATATAAAATTCATTTTCAATTGTAATTTATTTTACTAATGTTAGGTTATTTTTTTTAATAGGGAAATATAAAATTTTGTACCTATACACTGTATTACATAATATTCTGTAACTATGTTTGAGGCTTGTGTAAGAAATCCCACAGATAGGTACTGCTTGATGATTTTTCCGTGGTCCAGTTGGCCGATTTTGAAAGATCTTGCTTACTCTTTAATGGAAGGTTCTAGAAGAAATAATATGATCGTCGCTGTTAAAGGTTTTAAACTTCATATATAGGTTCTTTCCAAGGATACTATATAATATAAGGATTGCTCGATCACTGAATTTTTTCGCCGCGTGTAGTGACGTCACTCGCGGACCCAGTACCAGCGCATGCTTTGATTAAGGCCGATTCCCATTATAGCGAGCAGCGCGGTGCGGTGAAAAGCTGCTCTCAATTGTTCGCATGTAAATAAGTAGATCCGTTTTAACCTAGACAGAGCAGAGCGGCGCGGTGCAGCGCAGCAAATTTTAAACGCGTCGGGAAGCATTGGAATACGCGGCGCTGCTTTGAAACGCGCCGCTCTGCGTGTAGACGGACAAGTGGGAATCGAGGAGCGAAGCAGATCAGGGTGGTGCTGCGGCTTGTGAAAAGCATTTATTTGTCTTCTGTGTTGAGCTTGCGTGTGTTAGTGGATTCGCTATGGACGGAAAAAGAATAGAAAAATTAATTGTACTCGTCCGCTTTCTTTTTCTTCTTTTTTCGTCGTGTACATGGCATAGTGCCGCTCTAAATATTATGAAATCATCTGGTGATGATGACGATGATGGCTCTTCTTCGAGCGTGTAAGAATACATTCTCTCTGAACACAAACAGAAACGCTGCTTCGTCACGCTTCCAAATGGTGCTTAAATGGGAATACCCCTCTACAATTTGCTGCTCGCGACGCGCCGCTCGGTGCTGCTCTAATGAGAATCGACCTTTAGGATTACCATAAAATACGTTCAAATGAGTGTTGTAGGCAGGCATTTAAATTAGAAACACTTGTCCATTAATCTCGCTTGCAGCACCATATCCATTCCTTTCGTATTAATTCATCGGTTTTAGGGAAGTTATGGTAAATGACTTCCGGGTTAGTGATTTTTGTGCAAACACGGCTGTTGTTACAGTATAATATCGCACATCGGCGTCCTGGCGTCCATTCAAATACGTTCACAACTTAGCAAATTATAACTGTCAATTCTGACAGCCAGGTCCGTTGGTGACGTCACATATGACTTAAACTTGGGCAACATTACAAGTATAGGGATCGAGCAATCCTTATATTATATAGTATCCTTGGGTTCTTTCAATTCAGAAAGAACATTATGGTCTCCTTGACGACTTCTGTTTTTACTGATGTTGACAGTAAATTTTACAACCACCATATATTTTACGAATTCCTACACGCATTTTTATCGGAGGTAAATACACAAGAGTTGGATTTTTAATCAGATAATTTTTGTTGCAACGGAAAGACCAAAAGCATGATAAAATCGCCACAGCTTTAGCTGGAGCGATTTTATCTTATGCTTTTGATTGAGAATATTTTTCAGGAGGCAACAAAATTTCAGTGTATTAATAATAAAATTATCCAATTAAAAATCAAGCTCTTGTGTATTTATAATATATAAAATATAAATAATAAAAATACCTGAAATTTTAGAATGATACTCTTTGTATTGAAGACGAGTGTTTTTAAAGTAGCATGAATCGGTTTTTTCCGACAGCCTCCGACACGCATCCTATATCGTAATGTTTATTTGTTCAGACGATGTATTAACCACCATAAAAAAATACACAAGCACAACCACTACCATAACCTTTTGTTTCAAAATATAACCTCCAAACTTATCACCTCTATTTGTTTATTATTTTATTATCTATACAAAAGAATTTTTGATTAAATGCAATTCAAACTCTATTTTAGTAATGATGCAACATTTAAATGAACCTTGTATTTTGTGCCATTTAGTTCTAGAACACATCAACAGTGCCAGTTGTAACGAAACATTTTCATTATGGCCAAGTCTTTCAGGCTTATTGTACATCAAAAGGCATTTAGCGGTAATACATAAGATACAAGTTAGTTCACATATACATATATTGTCCTTCGATAGAGGAGGACATTATTATTAGTCCCAAAGATTTCCCAGAAGCCAAAGAAGGCGACATAGTCGAGATTTATTACCCTCAGCCGGAAGAAGAGAATCCTAGACTTTTACTGCAGATTAAAACATTTAACGTTTTACAAACCAAAGGTAGGTACATTGTCTTGAAGAGTAAAAACCAAAAGGAATATTCTAGATACAATTAGCATTGAGCAAAGCATTGCAACCTCTTTCGGCCTACCTACCTATAAAGATGTAAATATTAGAATCGTAGACCCGGCAGAAGTCGCTTTGGATTCTGTTGAATTAACTTTTAAAGATCAATATATGGGACGATCGGAAATGTGGAGACTCAAGAAAAGTTTGGTAAGCGTAAAAGTGTTCACAATTGTTCTCCTCCTTCATAAATCTTAGACGAACACTTGTGTTTATATGACAAAAAAGTTGGAATTTTGCGGAGGGGCGATTCGCTGCCAGGTGCACGAAATGTGGTCACAGGGCGATCGCGTCGCGTGCGGTGTGATTAACAATGATACAAAAATTGTGTTTCGATCGTCCACCTCGATGGTCTACCTTTTTCTTCAAATGTCGTCGGAGATGTGGGATTTTGATATTCACGGCGACTTATATTTCGAAAAGGCAGTTAACGGTTTCCTTGCCGATCTTTTCCAAAAGTGGAAAAAGAATGGAAATAATCATGAGGTCACTATAGTACTGTTCTCGCGTACCTTTTACGACGCGAGCAGCTTGGAGGAGTTTCCCGAACACATGCGAGAGTGCTTGCAGAAAGATTATAGGGAACGATATTACGAGGATTTTTACAGGTAAGAAAATTACTTGAGATGTTGGTACCAAAGCATAAGTGTACGACTGCAATGTTTTATTATAATTTCGACTTAAAACGGTTAAACCAACCTTTATTTCGTCAAAATGTTCTTTCAAAGGCAATTATTCTATTAAACTGCCACTTATCAAATCGGCATTGGCTGATATAATATGTTAAATATGCACTAGTCAGTATACTGGGTGATGCAAAATAATGGAGGGCAGTTTGAATTTCTCGCAAAACTAAATAATTTATAATGTTGGTAACATATCAGGTGTCATTTATTTAAAAGCAGTGATGGATCAATTTTATGGATCACTAAACAATAATCACAATTAATTAATTACAGAAAATTAATTTAGTGGAGTATGAGCATCTTCTAAACATGTGCACCTTTATAATGAAAGCATCAAAAGCCATCCTCTTTACAGGCTTTAAGCTTAAAAACTAAGGCTACATGAGCATGAGTACTTTCTCTTAATGTTGTAGATGCAAAGACCTTTGAAAAGAACTGTTTGCTGTAAACCGCGTGGATTGCGGTACAAAGTCAAGAGAACATTCACATAAAGAACGCCGCCAATGGATGGTGCTGGATTGGATTGCTATTGCTACGTAAATAAACTAGCTTCTAAACATGTTTACCAATTGTTCAAGTAAAAAACACTAAACATTTTTAGCGCCAAATTTAAACTGTCCTCAGTTATTCTGGATCACATGGTACACTCAGCTTAAAGAAATTAAAGCCTAAAAATACTAAAGAAAAAATCAAATAAATAAATGAACTCGACTTTGCCCGAGACTTTGCCTTTTAGTACTTATGGATTTTTAAAAAAAGCAAACGCAATATCCTTGGCTTCAGCAAATGGTCATATCTAAAATCTGTGTTAAGTTGTGTAAAACTAACCCAAAATTTAAGTAGTTACGCTTGTATTGAAAGCTGGTCAGCGTTTTTGGTTTCAAAACGAAATAAATGGTTTATCGTTAATGTTATGAAGAAGTCTTAAGTCGAAATAAAAGCGTGGCTTTTCTACGCTTGATATGTGTGACCTGCAATTACCTACAAAAACCTTAGGGTGGCTATTCAAAATGAAAGGTTTGACGATTGGAGCGGAATATTAGTTCAATTACGACGCTTGTTTTCCGGGTATTTGAAAATTGTGCTGGAGTACCACTCGCGGCCGAATATCACGATTCCCACTGCCACCAATAGCACAGCGGTCCAAGGAAATTTCCTGGAAGTGCTGAACATGTCTCTCAACGGTACAATCTGCAACTTTGCCAATATACTGTAGACATCTAGCATGTTTCAGTCTTTGAAAAGCATTACTTAGATCGCAGTTTTGATCGAACAGGACAGCTTAGTGTTGTCATTACACCTGGAGTTGGAATATTTGAGGTTGATCGTGAATTGACCAATGTAACGAAGCAGAGGGTGATAGATAACGGGGTTGGCAGTGATTTGGTTTGTGTCGGTGAACAACCATTGCATGCTGTTCCATTATTAAAGGTGAGCTTAATTCCAATTACATTTTTCTCATCTGTGGAAAATTTAGTTTCACAATAAAGACTCGGACATGAATATACCGGACGGATACTCCATGCCCCATTGGATTAACTTATCGTTTTATTCTACAAATAAAAAAATCGCTTATTCAAACTTTATTCCGCGCATAAAGTTACCACCTACTGAGGAAAATCGCCAAACAACAAGAAGTAGAGATGTACATAAAGGGCAATCAAAATTGGTGGATGAAGAGGAGTACATCCACAATTCATTTTTCGATTATGATGCATACGATGCGCAGGTGTTTCAGTTACCTGTTGTGCAAGGACCTAGGTATTTTGCCCAGTAGGTGTGTTCATTAGACCCAAAGAAACGATTGCTTCGCGATCACTTTTCTTGGAATGATCGATGTCTATGGGATATTATAAGCCGCCATTTTGAATTCGTTACTGTCATATGTAGTAATTTAAAATTCGATTCAAGCAAAATACTTTAGGTCTTACGAACATATTTGATAAAGGTTTGCCCTTAGACCATACAGTACATGGACCGCTATTGCAACTAAAATGTGGTTAAGGATTCATCACAATTAATTACAAGAAAAATAAATAAATTTACAAATGATTGCAAATAAATCACGTCAGCGGACGAAAGTAACGGCAGCCGGTGCCAATCTCGATGTGATGTCGGCGGAGCGGACGGACGGACTCGAGCGCCACCAAGGGATGCGGCTTTGTCCTTGGTCAACCTCGGCGGTAGCAGCGGGTTGCGGGGCGGTCTCGGAAGCCTCGGATAAACTCAATCAGAGTAAACGGCAGCTCCGGGAATCGGACAAGTTCAGCAAATGGCGGCGGGCACTTTGAAATCACTAAAACAAAATTACGGCCACGGCAAAATTAATTAGGGATGTCTACGGGAAAGCGAAACAATCCCCCCCTCTCCCCCATAATTAATGGGACAGCAGCAGGAGAAAGGTTACCCTGCAATTAAATGGAGCGGTAGAAATTACTGTGCAAGAAAAAGCAAAAGCTGTAAATACGGTGCGGTCGCCTTAATGTAGAAGCAAAAATCAAACGGTATGAATGCCAAATAAATTTACGTAAAGTATCAAAAGTTAATACAGTCCTTACAATTAATGGAACTAGCAAAATACCAAAGCCCTTTTAACAACGGCTTTACCTTTTATAAAATTCGACCATGTCCTGTAGGGACCGCCGGATTCTCTAACGAGGGTAAATTATATCCTTACTATTGAAGTTATATAGGTGAGGAGTCTCCATCCTAATTACTGCGGGGTCCTCCAATTAAGAAACCAATCGCCAGAGATTACTATGTATTGATGATGGTAATTAACATTCCATGCGTTCTAACTAACGTTTGAGCTGTTTGAGTAAAACGAAGTGTAACTAGATACGGTACTCGACAGAAAGAAAGTGAAAATCGACACGCACTGCGCGGTAAAATTGCGTTGTTAAATTCCAACAATAGAGGGAACCGTCTATTCGAAAATTACGGGGATCGTAATGGGAAAAATAAATCGTTACACCCTACACCACGACGCATGACTTAAAATTGCGATAACCGTACTGTTCCCTGGGAAAGAGAAGGACAGCTGTTCGTGGTCTACGCATCGATGTAAAAGAGTGCGCATTCGCTTTATCCATAATAGAAGCAGACATATTAATTACATTAATTTTAATTAAGGGTAGTCTTGTCTTAATTTTTTTAGACAACCCATTTGCAATGTGTTTGTTTACATATTAAGATTGATAAAAAATGTATTTCCCTCGGTAAACAGCTAGGCGAAGGTTGACCTTATTTGAGATCTGAGACTATGAAGGGTATTTAAACGACTTTAGTTTACCCTAAGATTCACATACTCGCAACTACAATTCCTCCTATCTGTGACCACCCCTTTCGAATGGAAAGTATAGGGCTCATATAGCAGTCCATGACGTACTGTATGGTCTAAAATGGTGGGTTGATACAATCATTATCATTAGTATACCATCGTTTGATCATTAAGAAATAGTCAATAGAACAATTTCGTTGGTTAGCCACGCACAATAAACCTTTGTTTCTATTGGCTATTACTTAATAGTCTAATGATAATGAGCCAGCTAATGATATCCACAAGGGTGTAACTCAAAATGTTGTGCTATAATTATCGTGGTGTATACCAATTAGCTCTAGGCATCGAACGTCAACGAGGTATAAGAAAATGACAAGCGGCTTTTTGGACGCACAAGAGCAGGTCAAAAATCAAAGAAAATTGTCAGATCCCGATATACATCACTCGAATGAAAGCCCCTGTCGCTCACCCGCAATTACAATACCGCCATCAACAGTGAGTCCTGTACCATCTGCGGCCTTAGGTAACAGTGATGGTAATGTTAACAATAGTACCGTATTCGTCAATTCAATCTGTCCACTTTCAGAAAAAAACGGAGCTGCGGCTTTGGAAAAGGACCTGTCGCCACCTTTGAGGCCGATCATCGGATCCGCCGGTTCACCCCCTCCCGCCGGCATAGATTCTAAGGAAATCCGACGTTGTAAAGCGCTTATCAATCCATTTGACCCTTCGCACGTTACCATTAAGCTGACGTCAAATCGCAGACGATGGACCCACATTTTCCCGAAAGGTGGCGTAAATCTGTTCTTCGGAAATGCGCTTATTGGTCTATTCTAGGTCCTACGGGCGTTTTAATTCAACAACATCATTACCAAGCGGTACCTACGCATCAGGAGTATACTTTGGAAACTTCTGATGACGTTCCACCGGATTCACCTTCTAACTCGGGAAGTTTGGCGCAAAATAATATTTTAACAACAGCACTATTAGAATGTTAGTATCATTTATCTTCAGTTGTTGTTTATACTGTTGTGTGGCCGAAGTACCACATAAATGACTACAAAAACACACACAGTAGATATCGAAAAAATTGAATTTGGAATAATTCCAAAGAATTCTTCAGCGGTATAGCGGTGACTGGGTGGCGTTGATATCTGGCTCTTGGCGTAATTTCGCTGCGATAGGTATCGCCTCTAAGATGATTGGGTCAATGTCGCGCGATACACTTTGCGAAAACGACACTGGCGTAGGTTCGCCGTCTGAGACTGCCCGCGAACGAATGCTAATATTCCACTATTTTCACTTGTATTTATAAGTATCCCCATTGAATTTATAACAGAAGCGCGGATACCACATAACAGTTTGTGACTATATGCGAACTTGCAGCTGCTAGGGGCAGTTCAATCGGTTGACAGTCCATGGGCGATCGAAAGTGGGCGTTACATTGAAACTGTAATTGTTGTCCCTAGATTCCAAGACAGATGGCAGCATTACAAACTATTTATAAAGTCACTAGATATAGAAAGTACCGCAATCATCCGCCATTTTTGGGCAAATTTGCTGCCAACTTAAAAAAATTGACAAATAAAATTTGAATAGCTGTAATTTTTTATAACCTAACTTCTTAGAACTGTCATGTTTTATAAAAATATATACAGATGTCTCCAAACAGGTGGAACAATCCCTAACATTAAAGTTACTAGAATCTGGTAACTTCCGCCATTTTTGGGCAAAAATCATGCGTTCTCTGTCTAACACACGAGCCCAATGGATTGCGGTACTTTCTATATTTAGTTACTTTACCATTTATTTTGACCATTCCAATATTTTCCTTTTTAATTGTTGATGTTTTTTTGTGTTATCATTGGATAAACAGAATGGTTTTATAAATAGGATTGGAATGTTCTAAAAATAGATCCCTTAATAAGCGTTGCGTAAATTTGTAATGTAAATAATAATACATTTAGACGAACGAAGAGTGCAGTCCTTGTCCTTGAAAGTTGAAGGAATGCAATTTCATACATTTCTATTAAATATTGACGTTTATGGTTACTAATAATTTATAGTTAACCAATTTTTCCAATAATTAACGGAAACTTCCTTTACAAAATTTTGTACTTTTAATTAGTTTTGAAAGCACTCCAAAAGGATATTGAATTTAGTTATAAATTCAATGAGGATATGTAATTGATTTAATAATAATAATAGATACTTCGTCTACGCTGGGTGATATTTAATACCTAACTACAGGCAGGTTTGACATTTTGTTATTTTTACTGAAATCGGGAGATTTTGTTATTAAAAAACGATCAAAAAAAATTTGAGGGCAAAATATTGTCCGTTGTACCTAAGCATTAGAAAACCAACGGTCAGCGCGAAGAGAAAAATATACGAATTCACGTAAACTGGAACCGATGTGTTAATTTTATCTGCTGTGTGCACAATGCTGCCAGGGTATAAAAAAAGTTGGCGAAATTTACCCAATGTCAGGCCCAATGTTAATGTGGAAATGGAGTTTTCGGTAATGCAAATTTAAATGAACCTCAGAACAGTTCAGTAGTGGAATTATACAACTCTTAGGTACCTACATCATTTCCACATTCACATTTGGTAACTAAATTTCGCGAATCACCTTTTTTATAACCTTGCAGCAATGTGCACAAATAAATACAATAAATAAATCGGTCCCAGTTTAAGTGAATTCGTATACCCACTAGAGCTGGGCGATAAATGAAATTGTTTTCGATTTATCGATAAGTCTGTTCAGTCCGATAATTATCGATTAATCGTTAATCGATAACTATTCATAATTATCGATAACTTTAAACAATTATCGATAATTTTCGATAAAATCGACAATTATCGATAATAATCTATACGTCGTAACAATAATTTTCGATACTAATCGATAATTATCGATAACGTTTGATAATTATCGATAACTTTTTATAATTATCGATAACTTTTGAAAATAATCCATAATGATTGTTAGCTGCTGATAATAATCGATTATTATTGCCACTTGTCGAAAATTGTCTATCTCTGATATTTATCGATTAATAGATAAATAGCGTAAATTATCAAGAGAAAACTATCAATACTTTTTCATCAATCTTATCGATATAAATATATTCTCAATCGATATAATTACATCACCCATGCGTACATTCGCTAACATTTTTGCTTTTTTGGTATTGGTATTGCGAGAGATAATTTAAATAAAAACAGGATCTTTTGATGCTGAAGTTTTCTGAAATCATAGGTGATCAAGTGGACGATAATCCTTAAAAATTAGTACAGAAGTAGGTTGTGAATTGTGATCATGGCAACTCCACAATGCTCTTACTTGATCGCTTTTTTTATTTGAAGTAAACTGGTATACCTAAACATTGAAAAGTTTATGTAGTTAAAAATTCTCTCGATAATTATATCTATCTTCTTAGTTTAGTTGTGAGATTAATCGATAGATTATCGGTAATTATAGATATATCAACCAATCCAACACATACAAAAATTAAGAATAGATAGGTAGGTACATTTAATTTCTGTGTCAAGGATGCCTACGTATTTTTTGCTTTCCTGTTCAAATGTAATTCAATCTTCCTTAAGGAATGTTAAGTAGGTCACGATTCATGAAAGGAAATGTTTATCTTGCGTCATTCAACATCCTGTGTGCCACATAAATGCCTTATAAATACGTTTCTTGAGTATCTAGAATTCTGTATGGAACAATTACAAATCGAGATAGTGGGTTCATTACAGATTCCTGTATAATAATTAACAAAGGTAAAAAACTGACATTATTATTCATCTTTCTCGATGGTAGAGACATCTACGTCTTGTAATTTAAACTATTGAAAACAGTCACATATCCTACCATTTAACTCGCGCTTCTGATAGTTATAAATTCAATGGTATAGGGACACCCCATTGCAAAAGTCAGAGGGGGCAAGCTGAAAAAAAGGCAATTTCGTAAATTTCACCCTCATATGTGTTACGGTGGTTGAGAAAGAAGGAAGAAACTCAAATTTTGACTTTTAGGGTCTCGAATGATACAGTCTCCAGTTTATTTGAGAAACATGTTTTGTTTTGATTCCATTGTGCTTTTGAATTTTGGCTGTTGCTACTTTCCAAAATTTCCAATTTAATAATTTTAATATGGCGACGCTTCCGGTTTCACTTCATTACACTTATCTCATTTACTTCTGTGTTTTATCTGTCCGTCTACTTGTCCACCCAGACCCACTTCTGCAGGTTTGAACTATTTGTAGGAGAATTGCCTTAGGGTACATGTACATGAGAAAAGCGATTTTATTTATCATAATATTGTCGTAAGTAATAAATAAGAAACTTAGTATTGCGCAGTCTGCACATGCGCACACGGGATGTTTAAAATATGCGATATGTTTGCCTTTACTAGAAGAAACTTAATATTTCAAAAAATTGTCTCTATAAATAAGAAAGCTGAAATTGCGAAGTCCGTGCATGCGCACATTAATCATTAATAATTTTCTTGATTGAGACGCTACAGCTATAAGCTACTGAATACAAAATGAACAAACTAAATATCTTGAAAACTGTAGGAGTAAAGGCCTCGGATGGACGGAGGAAGTGGCCATGATAGTGCCAATACTGTTCATGTTCATTATGTGTATCGATTGTTGCGATTTTCTGGAAATATGATGAATTGTTGTATTTTAAAATGTTACAATTAGTTTGTTATATGCATGACCTTTTATTGTTGTTAAAATATAAATTTTTCCAGTTTCACATACTATCTTGCTGATAGTTCAAAAGGCAATTGACATTGTAGAGTTTAATCCATTTAAAGAAACTTCAGTGGTTTGTTTTACTTACAGACTTAAAAAAACGTCCAAGTTATCAAAGTCCCACTCACAACACGTCTGTAAGGCACGGCTCTAAGAGTTTAACATTGCTATGGGGCGCAACAGGCGAACAAGAATGGACCCCTGCCATTACCACAGGTATGTAATTTCCAGTTTGCTAACCACCACTTTCGATGTAAGTAAATAGTGCTCTATCATATTGACTGAAAATGGAATATAGTTAACGAAATTGAACCATTTACCTATATCGTGGAAGTTTAAGACTTCGCTTTAAATTCAAATGGCATAAAATTACTAACTGTATTAGGGCGAGAGGTCCTCAAATTACAAAATTATTGCTTTAACTTGCGATCATTAAATTGTAATTGTACGCTAATAAATTAACCAAAATGGATCACTTTTTGCAATAAATTTTAAGCATTCGTCAAGGCATGAATATAGTTTTAAGAAGTGCGCTTCGTTTTGGAATTTCGCTACTTGCAAACTGCAAATGAAGCGTACAAAATTAATTTTTGGTACTTACACGATTTTTATTTTACACTTAACGAAAGGTACCTAATTAATTTAATGTTCTATTTTCCATGGCCTCTTCTACGATGGAACGCTGGCATATGCAGTCAATGAAGTCATCATAGGTTTGAATCAGAATAATATTTTATTGATTTTTTTATTTGTAGAGGGATGTCTGCGGCAAATATTTTTTATTCTGTTTTCTGTATGTTACCTTTTCATTTTTTATTTTAATCATTCTTGCTTTGTAGTCGTACAGTTAATACTGTATAGCTTAGAATGTTGTTTCATAGGGAGGGAAATGCTTACAATTGGGCACACATGTTAGTAGGACCAGTTACATTAATGATTTTAAGTGCATTTTTGATTCTCAAAAAGGAGCTTATTGTTTCACTAACTGTCGGTCGTTCGGGCACCTTTTAAGCTTTTTATAAATCGATCGAGATCGCGCCAAAAGAATATTGTAGAACTTCTCACCATTATATTCGTACTATCGTGTTATTCCTGCATGTCTGAAAGCTGAAAGACATTCCTGAAGTTGATAATTGATGAATTTTCTTTAAATGTCTTCATTTATAATTCGACCGAGATCTCGGTAACGGAATGTCGTAGATCCTTCAGCGTTTCAGCATTAGATATGTACGATCGAGTTTTTCTTGCTTCTGCCACGTCAAAAATGCGCTTAAGTCTGGCATTGGCACATCAGAAACTTTCAGGGAATGTTACATCATGAATTTCGCAATGGCGGCTAGCGTGACATAAATTTCATTGTGTAATTAAAAGTACTCACATTAATTTTTAAGTTTGTTGTGACTATCCGTTAACAGTACAATATTATGCGCTGTCTGAATAGTATGATCAATTCTCAAAAATCATTCCTGGAACTGGTCAGCTTAGTATTTGTTTATTGGAGTAAATTAAAGAGGTTCATAACTTTTGACACATACCCGCTTAGTAGTCACTCATAATATGTTTTTTTAAAACTAACGCTTTTTATACTTGAGCATTAACTGATTTAATTTACTCTTACACATACTTTTGATACTATTAGTTCGTTCCTTCAAACAATTCACTCTCTTTTAGGTGTGGACTGGAAATCTCTTACCATACCAGCTTGCTTACCGATAACAACAGATTACTTTCCGGACAAACGAGCACTTCAAATAGATTATGTCGTATCTCTGTATAATTTGCTACCAGATGATGTCAATGCGGATTTTGCGCAGCAGCGCGCGAATTATAAAAAACCGCTTACTACCGTAGAGGTTTTCAAGGAGCTGGTCTCGCAACGTCTCGCCCAAGGTTTTCAGCTGATACTTTTGCCGAGCCCAAAAGAACAATATTTGACTAACTCACAAACGGTTAGTAGCACCGGGTCGCTGATGCGTAAACGAGCTACCGAAACCGAATTAACCGAAACATATCATTTATCTATCGGGAGGATTTTTCATAAAATTTCCTTGACTGGTAATTCCATAACGGTCACGCGTTACAGACCTCGGTAAGATTTTCTGTGCGGCTTTGAACATTTTATCAGGTGTAATTTCAGGCATCCTTATCCACCTTTCAACATACATTACCGGTATAGGTTTCAAGCTCCATATCATGACACATATGAAGTGTCATGGGTGAGCTTTACTACGGAAAAGATTGAAAATTACAATTGGAACTATTTGGATCACTACATATGTACCAGAGGAGATACAGATTTTGTGCTGGTTGATGCTTTAAAGTTTTGGAGGTAAGAAAAAGGCAGGGCAGTAATGCTATTGGTAGGCATCCAACTAGACCGCATAGTAATAATACAGAGAAATGCCCAACTTAAAGGCAAATTTAGGCAAATTGCTATAGGATTTCTGAAGTCTCAGAAGTTAAAAAAGTAGGGCTTGGAAAGTACTGAGTCGCTGAGGCAGCATTGGCGTCATGAATTTCAAAATTAATAAACAATTTTTTTAATTTACTGATATTTCAAGAATACATACCTAAAGACTTCTGCTTTGGAAAACCAAATTTCCGTCAGAAAAACATATTCGGTTTATACTGTTCAAAAATTAAAACTACTCGGCTTAGGATCATCCTAAAAATCGGGGACATTCCAAAACATCAATTAATTAAGCGTGCTTCTAATGAAACCACTCACGACGGGTTCGGATGCGATTTACTACAACCCATTTAACTAGCTACTGTTAATTATACTCATAAATGGGCGAGATGAAATGTCAATATTCGGTAATCCAATTGACACCTATTATAATTAAACCTGGCTAACAATCACTTGATGGATCTGAAATTCTAAAATATTAATTCGCCCTCGTGTTACAATGACCAGAGCTTTCGGACGCAGCAAAGATAATTGATATCTTGACGGGAACGGTTGCAAGCGGCGAATTAATTACAGCTTTTGTTTGCGGTAACGGCGGTTGAAACAACTCCAAAAATTAAATCAATTATCTTTACTTTTAATCTTCAACTCCTAGAACCATCACAAATACTTTCAGCAAGACACTTTTCATAACAAAGCGCCTCCAAATGCGGGGTGGTCATGAAGGTATAAGTAAACTTCAAGGCGGTAAATAGGTGCTTAGCTGAGTGTGTCATTTAAAAATTGTATGTAAAAATAAATGCAATTAAATGTTGTTTGGAAATCTAGTTTTTGTCGCCTTTGAAGTCATTTTTAGTGACAAATAGTGGGACGACAGTCTCATTTTTACCACCTGCACGTTAGTAATTGCATTGAGGTAAAAAGTGATCCTCACTTTTTTGACGGTAATTGAAGCACCAGGAATCAGAATCAATTAAAGTCTGTCGGACCGTCTGTACTCTCATTTCCGGCTAAACGGATTTCAACCAAATTTGGTACACTGACGTTTTTGTTTCGGATTGCGATATAGGTAAAACAAAGGTAAGTAATTTAAATTAAACATATGACATGACCGAAAAATAAGCGTGTTAACAAAGTGAAATTCTATGAAAATAACACAACTTATTCTTGGCAAATAATATTTTTAAATTCGGTAGTATAATTTTTTATTATAATGTATGTTTTTTTTTGTAGATTTAAAGTTTACTTACTGCCAACGAATAATGCGGCCACAAAACGAATTATCGAAGGCGCAAAACATTGTGATATATACACGCCACTCACGAACGCCGATTACAATCAGATCAATGAAGGATTTCTTAAGTTTATTGAGGTGGTCGTAAACAAGATCAAGCGACCTAACGCCACAAAGAAAGGAAGGGTTCGTAGATTTTTAATTAACATAGTTTTGCACATTTTGATTTAATTAAAAGTTATGTTAATTAATCTTTAGAATTTATTATGATTTTGCATGTGTAGACATCTTTGAGCATACCTAACTCTACTGGTCCTTTGCTACAACTACGCCGCCATAGCATGACTATTCCTTCACAGAAATTTGAGGTACATCTTAGCTATTTTAGAATTATTTTTCGTATTTAATTAAAAGTTGTAACAAGCTGAATTTTGTGAATCACCTCCAATTCTCGCTTGAGATATTAACACACTAACTACTTTCAGTTGTGATCGTTTGCACAATTTTTACCATCTTCATGGCTCATTGTTAAGTGACAAATTACCATAAAGTAAGAGAGATGAACTGTGGAAAAATAATCATACTAAATAGTGCACCAGTAATGGATACCAGCACAAAACAGCTTGTTACTACATGTTTAGATAAGTTTTATTGTAAAACGCTTTGTATTGTGAACGCCTCAAAATACTTGTGAGCGTAATTTATGTTATTGTGTTGTGAGGTAGGTAGGTATAAACTAACAAGTTTGTAAATGTTTCAGAACCTAGGCGGGTGTAGTTCTCCATTTCGTGAGCGGCTAGGTAGCAACAAACTTCCTGAGAGAAGTCGGCCAAGGTTTGAGTATAAGTTGATCAAATTTCAGGGAGTGGAACACACACGGCTTTTCTACTTTATGTTGCTATCCAACCATCACAAATCAGTCACTTTAATACATTTTAACAAAAAAACTCAATTTCAAATAAAAAATGTATATTAAAATGTATATAGGTGACTAAAGGCTTTCTTTTTTTGTTTTTGTTTAATTTTTGGTGTTAGTTTGGCCACTTTATTTTTAGCTTTTTTTGCAGAGTTCCGCAATTCGGATCACAGAGAGGTACTTTGCACCTGTGTTTAGGTTTGTAGGATATGCATAACCATTATCATTCATTGTATACCGGGTGAATATTCCCAAACCGAACATAGGGAATTAACATGGGAAAAACGTTTTTTGCAGATCGGTGCTCCCCATGTTAGAGGGTTTATAATGACACCAATCGAAAGAAGATTTTTTTCTCGTCTAATGATATGCGAATTAGTTTATTTTCAGGTGTATTTCTCATTATTTTATCAAAAATTCGGCAATAAATCCACTTACCAAAATCATGTTAAGCCATGACTACTATAGTAAGACAAAAAGCAGATTCAAATGTCGAAATCAATGTCAGTTTATGACAACTGGCATTAATTTTTTTGTAAAATGCGGTTCACTGAGGAAAAAGTGTTTATAATAAAGAACGTTTACAGCGGAAATATTCTAGTACGCGATATTTGTTTGCCGTGCATTTTAATGAGCGTCCCATTCCGTCTGTGTGAAAACCTAATTCAATTTTTTAGGAAATTTCCATGGCTTAACATGATTTTGCTAATTGGATTTATTGCCGAATTTTTGATAAAATAATGAGAAATACTCCTGAAAATAAACTAATTCGTATATAATGAGATGAGAAAAAAAATCTTCTTTTGATTGGTGTCATTATAAACCCTCTAACATGGGGAGCACCGATCTGCAAAAAACGTTTTTCCCATGTTAATTGCCTATGTTCGGTTTTAAAATATTCACCTGGTATAGGTATTGTAAGTTGTTTCTATATTGAATGGGTGAAGTAGAAAACAAGTTAAAAAAAGTCATCATGCAAACGTAAATGACAAGATCGTATTTTCCTCCTAATAATATTAATGTTAGGGCTGGGAAAAAATACCGGTAGACATAAGATCCTTGCCCTCCCATTCTCTTTCAACACAAGCTGTCACTTTTAATAAGATTTAAATCTTTTTTATGATCTAAATACTTTTTTCGATTTAAATCGATCTTAAATCTTTTTACGGAAAATGATTTTTGATTTAAGATTTAAATCTTCATGAAAACTATCTTTGATTTTGAACTTAAAAATATGATTTAAATATCTAGTATACAGGGATTCACGATGTCTTGGTTTTTAAAAATTTCTTTCGCAAAAAAATACATATTTTAATGTAATAAATAATAACAATAAGATACAGTAGAAATGGTAGGTATATTGATGAATGATGTTGAGAGTTTCGAGCAAGATCATCAGACCAATCAGTTTTATTGAATTTAAATCCTTAACAAATATTTTGTCACCAAACGATTTAAATCATTTCACAAAACGATTAAATCATTACATCATTACATGATTTAAAACTTTGTAAGTGATTTAAATTAACAAAATTGGATTTAAATCTTTTTGAATGAATTAAATACATTGAAAGTATCTTAAATACTTTTTAAAAAGATTTAAATCACAAAAAATATTTAAATCTCAAAATGATTTATTATCTAAATACTTTCTTATTGACAAAAGTATTTCTGATTTAAATCACTTGTTAAAATGAAATGCATCTTTGATCTTTGATTTAAATCGTTTTTTAAACGATTTGTGACAGCTCTTCTTTTGAAACTGGTGTTAGATTTGTTCTTGTTCCGCAAATAAAAATGTTGGACCTGCGCATGCGCAAAACCAAATTTTAAACCTGGCATCAGAGTCTGTATGTATCGAATTTCATTGAAATGTTTTTGTAAATAAGAAAGTTGGCATTGCCTTTGGGCATTGCCCATGCGCAAAACGAAATGTTGAAACTCGCGTTAGATTTGTTTTTATTCCAAGTGTCATTGTATCAAATTTCATTTATGCATGTTTTCTCCGTACAATCTTAAGTCAGTTCAAAATTTTGTATGCACCATGGAATTTGAGCATCCTAAACTGGCTTTATCTTAAGCTGCCGATGTCAGAAACTTAAAAGATGGCTTATGCTTAGCGCTTGCGTAGCAGCGTAATGTGTATAATAACATTAGCAGAATCACGAGGCGCACACCCGCACTATCGTGCTGCTGAGTCGCCCGGCTAAAAATCGCCAATGTGAAAGCAGTTTAAAAAACTGAGTTTAGATATTGTAACGTAAATTTAATTACGTGATTTTTTTATTTATAAATGACTAACCAGCAGGGGCGGACTGAGTACTTACGGCCCAGGCTGAATTGCATAGGTTACGGGCCATTAAAGTATTAGTGTAATGAAGATTGGGGGGGGGGGGGGGAGCTCTGCGGTGCACCACAAAAACATTTTTTGCTTTATTTTAAAGTATTCCTTTCTCGAAAATCAATTAGAATATAGTTTTTTTTTAATTCCAGCTGATAATTTAAAGTAGCAAAATATACATAATCCAAACCAGGCGCGCAGCACTTTCAAAATACGACAAAAATGATAAATTCATTGTAAAACACTTACATAAAAACAGAATTTAATAATGAACAATCTAACTTCAACCCCAATGAGAGAAATGTGTTAATAATTTATTAATAGTGCAAGAAACTGACATTAAAGCTGTTTATAAATTTCCAACGGGCCATTATGAGCTACAGGCCCGCTAGCTATCGCCACCCGCACCCCCGGCCAGTCCGTCCTTGCTTACCAATTTCATTTGTGAAAAAATAACCAATACGTATATGCCGCCTGTAGCTCTTTTAGTCCATACTGCGGCTCACTCACAAATAATTGCATTCGGTAGCTTGCTCTGGCATCTGTAACAAGAAAAATGTTGACGATTAATGTGCACATGCGCAGGCTGCGCAATGTCACCTTTCTTCTTTATCGAGATATTTTTTTTAAATATTAACCAAAGATACTTCTAAAACTGCGCAATGCTAAGTTTCTTATTTATAAGAAGATTTATGTCTTAACTTATTTTCTTTTGTACACACAAGTAGTCCGTGATATAACCTTTCTGGAAGTACTGTTCTTCATTGTATCCACAATTTTTGTCTTCAAAATTTTACATGATTTGTTAAATTTTCCGAAACATTTCAAGAAATTAAGCTTAAGGTACCATTTGAAGGAAAAATAATACCATTTTTGCAGTTAGCAACACAACTTCCCCACTTATTAAGATCTTGATCACTTTAAATAAGTTAAATAAATGTAATAAGTAATAATAAATCATATTAGATCTTAAGCCCAAATGTATGTTCAAAGCCCCAGTGCTATGTAATTGGAATTTTTATTCTGTATGGTGTCTGGTTAAACAAATAAACAAATTCATGGAAAATGCACTAAAATTACAAGCTTTTTTTCATTTTTTGAACTTTCCGCGCTGCAGTTATCTTTAGAGTCCTAGAAAAAGAACGCCATCAGATCATAACCTCTCAGATTCTAATCTTTTGGCAATTAAACCTCTCTTATAACACTCACTGAAATTTAGGAAATCAAATAGTTCATAAACGAGCGACCAGAATTAACAATCCATTTTGGAAAAGGGCCAAATCTTAATTATCGGGAGGTTGCGGTATTGAAACTTCCCTTAACTAACTGATCATGTACCTAATGCATACTGTAACACAATGGTGGTGGTTGTCATTGTTTGATTAGGTTTTAAATGCGCTTTTATGTAAAAGTGTACGATCGACCGCTACTACGCGAATTCTGTAAATATTAAAAAAAAAACTGTAGGTTGGGTTTTTTGGTCGCAGTTCCCCTTGCTGTTAAAACACTTAACTGTCACAGTTGCAGAGAAACCCTCAATTCTGTGCATTGTAAAACATAACAACTAAAGGTCTATCGGATATTAAAGTTTCTATTTCCACAGCCTGTTGGTGTTCTCTTTCTTTCCATTTACCGCTTCGCATCACATTCACTTCTTGTCCACTTGAGGAAAATGACTTAAGTTTTTAATCCATAGATCTGGATCCAAAGTATTGGAACGAGGAAGAAATTCACCTGCAGTCGATGTTCAACAGTCTGATCTTCCATTTAATGAATGTGATGAAGGGTAAACAGGCGCGCGAATTATTGGAACATTCTTCATTGTACATTGTAGAGCAACGTTACAGCAAGAACCGTGCCTTAGTAGCACCGCGACCTTTGCAGAGATACTAGAAGCGATGAAAAATCCAGTTACCGGCGTGGGATTCCTTTCTTCTCAACAAAATCTCCCTAACTGCACATTCATTGCGGCGGACGCGGTAAATTGGCTAGTCGCCCACATGGAAGGAGTGTGTAGTAATGACAAAGCCGTCCCGGTATGGGCTAACAAAGTCCTTGAAATAATCTAATGGTTGGTTTAAGATAATGGAAGCGCTGCGCAAGGACCATTTAATTTGTCACGGATCCGGGGACTGGAGCAAGCAGTTCGTTTTCGGATTCTTCCTATTTTATATAGTCAATAATGGCAAAGGTGTCTATAGAAGGGACCATTAGATTTGTGATAAACTATTATCGTTACAGACGCAGATCCCTCGCCCATTGGGGATTTGCAGAGCTTCGAAAATGACTGGTTGGAAGTTGAGATGCGTCCACCCTTAAATTGGGGCCGAACTGTTAGCGATAATGCGGTAAATGTTCCCAACGTTTATAAGAAAGATGAAGTTGGAGTTCCTCACTTCCTCTGCGACGATATTGATACAAATTATTTGCGAGGGGAGGTTGATAATGACTGTAACTGTCATATTTTGAGTGTGAACATAAGGTTTTACCTCGGATTGCAGGTCCTGCATACAAGCACATGCACGTGGATATCGATGTGGCCAATAAAAGCGACAGAGTTGAATGGGGCCATGCCCGTTACCAAAGTGTATTTCGGCCGGATCAGGCTTACGAGCTTCGGTTAGAATGGTTGGTCGCATCCGGATCTATTGTCTCGGAATTGGTAATATTTGCATCAAGCTACAGATTACAGTTAAACAATATTATTGCAGTTGATGGGTTGGTTACGTAAGGCCCAACCTTGTGGTATTCAGATGATTCCAATTCCTCATGATCCGTTGGCATTACCTTATTCTGTTAAATCAGATCCACTACGCGGTCCAATATTTATTCCTTTAAATACCAATTGTTTGGTGAAAAAGAATAGGAGCCTGTTTGAAGGTAAATTGTGTTTAGTCAGGTAATCCTCGAATGTAGTCGAAGATGGTACTGTACACTGTAACTAAATGTAATGCAGAACACTTATCTGACCTATGAGGTATTTTTATGTAGTAGTGTATATGAGGGTTAAATATGATAACTAAATTCTCCAAATTTTCACTAAAAAAGCGCTAAATATAAACAGACAAATGACTACTTTCACTGCACATACACAAAGTTACAAGTAGTTAACGCGTTTATACTTTTGTTTTGTTTTGTGTTTTTTGAGTTACGAAAACAACCAAGTGGTAACAGGTTTTCGCTTTCGAATTTAAAAAGTATTTTTACGAGTTCGTATTTCCACATGTACCGCTTCATAGCGAACATAAACGAAAGTATGTCTGACGATAACAACGTGTACGTTTGCGGTTCGAGATAAGCAAAGAGACCCCGAATTGTATGGGGTTTTTGTCAGACATTAGACACGTACTATTTGGGTGCGTTAAAAATTTTATTCCAAGGCTAATTAGCGAGAGATCACGTGCACTGTTTTGTGCGTGGATTTTTCTATCGTTGAAGAGTCATTCTATTGTCTAGTGGTAATTTATATGTGTTGAAACAGAAGCAGTATTTGCAAATTTTAAAATTTAGTAAATCAATGATCATCGGGTACTACTAACTTAAAAAATTGTTTGATTTGCGGCAAATTCAAACGATCATCAACCCCTGTACGTATGCGGATAGACGAATTACAGTAAATTCGGGACGATCAAAAACTTTTTAGCAACCTGATTAGTAGCAAAGTCGTTCTTTTACGAGTGGTAAAATTCACCCAATGGAACATTTTGGAGTTGGCGAATCGCTTTTAAAACCAAACGCAAGTAAATTGATATTAAAATTCATCACGATAAACGGATAGCTAGCAGTAACAGCTGGTTAAAAGCAAGTCCATCAAAGTTGAATGACGCGCATTGTGCGATAAAAAAATTTTGTATACAACGGCACATGGCAGGGAATTTAACGACTATTAATCGGTGCATTTACTTTACTATTACTTTTACTAATTTTGTTTAAAGTACTTTTAATATTCCCAAAGAATTCGACTTATGAGAACCATTTGCATGAAGAGATTTTGTATTTTGTAACGGAAATAAGAACATTTTTATTACTGAGCTAGCCATGGGTAAAATAAAAAGTTAATTGTCATATTGAAATTTTTGCCTGTGCCGTAGAGGTTCAATTTTATTTTATGCAAGTGAGGTCTTCGACCCTTTACCGCCTTTACTTTGGTGTAGTAATGTAGTATATGAGTAATTTGAATCAGTGAGACTGGAATTTAATTTTGGCGAAATTCGTATGTTAACCTGCAGAATATTTTTAAATTTTTAATTTGTCCTTCGAGTCGGATTTTCGCTTTGTCTAGTAATGCAGTACATATAGGCGCTCGGTAATCCTGCACCCAAATTTTTTCGCCTATGCCGGATTAGTGAATTTGTATATATAGGATATAAAGCATTTTTTATATCCTACTGTGTACTGTACTATGTGGGAAATAAATTCTATCATAGATTCCTACAGTAAAACAGTAGGTTTCTTCCGCCATCTTGTCTAAACGACAGACGCGCGCGGGCAACTACGAAGCACTCCACGCTGTCAAGGTCAGGACAGGGCCGAACACGAAAGCAAATTTGGCAAGTGTGGTCAACCGCACAAGCCGGATTAGTATTGCCGCATTATAGACACGAACTTATAAGATGGACTGCTGATCAAACAGTTGCATAGAGATAAAAATGGCCCTAGCATGGGCGCCGCCATGATGTGCACATTTTAGTTATTTTCTGGGGGAATTTTCCTAGTGCTCAAGTTTGGAGACTATTGCAACCTTGGAAAATGACATATGTCACAGTAATTTATTTAGAAAACCTCAAGGTTGTTTTATTAGAAATAAAATAACCTTGAGAAAACCTGAGGTTAATGTTGGGTTAATGCTTGTTTATTAGTTGATTTGAATTTCGCGGCAAGTGAGTGCACATCATGGCCGCCCCCAAGTAGGTGTCATTTGTTAATTCAGCATTAGCAGTCCATCTTAATTTATAAGTTCGTGATTATAGAGTGGGCCAGCTGGGTCGCTAAATGCCGGAGTACTGAGTGTACCGGACTGTCGAGCGCCGGATTACCGAGCGCCGTATTACCGAGCGCCAACTGTATGTGACTAATTTTAATCAGTGATACACTGGAATGCTATTTTGGCGAAATTCATACATTAAGGTCTCATTAACGCACGCCAGTGCATCCTGGACCATAGTTTGAAGCATACCTGCATACCTAGAATCGCTTTAATGTTTTAAATAATACTTTGAAAAAAATGTTTCTCCTGACCTTTTCAGGATTTAGCAAGTGAGCCTTGATTTGTATATTTTAAATTAACAGCTCTGAACCGATTTTACCTACTCGAAAAACGAAACTCCAGAATTACAAAAAATTATTGTAAGTTCATGCGCGATTATTTAAACGAAGGTTATATAGAAGTGGTATGAGACGACAATCACTTACCATACTTTCTCTGCATCACCTGGACCGACCGATCGACTGTGTAGCTCAATGTAGAGCGTTGAGCTACATAGCCGGATGTCGGCTGTTCGAACCTGGGCTGAGGTAAGAATTTTTCATCTGTGGCAGAGATGGGAATTTTCTTAGATCAGTTTGGAGCATTCTGTAAATGGGTCAAAGCCTGTTGAGGGGCCGAAACAAGAGGGACAATCAATCAAATTGCTATAATGGAAGACATAAAAAGTATTTAACTTCAAATTTTGATGAATCCTGATCATGCTGATAAATACCAGAGAATATTATCCTTGAAAGCAATTTGTCTTAAAAACGGTAATTTTTGGTGTAAACAGTTCACCATATCTTGCTCTAAAGAATTATCTCTGTGTCCAAGATACGGATGCCTATCATAGGGATCTCGGAAACCATAGGGCATAGTAGATGGTCAAATACTTCCGAAGATATGCCAGAAAAACTGAAAATTGCAAATAAACTGAAAATTGCAAATTTGATTTTATTTTTTATTTGAGCTTTACAAGGCAGTGTTCAGACCTTTGTAATACAACGTTTTGTTTTGGAGGAAATCATAAACTTTATTTTTTTATATAGCCCAATGAGTAGAATTTTTTATTACGCATACAATGATATATATACGACACACAAAAAAACAAAAGTTGGATATTGTTACTTTCAACAAGATGGTGCACCCGCGCACAACGCCATTAAGGGGATTACAGGAAGCAGGTATCAAATCTATATAAACTCATTTATCACACCTTATAAGAAGTCGCATTTTAATTTGAATTACTATTCAATTCCATACCATTATGTGCTGCCAGAGGTCGTACCCTAATGACTATTCGGCATTTTGTGATCCTTGAACTGCTTTCATGTTTTCTTTATGCCGATTTTTCTCATCTCAAATGAAAGACACTTGCTCTCTGCTTTTATTACGGTTATACAGAGATTTTTGAGTAAGATGACATTGAGAATATCTCCATACTTTGTAACAAAAATTAAAATGGTATAAACGTACTTTAAAACAGGGTATCATACTTTTAAATAAAAAACGATAACAATCCGCCCATGAATTGCAAATTAGCAAAGGTGGAAAAGATGACAGCTCACATACCTACTGAAGTAGCCGAAGTAGGTATGTACTGCTCAGAGAAAGTATGCTCATCCGATGGTAAAACTCTGCCCACTGCCAGATGTTTAAACCAATCATATTTATTAATTACTTTTTATATTTTTATTTGTAAAAAAATTTAATTTCTAAAAAAATATGTATACAATGCTTACGAGGAAAGAATGCCGGTCACATAACACCTCATGCCGGTCTATATTATTGCATGGTTTAATATGAAAAACATAGGGTTGTATATCGACATCAGGTGTTCTGTGATCAGCAGTCTCTCCTGGCGAGCCAGACATACTGCGTCCAAGTTACATACATGTTGCAACTTTATTTTAAAATTAGGGCCGAAAGATTCACAGTAGTATGAAAATGGTACAGTACTTAATGTGATAGGAAATGCGATTCTGTTCATTCATAGGACAAGCATAATATGTGCTTATATACTGTTGTAGAACTTTGAATGTCAAAGATGCATTACTGATTACTTTACACTTTCACAGTATTTGATTATCACATATCAGTCTACAAACTGTAGTATTAAAAATTGTAATTATCGACTGTTCAAAAACTCAATTTAGGCATTCACTCTTAGTTGAGTGGGTAAATATTCATCATATTTGCACGCTGTATATAGCTACCAACTAATTAAAAGCAAAATTTTGTAGAATTTAAAGAAGATACTTGGCTAGATCGCATGTTCTTATTTCAAGAGTGCATTGTGGCACGTTTTGGTTTCTTACCCTGTCCAGTGGAACCATTAAATGCCAGAGAAGGCACCGTTGTGTCTCAAGAGCATCAATACATTCATTCTACCGGAACAGTTTTTATTTTGGTACCAAGTCCCGTACCAAGATTGAGACAACGATTCACCTCAGTAAGCCAAAGGCGCACCGGAAGTCGGTATCCTGCACACGTCGATGTCATTCCCAGCCCTCGTGAGGCGTACATTACTCGTCATGTCGGTGGGAAAAATAAGGACGATTACGAAATGGCAAAAAAGGTAAATACAAAGTGATTGGAATGCGATTATCTTTGAGTGTTTTAGATGGGATTTTTATGGTCTTGGAACCACATGATAAGTAAACGTTGGAGAACGAACCAGGCGGTCGATACAAACTTTCAAATTAGACTTTTGAAAGACTTTCGTGAGTTTTGCGAAAACAAATCCGACCGTTTGCAAAGTTTCTGGGAGGAAAGTTGGGAGGCGAAAGAAAACGCGTGTACTCGTTCACCTTAATCCTACTTTTTATACCAAATATTGTAATTTTTACATTTAATAAAAAATAAGTATCCCATTATTTGAATTTCCCTCACAATTACAGAATGGACCAATTTTGACAGCTTCACTTTGACAATTACATAATACAAACATTGTAGTGAGAACTGTGCAGAAATGTCTGGGGCAATTAAGAAGACCACGGGTTTAACGGGCCTCGTTGTGAGTAAGGCACCTCACCATAGTTTAGGAATATTGTACGACAAAATCATGAGAACCTTACAAAAAATGCCAGAATCTGCGGCTTATCGGAAACATACCGAACAGCTCATATGTGAAAGAGCACAAGTTCTAAGTTCTACGACCGATATCAATCAAGTTGAACAAACTATCGGCTGTGGACAGGTCGAGGAGCTTATAGTTCAGGCGGAGAACGAATTAATTTTAGCTCGAAAAATGTTAAACTGGAAGCCTTGGGAACCTCTATGTCAAGCGGCACCTGCTGGTCAGTGGGACTGGCCACCGACGGTGTCTGAAAAATAAGTTGTAAATAGCCATACTGTAGTATTATTAAAAATTTGAGATAAAAAAATAATTCTTGTTTATTTGTGCTGTTATTCAAATGGTGAAAATTTTTACGTAGCTACAGTCGATTTGTGATTGTGAAGTTGGCGGTAATGACGCGCTTCCAGTAGGCGTATAACTAAAGTAAACACGTTAAGCTTAGACTACAACTGGATTTGTGGGTGAGGCTGAACTTCACTGTGGAAATTACGGCTTTTGAAATTATTTCATGTAATGCAATTAATTGTTAATTACGATATTTTTCACCTCTAAAAAATAATTCCATAGTCACAACGTTTTTAAAAAGTTCTAAAATCGTTTCACTTACGAACTATTATATCAAATGTTTCAAAAGTACCTATACTGTTAAATACCGCCGAGAAGGTTCTGGAAACCATTTGAGTGCTTTATAGAATAGTAGTACCAAAGAGTACGGTAGTACTGTGTGCAGATCTTTCGATAAGTTTTCCTAACAATAGAAAACCTTTTTTTTAAGTGCTTGTACTCCTGATCGCATTTCCCTTGCTCTGAGAAAGACGGTATCAATGAAAAGCGTTAGGAGATAAGTACCTGGGACTCACAGGAAAACCGTCTAAGAGATTTCTCATCTGGCGGTATTGATTAGCATATAAATTAGAAAAAATGATCAAAGTCCTCGTATGAGATCAAAGGGGCTTCAGCGTATTTTTGTGTGGCAGATCAGTATTATCACAGACAACATATAGTATATGTTGTCTGTGGTATTATATTAGCCAGTTTTAACGCCACCATCAATACGATAGTGGAAGGCTACCAGTTTCCATTTGTCGGTACCCATTTCCGACATCCCGTTCACCCGCAATTCGCGTTTGAAGTTTTGAGTCGACCCTCAGTAAGTTCTTTTGGAAGACAACCACATTCCCTTTCTCAGTACCCGCTTATTACCGACGTCCATAGTTCACCCGCAATTCGCATTTTGTTAAAACACAAAATAGTACTCAATTTTTGAAACACTCTCATAGTTCGAGCTTTCTATTGGTGAATTGAGAAAGAGAGACGCGCGATTCGAGCTTTAAGAAATTTTAAACCGCGTGACAACATTCTGTTGTGTATCTTACTTTATACATAGGTTAGGTAGCGTAGACACAGACCGGAGGTCGTCCATGTCAAGTCAAGTTCAGTTCGTAGGTTGCGTGGTATAAGCGCTTCTTTATGTATCATGTATCATGTAATGCAGTCGTTATCTTTTATTAAACTATTAGAATCCACGTGTTTAGTTTGTTTAAATACAGAGCACATTCGTAGCGGAAGATGCCTTTTTCGGCGCCCGAAGTCGACTACTCCTCGAAGACGCGCGCCTTGCAAAAGGTGTTTAATTTCGTCCCTAGGAAAAAAAAATTCCGCTACGAAGCAGTTGTGCGTGTTTAAGTATACAAGATCTTTCCGACGACACCACTTTGAAAACAATCGGACCAATACTGGTAGAAAATAGAAAAAAATAGAAAAATCTCCAGTTAGTACCCCACATCATGTAGCCCCATTCTTAAAGTTGTTAATTACACGGCCCTCGTAGGTACATGTACTACTCCTAGTCTTTCTACAAGCGATCTACTACGGGCCCGCATTTGCTGCCAGCCAGCAAGCCAGACGGCCATAGAAAAATTAAAAACTACCTTTTTACAAATAAATTTGCAAAAATGCGCTAAAAATATATAATCATTACATATCAGAGCCCTGTTGCGGTAAAAAAAACAAAATATAGCTTACCGAGTTTGCGAGACTGATTGCATTGTGTTCAGCTTCCGTTCTTCACAACTCTTGTGCTGATAAAGCCATTGTTAATTGTATATATGTACACTATATACACCTTATAGGTACAATGATAAAGCGCATATTTTTAAACCGAAATAACTTAGTAAATAAAGTAACGGGCGATCAAAAATGAGTTGCTGTCGAATCGCCTTTGGAAGTTCAGGTAAAATATGATTTCCAATGTAACCAAAAATCCCAAAGGTAACTCGACAGCAACTCATTTTTGATCGCATATAGTATAGTAGCATGCGCGTATATTTATCGATTTTTACCTTCTTGGTATGATTAAAGGGGGACTCCAAATCGACGTAAAGGCCTTCTGGAACATATTAACAATGTACATAATACAAGAAGCTATATAATACAACAAGAATTCTCTTTGTTGGTGCCTTCCTTAGACACTTCGAGATATTCATACTTCAGTTTTTACATCGCCAGTAGATATGTCGCGTCTACACGTTCCAACTATACCATTTGAAAGTACCCTCTTCCGACACTCCGTTCTGCAGATATTTGAATCAAAAGATTTGACGTCACTTGCCCTCTTATGAGAACTCTCATTCAGTACTTCATTTCGACCTCATCATCTTACAAATATGTCTCGTCCAGACGTTTAATTTCCCCTTTTGTGAGTACTCTCCTCTGACACACCGTTTTTGAGATATTCGCTCTTCAAGTTTTTACATCACCATAATATGAATATATTCCTTCCAGACATCCCAATCGCCTTTTGACACTCCTGCGACACTCGATCCCCTCTTGAGATATAAAAAAATTATAATAAGAGAGCGAGAGGGCGAGGAAGACGACTGTGATTGGTATAAATTAAATCCTTTCGTTGATACTTTTAATTAGAATTAGAAAGTAACACCAATTTCACATACCTCTTTCCTCTCACCGACTCACCCACTAATTTCGAAAAGGGGTTGCGGAGGAGAGAGGAAAGCTGTGGAAACCACTGAAGGTAGGTATAACTATACTTATACTGGAACGCGCGCTCCGTCCGAAAGAGGAGCACAAGGTGCATTTATGTCCTACTCTCTCTCGCGAGTACGCGCATGAATAGTCACAGAAATGACCTAATGACCCTCGCGCACGAGTGACTGACAGAAATACCTCTGCGCGCTACATTTTTATGGCAGGAGACCGCCAGTGCGCGCTCTAATATAACCAGTAAGTGTTGGAAACCAATTACTTTCGATGAGACCTTTCATTAGAATACCATGAAGCAGAGCATATTTTAAGCTATAAAGTAGGCGACATTAGTGCCGCTGCCGCCTAGTAAAGACTTTTTGTCGCCCAGTAGTGTGTAAGGGTACCAGTGTCAAAAACTTTTCAGCTATCTTTCAAAAGCAAATTGGTGGCCTGTTAGTTAGTTAGTTAGTTAGTTATTTGAAATATGATCTGCCATGAAGGGTAGAACGTCTTTTTACCTTACCTATTGCAAAAAATTACAGGTTTGCAGGACAATTCCCCTAAAAGTTATTCAAAACCGCAGAAGTGAATCCTAACGGACGGACAAAACACAAACAATTCCACTATTGTTTAATCCATAAGAAAATGCGCTAACAAAATTGGATGGTATATTGATAGTAAGGGGGAGCAAGATTTTTTTCAAATAAACCAAGGCTATTTCGTTTGGGACCTGCGTCCCGAAATATTCCTTCCTTAATTTTGTGTCAGCAACCGTATCGCTAGGAAAAATCTAGAATCTATTAGGGTCAACTCCTTTACCTTAGATTTTGTAAAAAGGTTTCAAAAATTATTACTACCCTTAATCCAAAATTAAAAAGTTTGATCAATTCTACAGGACAAAAATGTACAGATTTCATCAAACTATTTGTGTATAGGTATTTACGAACAACTTATATAATTGTCGACTGTTTTTATATACCTACGAGTTATTTTAAAAAAGCACCTTAATCGTTGGAATTGTGAAAAACAAATACCGAATCAGATCACATATTTTGGGGCGTTTTCCCAGTCAAGTTGTATAATTGGGGCTGATTTTGTTTATGTACTTCCTGGAAGTGACCTTGAAAATATTTTACGTATATGCTCTACCGCGTGAAAGCGCAGTGCGCCGCGCGCACTCTACAGCGACATTTTGGTAGTATTCTACCGGAAACGGGATACGGGTTCGAGGCTAACAAACAGGTTTCCTAGCTACATATCCTTTGTTTTCACAGAATATGGATGCCATATTTAGCTTTGATGTATGTTTTGGAACAAGTAGTTAATAGTTTTGTTAAAAATGTGAAGTTATTCTTGTTTGTCAGTTTAATGTAAGTGGGAAAAAGTAAGGGTGTAAAAAAGTGTTACGAACGCACGTAGGGTCTTCGCTGTCTGCCTTTTTAAACTCGAAATGTTAGTGTTTACATGGAAGATTGAAATGTTGGATGTCTATTTTCGGAGTTTAAGGTAAGAGAATTTGATTTTACCATTAGAATAGGGCTTCTACTCGCGCTTCTTGCTTAATCTGTGCATATTACGAGTTGCTAAGCCTCGATACAAATTATTCAGTGGGGTACTCCTTTTTCTTGATTCAAAAATCCGTTTTGACGTTTCGTATAAACAGTGCATTTTTATAAACTTCCAGCGTTTTGTACAGTAAAAGCGTGGTCTAATCTAAAAATATCTCGATTTTACTAATTATAGAATCTACAGAAGTAACAAAATTTTGTTAATTAAAAAGTCTACACTTCTCTAATTTTGTTTACTAATTTCGTTTAATTCTACAAATCTGTACGAAATTAACGAGCACTACCTCAATCGACTTAACCAATTTATATTTTCTCGCAATGTTTTGGTCAGTTAAAAAATGATTTACGAAATCAATATTTGCATTTGCATGGCGCGCGATAATTGTTATCAGTTATTCGAAATGTTTACATTTTGGCCTCCCGGGCGGATTTATTTCGGAAAAGTGCGTTAGGTTCGCTAGGGCGCTTTATCAATTAAGGCGCGATACGCATAACGCGTAAAATAGGGAATGTATTCAATAATTTGCCATTGTCGTTCTCAATTTTACCCATCAGGAGCCTCTTTCTTTAAATTGGTGTACTGCGCATGTGTGACCTTTGAGGGAATTTGCTTTTCTTTAATTTTATCTGGTTGGCTCTCCTGCGATTTGTTGGTTATGTCGTCAATTTTTTCAATGTAAATTTTGTTTAATTAAACCCATTCTTTACGATCCAAAATCATAATTTAATGCCTTTTAACGATGTTTTAGAAAAATTATCTGACCTGGAGGGTGTTGGAGACATTCAACAGGGCAACGGCGTCGATGCCTGCTCAGCAATTGTCGATGGTGGTGATGCAGAAAATTCCGCTAAAGTCATGAGCGTCTGTCTAGGTAAGTTATGTGCGTGAAAGCTCTGTCACTACTAATGCCGTTTTTAGAACCGAACTCGATCCTTACCAGTTCGTCAAGTACAGTCTCTACCCAAAAATTGTTAGATACCGAACTAGCTACATCGTTGGGTAACGATCCGAAAGAAGCAATAACATCACAAAGTGTTGCCAAACTAGTAATTACACCAACTTCGTGTCCATCCAATTCTGTTTTGCACAAAGTGCCGACTAGTTCTGTTATAACGGTGGTGAATGCCACCGGACCGTTGACAATCCTCAAAACTTTATGCTCGAATTCTTACGGGACTGCTGCTCCCCAGTTTACTTTGGTTAATTCTACGCCTTTAAATGTCTCTAATGCTGCTGGGAAACCGATTACTGTTGTCGGGGCCCCGCCAATTACCGTAGTGAGAACGATTCAAAACATTAATCTGAATCAAGGCGAAGAGAACGTGAGAAGCACCGACACTTCTGGGGGTTCCATTAGTAACTTGATCGTCAGTAACGGACCGATAAATGCCGAAAGGCCCCCTATACATAATGTATTTGTCAAAAATACATTATCGTCAGAATTACTACCATCGGCAGAACCATCAAAGATACAAAAAGTCAATTCATTTTCGCCAAATAATGTAAGAACTTAACCACCGTCTTATACAACGTTTAGAGATGTTTTTTAGGTTTTACCCGCATTGACGAGTGGAAATGTTATAAAAACTGTGAACGGTCAAAAAGCAGCAACACCAACGCCTACGAGCAATAAATTAAAAATCGTAAGCAACATTATAGTTCCGCCAACCAGCAGTGCCATTCCAACGTGTACATCCAACCCCCCCTCGAATATTGTACTGAATAAATCTCAACCGGTGGCGAGAAACCTGTTGCCTCATAAACCTGTAGGTAACCCTCTGAACGGTGCGCCGAAATTTTTAAATCGTTCACCTCCCATCAATAATTTTCCGAATAAGTCAAATTCGGCAAAAGGTCTCGCGCATAAATCGCAAAAGCTGGTCTACCCGACTCACAAGGGACAGTTGAAGACCATTCCTCCTGTCTCGTTAGCTCAAAAGGTCGGAATTAAGACTCTCGCACCACAATCAAGGGGTATATCGAATCAGCATGTGCAAAGGACGAGCTCGGGATTGAGGACGATTCCGCCGCAACGTTCCCCAAAAAGTTCAAACAAGCCGAATTATATCGGGAAGCACGCAATTCAAGCGCAAAAGTTCAAGAATCCTCATAGTATTGGCAAACTGAAGAGTACTAAACCACTAATTCCAGCAGTTAACGTTTTCCCAAGCCGCACTCCTCAAAATACTGGTGTCACATATCATCAAGCCTTAACCGCAAATATTTTGCAATCGCTTAGTGAGAGCAGCAGCAATTCGTACACCAGATCGTATGACTTTGGTTCCAGATATGATGGAAATCAAGCCTTTTTGGACACAAGAAATAAGTAAGTAAACAAGTACAAATTGATCATTTTTACAGTAGAAAAATGTTGTTTTATTCATGTTACAAGTCTTCTTACCATTAATGTTGGTTGCATATTTTTTACTGGTCGTTATGTACTGAGAGCAGGAAGTAGAATGCCAGATAAGCACAAACAAAAAGTTGTAATGAAACTTAATAACACCATTGAATGTTTCAGATCCTTTCATGGTTGCTGTTTGAGTCTATCCGTGCCTACATATTAAAACCTATTAAATAAAAGGTGCTGCTCTTTATGAGGTCTGAATGCGTGTTCTTAAACCCTAAGATGGACAGATGAAACCCACACCCATATCAGTACAATATTGATTTAAATGCATCGCTAATTTTTCGGGAGGAGGTTGACTGATTTTGTTGGATGAATAGATTATAGTTACATGCGCGTAGAGAAATGAGAAATATATATTATATATATTTACAGTGGAGTATTGATACAGGGTGTAACAACTATGATATGTCAAAAAAAATGGGATGGCAAAGAACAAGCCTATTTTCAAATAAATCAAACGTGCAGAATGTAGCATTTAGGAGCAACTTCTATGGTCCAGATTTTCGTGGTTCCACTAACTCTGACCATAACATTTTATGGTGCCATATTGCGTACACAAACTCCTGGAAGGTTTTTTTTCCGGTCTTGTCTTTTCTACTTCTGCATGCAAGCAACAGTTTTGCTTGGACTTGGACTTGGTCAATCGAATGAAAAATTTGTTACGAGTCTCCTAGTTTTTTTTTTTTTTTTTGCAACCATAGCCAACTTTATTATTTCTTATGACCGCCATGCTGGATTTTATGTCATTAAAGACTTTCCAGCAAAGTACAGAAAGTACTTGTGTGTTATCATATGGTTTGTAGGGAATATAATAAGGTACAATCGAATCTTTGGATTTGCGTATGAGATCCAATATAGGCAAATTTGCATAATATTGTAGAACAGCAAACTTTTTTGGTGCCGTACCACCTAATATATTTCAAAATGTTTATGTGCCGCTGATATACAGGGTGAGTTTTTTTTTCATTTTAAGCATTAGGATCTCGGAAAACGTAAGACATAGAGATTCGGTTAAATGAGGAAAGAGTTGTTTTAAGAGCTTATGCAAGATATGCTTTTGTTTTTTGAAAAAAATTGACAGTACTAGATATGAGCGAAAAACAGATTTAGTGATTTTTCTTTTAAATGTTGTAGAATCGTTAATATTAGAAATACAGAAATACGCAAAGAACAAAAATTGTAGATTTTTTTCCACTTAATAAAGTACATTTATTAATTTTGATGTTTCTTTTATAATTTTTGAGTTATAACTCAAACTTATATTTTTTTAAATGGCAACTATAGTTGGCTGTGACATTTTTAAAAAGTGCATTTTTTTTGTTTACAGTGATATAAGGTTAATAATCAACCTTATATCACTGTAAACAAAAAAAAAAACCTTTTAAAAATGTCACAGCCAACTTGTACTTACTGTGACGAGTAAACATGATACAGAACTGTTTGTATTATTAAGAGTAGTAAAAACAGTTTACCATGGGAAACATTTTTGTTCTCTTAATTACTCAGTCTATTATAATATTTAACTTAAAACTTTAGGGCCACAAATAGAACTACAACGAAAAGAAATTACGAAATATTACATTTAAATTTTTACTTTGAAATAATTACTTGTAATAGTTATTTATGTATTAAGGGTATAATAGTGATGTTTATATTCTAGAGGGCGACGAGTTAAAAACCTTTTTAGTCGCCCGAGAGTATAAACATCAGTTTATGCCCGTGGTACATACACAATTTTATGTTTTACAAATACTTCGTCAAAATTCGTTTACAAAATAATTCGATTATGTTTGATCAAGTATGCGTGGTTCGAATTTGTTAATGTGATTGAAACCATCCAAACGTCAAACGTAATTTTAAAAGTAATTCAATTCATCGTGAATGAGCAAGAAGTTCCAGAAACTATACGAAATAAAGCCAATCTTGTGATTTAATAGGTATTGACAATTAATAAATGACGTTTCTAATTTTCATTGACCTGTACATATTTGTTTGTTTTGACATTAAGTATAAATGAGTTACTATGGTGATACTTAACGCCCTAGGGCATAAAGTGGTACTTTATGCCCGCGTATCACAGATATAAAATGTGCTATGATAGGTTAGTAATACATAAAAAAATTAATTTATCTCGACAAATGTTCAAAGTGCCCATCATTAATATTTACACACAAGTGGCATCTTTTCTCGATTGAATCTACTGCTTTCTGTATTATCCTACCGTCTAAATTGTGAAAGGCATTTACCACAGCATGATGTACTCTTTTGTCGCATAAGTTCGCTGATAAATCAAACCCTTTTAGAACACCAAAAAGGAAAAATCTAAAATCGAAAGATCTGGCAATCTTGGTGACCAAAGGATCAACTCGTTCCTACCTATCCATGACTTTGGAAATATGTAGTTGGTTTAGGTGATCTCGTACTTGTAGTTGGTTGTGCGGCGGGGCACCGTTGTGTTTAAACCAGCGTAAATTACATCGTGTTTCCAAATCTAACCCATCCTACATATCTTGAAATTCATTTGGTAGAAAATGAAGATAACATTGGCCTGTCCAATTATCATCGCAAATTAAAGGTCCAAGAATTCGCTATCCAATAATTCAGTACCAAATATTAAATCCAAGTATTATTTGAGGCCTTCAACAATAAACAGCAGTATTTTGTTTATTTATTGTTTTCTATGGCATGATATGATCTACTTTTAATAATGTATTGAATATAATTATTAATTTAACTTTCATAGTGAATTTTCGAAAATGGTCTTTTAAGTGCTACAGTTACACTATTCCCTATCTCACTACATGTTGTTTTCCATGGCAAACCCTGTTTATTTAACTCTCAATAATACGAAAATTCCTGCAGCGCGTTTATTTATTAAAATACATTTAGCAAACCTTATATCGTTATAATGAGAAAAATTTGTCCATTTTAAAAATGTCAAAGCCAACTATGACGATCATTAAAAAAATTAAAGTTTGTATTATAACTCAAAAATGGTAAAATATAGAAGGAAATTAGTATGTTCAGAATGTTAAGCATTAAAATGTGTAAAACTGTTATTCGTGTCATTTTGCTATATTTCTAATAACTATTCTACAACAATTAAATGAAAATCACTAAATCTATTTTTCGCTTATATCTAGTAAACTGGATTTTTTTCAAAAAACATAAGCATATCTTAAATAAGCTCTTAAAACGACAACTTTTTCCTCGTTTAACCAAATCTGTATGTCTTATGGTTTCCGAGATCCCAATGATTAAAATGAAAAAAAAAAACTCACCCTGTATGTTACTTATGATACGTTAAACTTAAAATGGTAAAATCAAATTGGAAAATATTTTCTCGCTTAAACAATGACAAAAATTAAAAAAGTGTCAATTTCAGAATGCCTATGTTTTGTTGTCAAAAGAGATACAAAAATGTTTATTACAAAAGTTTCATTATAATGATTATCGAATCGAATATCTTAAAATAAGTATACAGGGTCAATTAAAAAAAGTTAGTGGGCCTAACCTTCGAGCACATTGTATATTTTAGTCTAAAGAGATAGAACTCATTATTTGTTCTAGCCACTCAAATTCCTGGAAACCCAAATTGACATACGTGTGGAAAAAAAATTATTGCGGCTCTGACTTATAATAAGCCAGAAAGAAACCCAATAAGCATGTGAGAGAGACATAACTTTACCAATGTTGACATTAACAAGTAGCATTGAAATGTGTCATTGATACTACCATACACAAAAGACATGAATGGCAACAGCGCTTTTATTTTGTGTGTACAGTACAACCTCGTTAATCCGAATAGATTCGGACCACCGACCTTTCGGATTATCAAATTTTCGGATTATCGCGAAACTAGTGAAAATAATAAATTTGGACACAAGCATTAAGAAATAAACTTTAGTCTTTCCAACGTCTTAAGGGGTGTCATCGTTGTTACGAGGAACGAAATTATTTCGGACTATCACGATTTCGGACTTGCGTGTATTCGGATTATCGAAGTTGTACTGTATTCTATCGCATTTCACACTCATATAATGGCTTGGGCTTCATTCCGACACGACGGTAATCGCGCGATTCTCATGAGAATCTTATTTACATGAAACGCGATTACGAAGCACAAATTAATTAGCGGTAGCTACAGGAAATCAAATGCAGGAAAGCGAAAGAATATTCCCTCTTACAATTAATGGAACAGAAAGTAGCAAAAAGTTTAGCTTGAAATCAAACGGAATGATAGAAATTTCTATTCAGGAAGAAAAAGCGCTAAATACGGTGGGGTAAAGTTAATGCAAAATACATTTATTGAAACTATCAAGATTAATATAGTACTTATAAATGTCACTAGCAAACTATAGGCACTATAGGCAAAGAGACCTCCTCTAAAGAACGCTCCCTTTAATAGAATTCGACTATTTCATGGAAGGATTGACGGTTTTCCAGCCGAAACAGCATATTCGGTTATCTACATCAAAAAATTATATCTTCCTTCATTTGTTGTGCACCCTAAAAATCTGTAGTTGGTCTTAAAATCAAATTAATTAAGAACGCTTCTTTTGAGACCCCTGATGACTCTTAACTCGAGGCTGTTTACTGCAACTCATTTAATGAGCTACCGCTAATCACTTAATTTGCCATTGTCTCATGCCATTTTTCAGGTCGCCAAAAGGTCTCATATCTATCTGATACCGGCGCAAACCTTGGCCTTGACCTTGCAGTTTCAATGCTTGTTTTAAATTAACATAGAAAACTAGAACCATCTAATAATTTCTTAACTGGACTGAAATTCTAAAATATGAGTTCACTTTCTTCTTCTAAACAATAATTTTCGGGAGATAATTGAAATATCTTGACGGAAACGGTTGCAAACGGCGTATTAATAACAGCTTTTGTTTACGGTAACGCCGGCTGAAACAACTAGAAATTAAATCAATTACCTCTACCTTGGCTTGGAAATAAACAATTTCAACATGTTGCTATACTCCACAACAGATTCATTGTTGCTCACATTTGCCATTTAAAATAGTCTGTCGTACGGTTTTAGATTGAAGCACGGTGTTTTTTCAGTTGAGTAGGTTTTAATGGATATAGTTTCTGCTCTCAGTGAATTGTATTTTAATTAATAATTAACAAAAATACTTTTAGTGAGGTGACAACTCCCCCAGTTAAGCCGCAATCAAATTTAGAAGCGTTGTCGTTTGTTTGCCAAGCAGTTTTGCTAGATCACAATTACAACGCAACACCTCCCGCTGAATCACTTAACAGAAATGTACCGACTACATCGACATCGCCACAGCTCAACGGGTCATCTCTAGGCTCATATTATTCACCAAATAGCAATGCAAGTAGGTAAATTTTTGTTTCTCTTGATATAGAGTCACAAACGTGTTTACGTGTGCTACAGGAGTTCGTTCATCTTTAGGTGGCTCGACCAACACCTTATCGACGTTATCCAGCAGCTCGATCACTTCGGTTTTGCCTAACAGTATCGCGGCGGGCGTCGTTCAAGATGACGACGCCGCATCCGACATCAGCTGCGGTTCCGATCGCAAAATCGAAACTGAAGGTGAGGAGACCGACACCGCTCCGGAAGCGGAAGCCGTCAATAATGAGGACCATTACGGCGACTACGTGACGCGTTGCATTTGCGGTTTTCTTCACGATGACGGTTATATGATCGAATGCGATAAGTGCAAGGTTTGGCAACACGTTCGGTGCGTCATTAAAAGTAATAAGAAGGTTCCCGATGATTATTTGTGCGAACTATGTGATCCGAATAAACCCGTGGACCGGGGAAAGGCTCGTACCTTGCAACAGCAGTGGATGAGAGAGAATCAGGAGCGAGAGGCAAAACTAAGGAAGGAAGCGCGTTTGAGGGAAATGAAACTTAAAGAAACCCTGAGCGATAGTGATTCATCTGATGCTGAAACGATAGGTAATCAAATTATTTTTGTCTTTGGATTTCGTAGTATCATTCTTTTTATTTGAAGTAGTTTTACCATTGGTGTCGTTCATGTTTGATTTTGCACTTACAAGAGTTTCTGTGATGATACGAAACCTCGCCCAAAGATCCCGCTCCCAGATATTATATTTGCCACATCAGAAGCCTTTGCGGGCTTATTTAAAAAATACCAACTTTGGGTCAAAAACTGTGATCCAAACATTTTCTTGAACTACGCTACTGGATTCTTTGTAAAAATATTTAATACAGGCAGTTTTTACTTTTTTTCTATCTTACATTGGTAGTAAGATTTCACAAAAAAGTGGTACAAGGTGGTGAAAACCACAAGTCTCTAGCTTTAAAAACAGCTGAGATACACCAGTCTCAAGCAGAATAGGACACACGGTACAGGGATATTGACTTTAAATTACCCAATGGATATTTGTTATTATCACAGATGAGGTATAGATTAAATGTAAAAGTTGTGGGGGTGACGAATCGTCTTAATGTATCTCAAAAAACACAGTGGCGCACCATAGCTAAGGGGAAGAATAATATACAGTGTGTCCCAGATCGAGTGGGATTGCATGGGTAACTTTCTTATTATGAAAGATAGAGAATTGGTTAAATGGGCAATGTTTTGCAGTTTTAGATGTTTATTTAAAATTGCCTTGTGGAAATTCAAAATGTCAAATAGGTTCGACGTAAATTCAAAAAAACTAAAATTCGTCATTTCCTTTAATGTCTTATATCATGGAAAGTATAAGAGATATAAAAAAAAGTTTTATATAAAAGTTACTGTCTTTGATATGCTTCATTTAGAATCGATGTGAAAAAAAATCCAAGATAGCTACTTTTGAGGAACATTCTAAAGTTAAATAGGCGCCATATAGGATTTTTAAATTACTTGATAGATTTTTTAATTCTCTTTTCAAAGAGCTATCATCGCATAAGATACCAGTTATATCAACGGTTTTTATATTTTAATCAAATAGGCTGTGATTAATTAAAAAAAAAAACAAAATCTATTCCAGGGAACAAAACAATGAAAATAATTACATCAGATGTTTAAAATATCAGGGGCGCACTCATGGGAGGGAGCGTTAGAACTCCCTCCAAAATGTTATATAAGTAGGCCTAGAAAAGTTTATAGCTCAGCGGTATAGAGCGTTGGGGTATAAATCCAGAGGTCGGGTGTTCGAACCTGGTTTGAGGTGAATTTTTCATCTGTGGCAGAGATGGGAATTCCTTAGATCATTTTCGAGCATTCTGCCGGCTACTCCGAATTAGGTTTTCCTAATTCGTAAGGTAAATACCGGGGTAGTATAGAACAACTTAAGACCTTCTGCAGGGGCACCTCTAAAAAGCATTATGCTGGTCACTTTGTAATTGGGCGTAAGCCTGTTGAGATCCTAGAACAAGAGGAACAATAAAATTAAAAAAATATTATTGCCATAAGAAATACATTGTAAACTTTGAGGCAAAAATGCAAGGTTCATTTCCCAATGAAATACAAAGTGTTGAATATCACTGGTTTTATAACTTTGTTTCTCTATTGAGTGATGTAAAATCCAATATGGCGTCCATTTAAAATAAGGAAGTTGATGTCAATATCTCGAAAACCGCCATTGTGAATAATTTTCTTCTACACTCATTAAATTTTCCCCATCGAATCTTGAAATTTTTATTTGAAACTTTTTTATAGCTCTCTTTGTTACTAAAATATTTGAATTTTTAAAAATGGCGGTTTTCAGTTTTTTCCAATTATCTAAGAAACGATTTATATTTTTCAAAATATCGCAGCGGAATATGTATTAGCATTAAAAACTACACAACTTTGCCAATTTAACCGAATCTGTAAGTATAATAATAACAAAGATAGCCATGTTATCCTACTCAATTTAAGACACCCTGTATACTAATACTGAAACAAAATAAAATACAATATATAGAATAATACTTCATGGCTGACTTTGATGGTAATAATTTTCCAATATGCAAGTAGTAAGTAGCATAACCACCATTTTAATTGTTTAATAACTCAACAGTTGTTTAAGCTAGAGGTATCATTCGGTATATTTTTGAATTCGGTCAAATATGAGCATTACGAAAATAAAATATATGCATATTATTTTTTGTACTTTTTAGCTATGGGTGCTCCACTGTGTTTTTTGATGGCCGGTGTGGCGTAGTGACGTGGACGCGGCACTGTGACACTAAGGGTCCCTGTGTACGAATGTTTACAAATTGTGGCACATGCAAAGACCTTTGAAAAGAACTGTTTGCTTTAAAACGCCTGAATCACTCTACAAAGATAGCAAAATTAAATTTGCATAAAAAACCCGCCAATGGATGGCGAATTACTGCTTGAATAAACTACTTTTTTTAATTTTGATATTTAATGTGACACTTTAAAACTCGTTGACGTTGTCAAATGCCTTACTGTTCACAACTTGTGAAAAGTAAAATATTTCGCAACTGGTGATGAAAAGTATCACATAAAATGTCAAAATTAGAAAAAATATTGTGTGAAACACATTGGGAAACACTACTATTCATAATTCGCTTTCTTTTACGGAACTCAAATAACTATTCTAAATCTCAGTTATTGTGGATCACATGGTATAAGCTTGAAGATAGTTTTTTGAATTAGTTTTTGCATTTTCCAACATCTAGTAGGTTTTCCACATATCACCATAGTTACTTTCTCATTTAGTTGGTTTCTATAACAATTTTCTAAGTTATATTACATGTACAATTGCTTTAAACTGTCAATATTTTATTTAGGGGGAAATTTATTATCAAAGAGTCGTATACCGTCAAATAGCCGAAGAAAAATGGATCAAAACGCCAGACTTCCTCCACGTCAACGACGTGAATCCAAATCAGAAGGTAAAAGGAACATCAAACGGAAAGAGAGGAGACCGTTTAAAAAGAAGGTAGTACACTTTTAGACTGTCCAATGTTGTAAATGGTAGCTTTCAGGTGAAACCGCCTCCTAAAAATCACAGCGACGAAGAGACCCAAGAAGGTTGGTCCCATTCTTCAATCTCTCAAATGCCACAACTCCGTCAGTGGATTGAGCACTATGAGGATGCCGTTACGAACCACTACTCTCCGGAGCTTCGAGCTCGTATTTCAAACATCAAAATGAATGGTATCCATTCAGATCTGTCTTCGCAGATCGATAATTCCGTTCACAAGTGTCGAATTTTTACGCAGCCCTTGACGGGTTTAAAATTTTTGGTAAGCGCGACGCATTTGCCACCGAATACGCCAGTTGTAGAACTTCGAGGCAAGTATATGCTGTCCACTCAGCACAGAACGAGTACGGTGGGACATAGCGGATCCTTAACTACACGACAACACGCTCAAAGACCAGGACCTTTTCTCTTCTTTTACCGGCTACACAAAGATAATACGGAAGTGTGCGTCGATACGCGCACGTACGGTAACGAAGCGAGGTTCATACGAAGGTCCTGTAAGCCAAATTCGGAACTGCGACACTGCATTGAGAAGGGCGTTCTTCATCTGTACATCTTCACGGTTACGGCGGTCGAGAAAAATTGCGAGTTAACAATTAAACACGAGTCGCATGACTTGGCGGTCATCGGAACGTGTCACGTGTCTTGTGCCTGTGGAAATTCCAGTGAATGTGCGGTTAATAAACCGTCTATTAAAAATGAAAGTGAATGCACAGAGGCGTAAGTATTTATTTTTTTAAATGTGACGAATCAATTGTTACTATGCATAAGAGCGCTAAAATGCCCCCATGTATAATGTACTATTTTTGTTATATCTTCCTAAAATAGTCATGCAAGAATGATATTACTGACGCCATTGCCATTTAAATACGACCAGGGTAGTAGATAACATAACACAAGCTGCGTTATCTAGACTATTTGTAAAAAAAAGCTAAAAATCTACCATGCGATCAAAAATGAGTTGCTGTCGAGTCACCTTTGGAAATTTTGTTTACATGGAAAATTGTACTTAAATGGAACTTGCAAAGGCGACTCGATCGCTACCCATTTTTGATCACCCATTACAATCATAGTGTATTACATGTACTATGGAGGCAAATTTAAAATTATAAAAAGTGCATATTACTTCAGTAAATCTGTCAGAAAAGAGGGGCTTGGTTTGCAAAAGGTCATGTAGTTCTGATTTTCTGTACACTTCGTATGCTTACCAAAGGTCAGAAATGTAGCTTATGAAAGCTACACGCCCAGAAGTCCCAGATTTTTGTTTTTCTGTAATTTTTTTAGTGCAGCAAGCACATTGTAAAATAGAACTTGCGGCTATATCTTTTTGGGTATATCCTTTCTAACTCGTACCTTAGTGCAACCTTAAATGCGGGTAGGAAAAAAATCTCAAAAACATTAAATAAAAAAATAAGAACTACCCACTTTTTTGCATATGAACATTTAGTTATTTACTAAATTATGTAAAAATTGTCAGCAATGTATTGTGTCAAAAATCATTAAAAAATTTGTAAGTAAATCTATATGCCCCCTAGACCAAGTACGCCACTGACCACAAATTTAAAGTGCCTAGATTGGTAGCAAACTTTTATAATTTTGGATACCATAAAAAGCCTCTTTAAAAAAATGATTTGAAGATATATCCAGTGTTCCAGACAAAATGGTCACCCTGTATTTGCGCTTGAACATGAAACCACTATACAGACAGTATAAAAACGGTTGTGTGAACCTCTTTTAACTTACAGTAATATGGTAGTTCGAAAGAGAAGAGGTCGACGTCTAGCTTCCACGACACCAGAAGTAGAACCTACAGCATTATTAACGCCGAAAGAAGAACCTCCCCCTTCTCCTGTGGAAGTCAAACAGGAAGACATCGAAGTCAAACAGGAAGATGAAATCAAAACTGAACCCGAAGAAGAAGTTCAAATCAAAGAGGAACTGGAGGAAATCAAAAAAGAAGAAGAACCAGAGGCGATCGTGAAAGAGGAGCCCTGTCGTAGTCCGTCGCCGCCAGTAAAAAAATCGGGGCAACAGTCGAAAAGTGATTCGGAGGACAAAAAGGAATCTCCCACTAAAGAGTGTCTGTCCGCAGATAAGCAAAAGTTGAGCCGCGAAGAGAGGAAACTACAGGCGATTATGAAGGCGTTTGAACGTATGGAAAAGCAGGAGCAACGAAGACAAGAGCATCAGGCGAAGCAGGCGCATAGGCGAGAGTCTGAACCGTGCCCGTCGAAAGACGATGATAAAATGGATTCTAAAGTGAAAAGGCGGAGGTAAATTTTTGCGTTTATTTTTCAGTCTGTTAATTTAATGTCGCCGTTGCAGGAGGAAAGGTCGAGCTCGAACGATAAGTACAAATTCGCAGTCTCGACAGAACCGTTTAAATTCTTCAGATTCATTGTATGCCACGTCGGGTGATGAATGCATGCTTTCTCCAACAGATAGCTTACATGTGCCCATAAAAGATGGCGATTCTAATCATTCGCCTAGCAAAGATGTCGGACTTCTGACAACAGTTGTGTGTGATCCGGGAAACAGAAGCGATGTTAAGGTAAAAATTGTGTTTTTTTTTCCAAATACATTTACCTCTCATTACAGAGTCCTATACCGAACGTTGATTGTAATTCCAATTCTGCAAATTCCTCACCAGAAACGCCTCTTTCGTCAGCATGTCTACTGGTTGCTGCAGCTGTGGAGCCATTGGAACCAAATTTCAAGTTCCCAAAAACGAAAAAGGTATTTAGTTTCTTCAAAGTTGAAAAAAACAAAAAAGTAGCGTGTGTTGAAAACCTTTCTGAAATTATTGAATTTAGAAATTACAATTTTTTTTATATAAGAAACTTGGGTTTATTGAAATACAACATCTAATCAAATTCAACATTTATTACACAATTTTACGTTCTAAATGCGTTTATCTAGAGGAAAGTGTGTTCACTGAATTTACAACACTTTTATGTTCGATCAAAAACTGAATTTTCTAAAATCTTTCAAACTTCAAAGGTAACATTTTTTAAGGGGTTAATGAACGAGTGGATAACTAAAAGCACGGAATGTATACAGTCCGCAAGTTCCATCTCGCCTTCTTCACTTACACCACACATTGTTCCTGTGAGTACACCAGAGACCTATTACGAGAATGCGACCAACAACTTTTTTGGTGCCGCAAAAAATTTGGTTGCATTAGCGCAGGCCGCCAATTATTGTGATCTGCCTACTCAGCCATTGGGAAATGCGAAGAAAAGGTGGCTTCGACAAGCCATCAGTGAGGATCAATGCGACAGTCCGAGTAGTCGGCCAGGTAACAATTATTGCCCCCTCCCGTACGTTGTGTTTAAGACTCTCTGTTACAGAATCACCTCCATTGACCGAAATGGTTCCACCTCCAAAGAAACGTCGACTTCCTCGAGAATCTCTCTCCTCCGACAACTCGCCGCCTACGACACCAACAAATTTCAATTTGGCAGTAAATGTATACTTATCCAAATATTGTATGGGCGCTTTTAATTCGTTTTTTGTTTGATTAGGGAGGCGAAGAAGTCAAAAGGTTTAAGGAACACGAAGATAGGGTCGAGATCGTCACTGCGGGGAATGACGGTGACAGTCCAACCAGGGTAGTGATAGACGACGCGTCTTTGAAGGAGCGGGTCGCCGAAATGCAGCAAGAAATTGGTGCGTGTTTTCGTTTACCCGAGCCTATTGTAGAGGTACCACCAAAAGAGTTAGCGTCTACCACTCCTCCTCCTCTTCGTTGTGCGCTGGATCCTAGACTGTCAAGGCCCCTTTTCAACACAAGTGAACATTTAGTAGCGACTGTAGAGAAGAATTTGAGCATACTGGGTTTCGAGGATAAAACCACACATGCGGCGCCAATTAAGAGAAAGGTAAAGATACTCATGCCCAGTTGCACCAACAAAATTAAGCCTTGCTTTTATGGCAACAATTATCGAGACAATTGTTGCTATGGTATTTAAGTTAAGGGATACTTAATTTTGACAGTGCAATTGGCCATCACACTTTTGAGTCATCTGCAATGTGTTTATGGTCTATAATGTTTGATTGCATATTTTGAAGATAGTATCTGTCAAACAGTCAACAAAATGTGCTCCATGTTCATGCATTTAGGAGAGCACATTTTTAAATTTTTGGTGGAAAACTATTATTCCTGTAACATACCCAGACCAGTCCCTGCACACTTCAAGATTATATTCAAAACTGTGTGGTGTCACTTGTTGGGGTGAGGATCAAATAAGGTACTGAATTAAAAAGAGCACATTTTTAAAACAGTAATTTAATCGATATTGCAAGAATAAATTGTGAAAATGGTAGGATACCGAGTAAAAAATAGGCTGGTGAAAAAAGGACTGACCAAGAAAAAAAACCAGCCAACAAATTAATATTATACTGTATAGCAAAATTAGTTGTTTGTAGTATATGAATGCATTGCATATTGTAATGGTTGCCAAGTAAATTAATGAAATGTCACATCATAAGCTCCACAGGAATTCCTAAAGAATTAATATTTGAGACATAACACATGGTGTGGATATTGGGTGGCCAGTCCAAATATCCCGCACATCATACAGCGTTGGTTCAACAAGATCCAATCAAACATTAGTCAATATTACTCTAACTCCTCTTTCCTGATAAGAAGCTGCGTGCTTGATGCATTTAGCACAACCGTAAAATGTTATTCGTTGTTTAGCCAACTTAAGATCAAGTCCAGTTTTTTCAAAAAGTGAAACGTAAGTTTTGATTGAGTAAATAGTGGATTTAGCCACATCATACAATGCAGTAACACTCACGCCCTTCTCAAGCCCCTCAATAATTTTAGATTTTTTGTTGTTAATCATTTTGTAAATTCAGATACGTGAATGTTCACATAAACACGAGTCTACTATATCACACATTCAAAACGAGCCACCCGCTAATAATATTTAGTATGATACGGTTCAAAAAGGGCAAGGGGTCACTACAGGGATTACTACAAAACAAAGAAACATATCGGGTCAAATTATTAATACAAATTAATTAATTCGATGCCAAGTGCAATTGTACAACCATCTTGACCTGCACAACTCATTCGCATATGAGTGATACCCTGTAACTAAATAGTAATATCGGACCTGTAAAGGAAATGAGATACTGAAAGAGATTTAATTATAAATAAACAGTTTGAAGTCGATGTCCAAACTGCAGCAACCAGGGAAAAGTTACAAAATATGTAGCACATTATTTCCTTGAACCCCGTAGTATTTGCTTCTTTTATCAGATCAAAATGTAATAATGGAATTTTAATTGGAAAATCTTAGCCCAATCTCTAGTTTCAATAATACAAAAGATACCCACTTAGTTTCTGTTGAATTTATGATTTGTTGCCCGACTTTCTTGCAGCTGTCAATAACGGAGTATCGGCAGAGAAAGCAGCTGACCTTGAATGAAAAACTGGTAGACGAAGCGGTGAGTGAAGAAAATACATCTTCGCAATCTCCGCCGTTGAAGCTACGTACTAGAAGCGATAGTAACAGTAGTGCCACGTCCTTCGCTTCTTCTGATGAAGAATTTCGACCTCCGGAATTAACTCAAAAAGGTGAGGTACCTTTTAGCAAAACAACATTTGGCAAAGTAAAATTTCAGCATTATCTGCATTCAATTCCGAACCCACCGAGTTGGAGAAACAACGGGAGAGCGTCAGTTTACGATTGAAGAAAGCATTCGGGTTATCGATAGACGAAGATTCCCGTAAGCCAGGTGAGCGAGTCGTACGTATTTTTATCTAGTTAACTTTTCCATTTTCAGCGTTGAGCATGGAAACGTTGCTAAACTGTGATTTAAATTCCGCAAAAACTTCACTCCCAGGTTTCGGTTCGACGGTTTCCACATGTAGTGAAAGTAATTCCAATCCTCCCATCTTAGAAACGGTATCCGCCGAAGAGTCGGAGACGTGCTCGACGATGGAGGTTGTTAAATCCGAAGTTATTTCCGATTCTTCTTTGGCAAAGGAAGAATTGACCGTTGCTAGAGTTCCAACCCCTTCTGAAGTAAACGAAGGCGTCGTTAATCCGAAAATGTTTTATATTCCGGACGAGGAGGATGCAGATAAGACGGGAAAGGAAGAAGCCGAAAGTATACCGGATGCTAAATGTGATGAATTTGTAGTCGTCGAAAGTACAAATTACGTTCCACCTTTCAATAATCCGGTATACCCAAATAGTAGCTTTACATCGTTTGGTTCTGTGATAGGTAGGTTGATCTGTTTTGTATAATTTTTTTTAGCGCGTTCATAACAAAAGAATGCAGTACTGAGTGGCAATTGGTCTTTACGTTCATTGGGGATATGGGTGGCAGGTGGTAAAAACTCCTTTATAAAATAAATATGAGCTTAAATAGTGCTAGGAGGTGAACCTTTTGTAATTTATTAAAAAAGAAAACTTCCCAGTATTGCACCCAAGTGCATATCTCTTGTGTGACATAAGGAAAATACAGTTACAGTGACTTTATAAGGACAGTGGTGACAACTTATCATAATCCGTCATATTGGAGCTAAAAAATTGATTATAGGATAGGATACCTTCTCATGACAAATTGTGACTGTAGAATAATAAATGTCAGTTTCATTTAAGTAAAGATTCTCATTCAAAACTAACGGCGCAGAAATGATTGTTTAAAGCTTTGCAGAACAACCTATGGGAAAACCACTGCCTCCCAAATTCAAAAAGATGGAAAATGGTATAATAAATATAAAATATGGTACAATATCCAAAATGTACATATAAAGGTAACCATTAATCATTAATATGTGTTTGACACAGTGTGTTCTGTCACTTCTTATCCCTTGTCGCTTATTTCTCCTTCCGGGATAAAAAGTATTACTTTAGTCCCTTAAATGGAAGACAAAACACGTTGATTTAGTCCACGGAGTGCAAGATATCAATATTCCTTGTGCTTCAGCAATCATCAATGTTAAACATTAAACCAATTCAAGCGTATTTATGGTCACAATTGCGTTATCCATAACCATAAATGAATTTGCCGCTAAATTTCAGATAAGCTGCTTCTCTAACCAATTTTCTATCTAAACTCATTTGGTATTTAGGGCTTCTGAAAAAATTTTTTCATCAATTACCAGTAGTAACGTTAGGCACACTTTTACATCTAAAAACACTTTAAGCGAATTACCAATTACATACCTTATAATATCATAAATCCAAGCTATATCCTCTGCTATATGCGTCTTTAAAAATCGAGTTTATATAAAACTGGAGACGGAAAACGTAAAATAAAGCAAAGTGTAAACTAGTAACGTGAAGCCATGACAATTAAAGGTGAGACTGTCAAAACAGTATAATTAATGATTATAGCACGGAGTGTACTATGTCGTTTTGGGGGCTTTCTATTGGCTGGTTTGGAATTTAGCTCCAATATGGCCGTTATTTGAATAAAATAACATATGGAATAATTAAATGTTTTGTATAGTCTAGATATTGACTTACAGATGACGAAACACGGTATGAGGGACGAAATCCATCACCGCCGCCCGAATTAACCAGCGCGCCGAATTACTCGTCCCCTTGAAAGCATCGAATTCGTAACGCGATCGGTTACAGTTTGGGATCTTGCAATGTGTGACATTAAAAAGTGTAAGCGTTGTTATGAAAAGGAGTGGTTGCCATCGGTGGTTAGTAAGAACGTGCAATGATTTTAGATAGGCTTTATTTTAATATATTTACAAGATTAAGTTCTGTAGTGAAGAAACATTGGGCGAGTATTAATTATGCGCATATGGGGTTATCCTACTGTACATAGTTGAGATTGTTTTTATTTTGGAGATTTATTTTTTAATGTTACTACGATTCTTGCCTTCCATCTATATTCTCAATTCAGTAAATTATTTTAATCTCGGGTGTAGATATTTGGCAAGAATAAGATAATACATACATGTACATATACTACTTTTGTGAAACAATTATACAAGATCAAGGATTAGCTAATTAAAACTTGTTGATATTTCTGAGAAAACAATGTCATGTTTCCCACAGAGTACAATTTGTTGTTGTTGTACATAATTTTTATATTAGAACGATGATGTGGGAACCATCACGAAGTTGTTATAGCTATAAAAGATAAAGTACAAAATTGTATAAGAGACAAAAGTTTGATCTCTCCCATTAACAGTAGAAGATTTTTTATTTTCTGTAGAATAAGAATTTATGAATAATATTTCTAAGGTATAACTAGTTAATGGTACTTGTATTAAATGTTATTTTATTATCATAGTTGTTAGAGTGTAAATGCAAATTTTACATTATTATTAAGTTGTGCATTTTGTTTATGTACCGATCCGACATCTTATGTTTCACATTTTGTTTCTTTTAAGTACACGGAAAATTATAAGGCGCCCTCGTTTCGTGATTCCCGGTGATTTAATTGTTAACATGAGTTGTTGCTGTTTTATAGGGCCATGGATGTACATATGCCATTTGTTTTTCCATCATCTGTACATATTTGCAGAAAAATATTTATATAGAAATTATAAATCAGAATTTGTACATGACGTCGATACATTTTATTTCAAATTTGTTTGGTCTATTTGTATAAATTCTAGAAATTATTTATTTTTTTTTATACTTGAATTAAAGCGTTACTACTGACATTATTTGTAATTGTCCAGGTTATTACCGATCGTTCTATCAATTAGCGGGGGATATATTATGTTAATAATGGTAAACGTGTTGCTATTCTTTGCACATAGGTTGCTTCACATTTCATTCATTCGTTAGACTTTCTTAGAAATTTCTACTTTCGTCGGCATGTAAGCAATAGTATTATAATTAACCATTTTATTTTTGTATAGAATCTCTAAACATTAGTTTTCCATCAATTTAACATTATATCGCCAATACTTTTCCAAACATTACATTTGCTGTATGAAAATTGCATTAGTTTTGCCTCGCTTTAGAATGTAAAAAGGGTTAATTAAAAAAATTGTTGATAATGATTTTGGAGGTTATTGTTCTGAACAGTATTATTTTTGTAACTTTCGAACTAATGCGATTTTATCTTTTGAGTAATGTCAATGAATTTCAACGATTTAATAATATTTACATAAAATAAATATTTTATTATATTGCGTGGTTGTAAATAAAAAATGAATATTAATTTGATGTTGGTGCGAATTTATCGTACAATATTTCACAATTAAATTAACAAAGTGTTTATTCAGTGTTTTATTACAATATTTAAACAATGAATTTAGGATGGAAGGTTGTAAGGTAGGTTTGTAGGTGTTTATAACCCACGTTCAAAACTGAAATTTAGCGAATCGCTTTGATTTAAATGTACATTTAGACTGTGACTAATTACTTCCCTTAAAGTTATCTGCCAGATGTACTACCCCACATTTGAGACTAACAGTGATGTGGTGTGGCTTAAATTTTGTCATGTTGGGCTAGACTTATCAGTATTGATTTGAAAGCTGGGCACTTGATGCAATCCGTATTCGACAGCCTTTTTAGCGCATTTTTCATTCCCAAAAAGTAGCTTATTGTTTCACTATCTGCTGTTTGGGTGCCTTTTATAAATCGAGTGGAAAATTGTACAATTTTCGGGATTTCGGCATTATATTCATACCATTGTGTTATCCCTGCATCGATTAGTCTGAAAGCCATTCCTGAAGTTAATAATTTATGATTTTTCTTTAAATGTGTTAAAATAGGAAATATAATGTCGTGTGTCCGAGATATAGTTGTGCCTCTGCATAGTGTGTATCATTTTTTATTTAAATTCGATATTCTTACACCATCTACGTATTTCTTTTGTGAACCCGTATAGTTGAGACATTGAATTTATACCTAACTATGTTGAGACTAGTTGGGTGTGTATAGTAGAATTGTTATTACTTTCGTTCTTTATTTTCGCCGCTAGAGGCCATTCGAATGTAATAGCATTGATTATACACACTGTATAATCAATGGTAATAGCATGTAATAGGATTTACTTCATTTTTTCACCACCTATCGTGCAGATGTTTTCTGTGATAATTCTATTCTTTCTTTAATTTTGCCTTGCCTATAATTTTAAAATTAAATTTTAAAACTTGCAGTCGGTCATATTTTCCAAACTAAAGCAGATATTAAAAATCGCATCAACTTCTCAGGTCATTCGCCCTTTTTAATAGTATTGTTTGTACTTAAACGTTTTCAGGCTAGCATCATTTTTCCATGTAGGTACGCGCACATAGAACGGCATCGGACGGACGGTATTCTACGCATTTTTGATAGGGTACGTATCGCACATAAGTTATCGGAATGGCCGAAAGAAATTCAGTTCAGTCGTGTTTTAAAAACGAATTTAAATCTAAAAAAAGTGCGCGCGCGACTTAAAACTTGCGGAAACAGACTAAGTGAGAGAGAGGGAGAGGGGGGGGGGGAGAGAGAGGACGCGCAACGTGAGGCGACTGGGACAGGCGGTGTTTTTCACGATGTGCCGGGATAAACTGTATAAAGGACGATTAAGTAGTGTTTTGATTAGTTTGACGATATTGTATTTTGGTAATTTAATAGTTTTAGGATGGCCATCCCTCAGTAGGTAAGCGTTTATTATTATATTCATAGAAAACCGTTTGTTTATCATTTCCAACATTGTAATCCAACGCACGTTTCGCACGCAATAAAAAAAACGACACAGTATCTTTGTGCTCTCTCTGACGGGGTCATTGGATTTGATCAATTTTCAATAGACTTGTTACATGTGGTATTATAGATCACCTGTACAAAGTTTGAACCGAATCCGCCCAAGAGTTTGGCAGTTATCGTCTTCACGGACGCACAGACAGATAGACAGACACCATCTACTCTCCTATAATAAAGCTTCGCTTTGCTCTGCTCTGCCGCTGATAAATGCCAATGACGCCGCGACAAGTCCCTACCTACATCGCACACACGTCGTGATCGGCACGCACGGTGCGCATCGGACGGATTTTAATGTTTCTCAATTCGCGCCAGATTTTTAAAATCCGATGCCTACCGTCCGCACGTATGTGCGCGGCTGCATCTCATTCCATTAAAACTGTTTTTTTCCGATCCGTACCGTCCGTCCGATGCCGTTCTATGTGCGCGTACCTAAGATGTAAGCGGGTAAGTACCACGGTCCGTATACTAAACGGTTGCCTCACTTCCAACCAATAAAACGCGCTGCCAATTATGACGTACTGTACCGCAGTAAGCACCGCCCACCACACAATTCTCATGTACTATGCAAAAAGAGTTAAATTTTGCATATTTGTGTTTGTTATCGTAATGATATTTAAAGCTTCAATCAGTCGCGGTACAAACGTCAAACAAAAAGAAACGTCAGAAAATTCTACAGCAGGCCAGAGTACGTCACACGCGGGAAGTTCCCCTCTCTCTCAGCGCCCACAAACAGCAGTGACTGAGGCAACCGTTAGAATACGGACCGTGGGTAAGTACCACCTAACTATTGTCTATATCTTACTAAAATACGCAGAGAGTTTCAGGTACTTCACATGTTCCTCATTCCATCAGAATCCGTCAGGCACTTCTCCGTTCGTTGTTGAAGTTCGCACATGTTATGAAGAATATAGCTTCCGAGTAAATAAAATAAATCAAAATAACAAAAAAATAATTTAAACATATATACATAAAAAATAATAAAATACAAATAAATAAATAAAATAAAATACAATAAAAGAATAAATAAAAAAAATAATATAAAAAATTAAACAAAATAAAATCAAATTAAAAAAATAAAAAAATTGGAAGAACATTTTATCACCATAAAATGTTCTTCCAATTAAGGACCACCGTCCTTAATAGTGAAAAAGTAAAATCTCAACGCAACCCCTATTGGATAAACGTGACTGCGACCAAGTATGCGCGATTCTGCAAGGGTCATAAGGGATCGTATTACGGCAGTCTTATTGCGTACGCGCTCTGGTCACAATCGTAAAGGTTGCTGAGTAGACCACCGGCAGTACTAGTGAGTTTTGGCGTAATAGCGCACGTGCAGTGGCCACTCATTCAAATAGAGTAAACTTGCCATAAATCATTAAAATTTATGCACGGTGAGATCCTGGACTTATTGCATCTTTATTTTATTTTTTTAATTCACTTTATTTTATTTCTTAATTTTTTTAAAGTTACCTATAGGTGGTCAATTCCAAAACACTTCAGCATAATTGACAATTGTTGTACTTATTCTTTTCTAAACTAACTGAATGTCATAGTAAGCAAGTTTGTAAGGTGGGACACTGTGGGTCCAACTAGACAATTAGGTTCAACAAAATTTGAAGAGAATGAATAAAATGCCTATTGTGGGCTACAGGAAAAACACCCATAGTATGTGATGTATAATTTTTTAATCATTGATATTACACAAAACATGCTTTAATAACAATAAAATGTATCGATTGATAAATATACCTAGTGAATATTATTTAATATAATTAATTAACTTATTATGTTAATTTACACTTCAATCAATAGCCTCAAATTATTTTTCATCAAACTTCTGATTGACTCTAGAACTCTATGAGACCTAGGCGATGCCGCATTATGCCATCTACTGTATGGACTAAAGAGCCCATTTTAAATTGTGTGTCACTAGATGTACTTTAATTTTTGTGTGCTAGCCTCGGCGCTAGCACATTGATCATTACAAGATGCATAATTACACTAGGCATATTTGAAATCCTTACCAATCTTGTGCCTCAACATACTACTTTAAAATGTTTATTATCGGTTGCAAAATCATACTGACCACATTATAAATCTTTGGTAGTTTTGTGTGTTAACATATGTTTTTTTAAATAGAATTTGTTATTGGTTGAATAAACACAATGAGAGCATTTTAAATTCTTGACAGCGTTGTGTATTAACTGATGATTTTTAAAACTGAATTTGTTACGTGTTGCATAATTACACTGTGCACATTTCAAATCCTTGACTGTAGTCATATGCCTTAACAGATGTGTTTGAAAATTGCCCTTGTTATTGGTTGCATAATCACAATGTGAGCATTTGAAATCCTTAGCAGCCTTGTGTGTTAATAAATGGTTTTTAAAATAGAATTTGTCATGGGTTGTATAATCACACTGTGCACATTTGATATCCTTGGCAGTTTTGTGTATTAAAATATGTCTTTGAAAATTGCATTTGATATTGGTTGCATAATTACAATAAGAGCATTTGAAGTCCTTGGTAGTCTTATGTGTTAATAGATGTCTTTTAAAATATAATTTGTAGTAGGTTGCATAATCACACTGTGCACACTTCAAATCCTTGACAGTCTTGTGTCTTAATAGATGTCTGTGAAAATCAGATTTGTTGTTGGTTGCATAATCGCAATTTGAACATTTGAAATCCTTGGCAGATTTGTGCGTCAACAGATGTTTTTTAAAAAGATGTCGGTTATTAGTCGCATAATCACACTGCGCACATTTTAAATCTTTGACAGCCTTGTGGCTCAAGAGGTGATTTTTAAAACTGAATTGATTATGGGTTGCATAATCACACTGTGCACATACGAAATCCTTGGAAGTTTTGTGTATTAAAAGATGTCTTTGAAAATTGCATTTGATATTGGTTGCATAATCACAACCAGAGCATTTCAAATCCTTGACAGTGTTATGTATCAATTGAACCTTGACGGTTTTGTGTCTTAACACATGTGCTTTTAAATAGGATTTGTTATTGGTCGCATAATTACAATGAAAGCATTTGAAATCCTTGTCAGTCTTATGCATTAACAAATGTTTTCTAAAATACAATTTGTCATGAGTTGCATAATCACACTGTGCACATTTGATATCCTTGGTAGTTTTGTGTATTAAAAGATGTCTTTGAAAATTGGATTTGTGGTTGGTTGTATAATCACAATAAGAGCATTTGAAATCCTTGACAATCTTGTGCGTTAACAAATGTATTTTAAAATGTGATTTATTATTGGTTGCATAATCACATTGTGCACATTTCAAATCCTTGACGGTCTTGTGTCTTAACATATGTTTTCTAAAATCCCATTTGTTATTTGTTGCATAATCACAATTAGAGCATTGGATATCCTTGGCAGATTTATGTGTGAACACATGTTTTTTAAAAAGGGGTCGGTTATTAGTCGCATAATTGCACTGTGCACATTTGAAATCCTTGACAGCCTTGTGGTTCAACAGGTGATTTTGAAAACATAATTTGTTATGGGTTGCATAATCACACTGTGCACATTTAAAATCCTTTACAGTTTTGTGTATTGAAAGATGTCTTTGAAAATTGCATTTGATATTGGTTGCATAATCACAATGAGAACATTTGAAATTCTTGGTAGTCTTGTGTGTTCGTAAATGTGCGCGCAAACTTGATTTATAATTACCTGCAAAATCACACTGAGCACAATATAACAATTCTTCGGAATGTCCAATCACTAATTTATTTTCCCGCTGGACCTTATTTTCATCCCAACTGCTTCTAACATTAGAATAATCCGCATTAATCGTACTTTCGTTTACTTCGCGCTTTATTGCTACAGAGACGTCATTGTTGAGTAAAACTTTATTATCCACAGAGGCAATTATTTCTTCTTCTTGTTTGATTTCAACTTTTATAATCGCAGACATCACACAAGTTAGTTATTACAAGGGCGAACCACAAGTCCTTTTGGACATAATACATAATCAAAAATTGACACGGTGGATTGGTAACTTGGCCTTGGACATACTCTAGAGTCTAGAGCATAGAACAACAAACTTAGAATGGAAACTCTAATGAATTTAAAATGACGCGCCATCTCGTGTATGTTCTCAGCAGCTTTTGCGTGAATGGCGCCAAATTTAAATATTAAAATGTAAGCTACGTCCGCATTATACTGCATTTCTCCGGATCTGTAAAGCCGGCGCTACACGATGCTATGAATGACGATACGAACGTTTGATCGAACGTTCTATCAAAGGAGTTCGGCAATTCATGTGGCACACATGTTCTGCTACACGGTCGTGGCGATTGTTTGATCCCAACGTTTAGAAAAACATTTGTCTGTTCGCGCCAACTCACTTCATTTACAGAAGGATTATTATTTGAATTGCTACGAATCGTGTAGCTGGGTATCAAACCAACGACTGATTTTGTTCAAACGTTCGACACATCCCTTTGACTTGAGGTAATTTTACCGACACCGGACGGAACGTCTTCAAACACGAACGTTTGCCGCTCGACATTGGAAGTAGTAGCGGACACATGATGCGTCAAACTGTCAAACGTTCAGCGTTGGAAGGTGTTCGTAGCATCGTGTAGCGCCGGCTTAACAATAACATTGGATTTGACTAGCTGAAACCTAAAAGGTAAATGAATCCAGCCGGTGAAGTCCAATTTTGTTTGTTAGGGATCCAGATAAATTCAGTTTAATGCCGATGCACCTCAGCAGTCAGGGGCTTCAAAGAGTACAAACCACTTGATTTATAAGTGACAACTCCAATTAATCCAATCAAGGAGTTATATTTAATTTAATATGGATATACAAGATACAAGATCAACTTCATGGAATTCTACTTTATGATGCTCTCAAGATCGTTCTAAAAACAAAATATGTAGCAATTTATTACAATTCAATTAGTGTTACCTACTAAAGATAATGTGCGAACTTCCACACGCTTTAAACCTCTTCGTGTTCCAGGTTCTAAAGCGCAACCAGAAAAATGACGTTCACAAACCAAAAACTTTTGTGTAGATTTCTTCCACATTATATTCTAAACCAATTCTATTCGAGAAGGGAAGTGATAACAGATGGCGCTACCACAAAACAAAATGGGCGGTGTAAACGGGGTTAAATTGTGTTTTGTATGTATCGTATCATATCCAGTGAAACACTGAGGCACACAACAATAATTCTTGCTCTTATTTTTTTTAAAGAGGACGAATTTAACGTACATTCAGCCATAATGCTTATTATTTATCCCGTTTAGGTTGGTTACATATTTCTCCGCCACGTGTCGCGTCGATCTCTCCCCTTCTCGAATAAAAACTTGGGGTCACTAGTCACTAGTCACGCTAACTATGCGCCATCTATTGAATGTTCTCCAAACTAATTATATTTGTACTCAGTTGTTCCCGTTTACGTTTCCCTTCTAAGTTTTTTGTTCTGGGGTCTAGAGTGGGGTACGCTGTGGTGCACAGGTTGTTGATTTACGGTGTCTAAACTCTATTGCCGCTAAAGTGTACTGTTACCAATGAATAAAGACTGTTACCGAAAGTAACAATATATATCTATATCTAGTGACTTTAGAGTTACCTAAAGTCCCTAGATTACTAAAGTAACACGAATACCAGCCATTTTGGCTTAGTTTGGGAACCGCGATATTGGAAAGTATGTATTTTGTAGTCGCTCTTGGATAGGGCGAGTTTTGTGAGCGTATGATTGAATAGCCTTTAACATCACAAGAAATATATAGTTGCATCGCTTCTTCACTTAACATAAAACCCTTGTGTGTACCCAATTCTAATACCCAGTGCATTGATAATGAATCGCGTTACTTTAGTAATCTAGGGACTTTAGAGTTACCTACAGTGTTACCGTAATTCTCAGCACGACTTGCAAATATAGATGGCTGTAGTCGTAGACCGCATAAAGCTCGGATTATTCTTTTTGGGAGTAAACAAATCGATAAAATAAAATAAATGACAAAAAATAAAAATGTAAAATAATATAAATAAAAAAAATAAAATAAAGTAAAATAAAAATAAATAAAAATTAGTTAAAAAAATAAAACAAAATAGAAATAGAATGTTTATACTACAAAGAAGAATAAAGCCTAAAACGTCACATAAAGGTACTTTCGTCAAAAACCGAATTCTAACATTTCTGGGTATGTACAGTACACAAATTTGTATGTTTGTAAATATAAATAAGAACGAGAACTATTTTCTTCCACTAGGCGACAATCACAATTATTCCACTCGTAACGCTCAAGTTTTGACGGTTCCATTCCATTTTACAGCCAAATATGAAAGAAGCCTATTATACAGGGTTATTCTTCAAAATGAATACTCCAAATTGGTATTTATTGAAATATACGTTCAAGATAAACAATTTAAATACCGCATTGAAAACGTATTTTTCGATTTTTCTAATTCTTAATTGCAAGAAGAAACAAACCCAGCAAAAGTCTAGGCGGTAGCTAAATTCGATCCACACACGAGAAAGGGTAACTTCTTTTTACATGAGTGAATGGCACCAAAAATGTACATACGGTTCCGCAGATCGACCAGTGTAGGTAGAGGTAGGACGTAAACAGCCTCCTTAACGTAACCCCATGAGCAGATATAATAATCGCATGGGGTGAGATCGGGAGATTTCGGTGGCCAGTAGCTTAGAGCCAGATCTTGATTTCCCATGCGACCTACTGGCGTAGAGGTTAAATTTATATATTAAACTTTGAAACTTCCTCTTTCCAATATGGTATTTAAATTGTTTATTTACTTTTATAAATACGGATTTATTAAATTGAGGTATTCATTTAGAATAACCCTGTACAATTGTGTAAAGGTATTTAATTGCACTGCCTTGAAACATTAGAAATAATACTTAAGCCCGTTTGTAACTATCCCTTATTTAGACAATTTTTAAATAATTTTTTTAGAAACAAAAAAATTGAACATTTCATACATCAACTTTGATCAATTTTTTGGTAGTTATTTTAGGAACTGAAAGTTGTCCTATTTTTGTAATGTTTAGAACCTGTCCTATTTTCCCTCAATTTTTTAGTAACTTTTGACAGATTATAGAGAATTTGTAAAATTAAAATTAAATTTATATTCATTTTTAAAGCTCACTATAATACGTTGACAGTAGATCTTAGTTTACAGAAGATAAATATTTAGTCTCCAGATTTAATATAACATAGGTTATGTACAAATGTTTACATTTTACAGGTACTAAAAAAATATTATGGAATGTTACATACAGTTTCATCATTTATGACATTTTTAGGATAGCTTTATCTTTATTGAAGAAAAAAAAGGACTAAAAATTTGACTAAATAAGTGATCGTTACAAACGGGCCTTTATAGAGTGAACTATTACGATTGTTTTATCCTAGATGGCCCTTACGGGCTTACCAGAGGAGTTACACTTAGATCATACTAATACGCGTTTTCTTTCAATGATCCAAACGCGTTTGGGTTGTCAAATCGTGAACAAACTGAACATAAAAGTTTTGTGATTTCTTTATTGATCACGAACTCCTAATCTATTAATGCAAGGATATTTCTGCTGAAATGTTAGGTTAGTTTTATATCTGTAACTGAAGCATAATCCTGCAAGTACTTCCACCTACCTATATTTAAATAATTTTCATAATTCAAACAAAAAATACGTAATTCGAATGCAAATGTGTACTACGCCGTAAACTTAACCATACTTTGATTTAAATTCGCGCGTTCTTTCGTAAAACGTGATCCTACGAATCACGATCTTGAAATCATGATCGGGAAGTAGCCGAATGAAAGTGCCTATTCGCGAAAATCATCAACCAATAGATGGCGTTGAGACATGCAAAAAATTTGAAATAGGAGTGAACAACAAAAACTTTTACTACGGTTCCTATACGTTCGCGTGATTGTTTACTTTTGCATTTTCGTTCCATTTGCTTATTTGATTGTGTTCAACCCTTAGAGGAAACAGTCTTTATCAAGACAATTGTTAAACGCACGTATTGGAGTATAAGTAAGTATCAAAATTGAAATATAATAATAACAGCACTCTGTTTGTATGCCTTTTGAAACGGTAAAAGAACAATGTGGTTGCGGGACATCAAATGGAATTTCCAATACTTTTTGAGCGCTATTTGCAGAAAGGACATTATCTTCCACTGCTTCGATGTTTGTTTGATCCATTGTTTCTAATTCTTCTAGATTTACATTGGTATTATCGGACTGTAATCTACAGGGTACGTTGTAGTACCTATACACATTAGGAATATTGTGTAATGTCTTACCATGGTCTATCACTTCGTTGTACAGGGTTTCGCACTGTATCATGTGGTCTAACTGGTATATTCTGTGATGGTAAAACATTCTTTTTAAACGTCGCCTTACAGATGTCGAAGATGCTGTAAAGTTCAAATGAAACACAAAATTGTTTACAATGAACCACTCACCTGTATAAAATCTTCTGGTCGAAAATGTTTACTACATACAAACATATATTTACTTATGGGCTTTCCTATCCGCAATTTAATCTTCCACTGCTTTCGAAAAGTTAAATCCTCGGGAAATTTGTGTAGAGATACCTCACTTTCACAATATGTTGAACACTTTGGAACTGAACAAATTTTGCGAGATTTTATACACTTATTTTTATAAACGTTTTGCATTTTAAAAACTAATTTGAAGCCCAACTAAATGTGAATAATAATAAAAAGTCAAACAGGGTCAAGTTATAGCACAAACCCAAACAGATTCAAATTATTTAAATTTTGATAAATATATAAGGCACGGGAAATAACACATCTCCCAAAATGTATATATGCAACAAAACGACGGTGTTTATAAACAAATACATGAATAAATTATTTAGTAAACTGAGTACGTATTCCACAAATAAACACGGTATTAAATGGGAGTATTTTTGTTTTCACTTTAAAAGCGCTTACAAAAAATTATAATAGATGCCGCCCACTTCGTGATTTTCGCGAAGGAGTTACACCCAGAAACCACTGAACCATTATTAGAAATCCGCTCCTTACTGAGTGCCCGGTATGTGCGCGCGCTCTGTATCTCATATTTTGGAGCGTCCTTGAAAGTTTCTGTGCTGAACCAGAGACATCTCTCTCCATGTCTCTGTGCTGAACGCGCTCATTTATCCCGCGTTAACAGTACATAACCTCACCTTTCAAGTTTTCAAGAGTTTTTCGCAAAAGTTTCTATTTTAATATTTTACTTTTAAAATTAAACATGGATATTCCTGGTAATTCCAGCGAGCACCCTGATTCCGAAGATGACTGTGTGATAATTTCAAATTTGTTAACGAAATCCACAATTAGAGGCTGTATGCTTATTTACTGTAGACCATAATTCTTCATTATTTCTTTCAGATCACTACCCTAAATTAACAAAGGAGCAGTATGTAACCCCCGAACCGCCGACAAAATTAATGAAGCCTTCCCTAGCGATTCGAAATGATTTAACTACCACAGCATTTCTTGACTTTTTTCATCAAAATTATGTAAATAGCGAATATGCTGTAAATGATAACGTAGAGATAGTTAAAGAGCCCTTCAAAGTTTGTGTTGTTCATAATTTTTTAGATGATGAAGCGGTGCTACTCAAAATTCAAGATGAATTTAACGAAATAGAGTGGAACAAACGAAGTTTGGATTTATACGAGTTCTTCCAATCGAAAGATTTAAAAGACGTGCATTCATATTATGTTTCTTGCATGTATGAGTTTTTAAAGAATGATGTTAAGGACTGGATACAAAATCTGACCGGCATGGAATTTGTAAACATATCGGCGACGTGTAGCTTATACACCCATACCGATTATCTACTTGTACATGACGATTTACAGGGTAGCCGAGCGATCGCCTTTGTTTTGTATTTTTCTGGACCAGCAAGTTGGAAGACTGAAAGTGGGGGAGCTTTACAATTATTTGAAATGGACTTTGTGGGGGAACCTTCCGACGTCGTTCGAAGTATTTATCCTCGCAATAACCAATTTGTATTTTTTCCTGTGTCTACGAATTCGTATCATCAGGTTGGTAAGGGATTTAAATTTGTTGTGTAGGCTCAGACTTATAGATATCAAGGAGAACAAGTTAAAAGTATTAAATGCAATTACATTTATATTAAAAACGCCTTGTATTGTATTGCGTTAGGACTCAACTTTCTCCTTATTCCCTCTGATGTTTGGGTCTAGGTTTGGGTGCACCATTTCAATTGTTGCTAAGATAATGACCACCGACTAATTGTAGGTTGAAGAAATTGTCAATAGAGAAGACTGTAGGATGAGCATCAATGGTTGGTTTCATACAGTAAACCCATTATGCGAGAAGCCACCACAGCCAATCTCAAATACTACAGTCTTTACCGAAGAATTTATAAACCCAAAGTTAGTAGATTTAGATTTAGAATCATGGATACATCCAGACTATCTTGACTCTGAGACAGCCGAATCTATTCAAAAGCAGATGGAAGAGGAGTCGGAACTCTCTTTGCATGATTTTATAAAAACAGATCAGTGGCAGCAAGTGGTTGCAGATTTGTACTCGCCAGGTAAGTTTTAAAATAAACGTTGACTCACTGTACATTTGACTGATTTAGATCTTGAATGGGATCATGCCGGTCCTCCAAACCGACGATCATGTGATGTGCTTTGCAAACAGAATTTGCCCGACAATATTCGACAGTTTATTGACTTGTTTCTCTCACATGAAATGTTCGTTCTATTAAAAAATTATACAGATTTAGATTTTAAGCATGTGCGATACGAATTGCAACGATGGGGACCACAATGCTATTCTGTAAGTATTCTCCAAATGGACTGAACAAGAGGAAAAAAAATTAGTGTCATTCTTTATATAACATTTTTCTCCTGTACAAAACAAATTTATTTTTAGCTGCCAAGTATCTTACAGCCTCTGCCCACTGTTCAGTTCTACATACAACTCCTTTGTAATGTTGGGGCATCATACATTTTATAAAATTTTTTCTTTTTTGTTCAGTCCGGAGACACACTGTACATTATAGCCTGATTTTTATAACACTTGTCCTTAGCTTTTAAGTGACTACGACTGGTCGAACAAATCTGAATTGGATTTAGTTCTCTACCTTGGTTTGCCGGATACTGTTCCTATGGTTGGTGGAAAAACGATGTACATTGCTGTTGAGGATCGCATCGAAGAGGCTCTTGTAACACTTGATCCGCAAGAAAACTGCTTAAATCTTGTTTTTAGAGATACTGCTCGCATAACAAAATATGTCAGCAAGTGTAATCGGATCAAAACATTTTTTATGCTAATTTGTTCATATTCTGAATAAACGTTTTCCTGAGGTTTTCACACTGTTAAATGATTGAATGAATATTCCAACATTCACTGAGTAGAATTTGCCCGTCTCGATCTCTCATGTTCTCTTGCTAAGCATAGAAAATTACCAATTAACATTAAGGTTCTAATACTATTGTTTATTCGTTAATGAATATTATTAGAAAAGGAAAGAGACTTCATAGTCTAAGGAATAAACAATAACATATAAGTACACCAAAGATAATATCAGTGAATTTCTAGGATAATTATAAATTCAATGATAATATCACAGACCGTCAAAGTTGGTATTTTTTAAATGAAACACCCTGTATATTTTGACGTCAATTTTTTGCATACTTTTCAAAATTTTGAACTGACATGTTTCTACCGTCAGTCATTTTTATTGATTGGATCTGCTGCCATAAATACAATAAAAAAAATCATAATCTCCATGAATCCATAGTCATCTATTTTAAAACCGTAAAAAAATTTTTATTTTTGTTTCATAGCTAAAATTAAAAAAAAAACATAGGTTGCGGATACATCACTGTGATCAAGAAAAAGAATTCAAGAAATTGACGTTAAGCTATACAGGGCGTTGCATTTAAAAAATACCAACTTTGGGTTAAATCTCAGAAACGGTGGGCCAAACATTTTTTTTTACTATGCCACTGGGATTCTACGTAAAAATATCTAAAAGAAAATAAAACTATCTTTAAGATTAGAATCATATAAAGCTTTGCAGGTGTGATAATAGGGTTGCCACATTGATTGCGTTGAATTCCAGGACACAATCCCTCTGTGAACCAACATTATATCCAGGTAAAAATATACCACATTCAAAAATTTAATGGGTACTACCTTGATTGTCATTTTCATAATTTTGGCCAAAAATTGTTGTTTTTTGTTTCTAGTTTTTTTTATTGTTATTTGTTTTTTTAATGTCATACCTATTAATTCAACTAGGTACATGTTTTTAACGCATAAAATAAAAAGAACCAACAGAAAAAATATTTTTATAAAAAATAAAATAGAATGTTAAAGATGTGACAATCAAATTTAACAAAAGCATGTTTTTCTGGAACAAAAACCAAAATATTAAACAAAAAACTGGAGAACGCGGCGTGATTGGTTGAATTAGTTTACTATAACCTCATACAACACACACCGTATGTCATGATCTCGCGATCGAGGTTTGTGGCTATTTCTTTTGGTTCATGCAGTGTCGCCACTATAGGTATTCGGGTTTGGGCAAGTGTAAATTTTGAATCAAAACGTTCCGTTATTTTTTTCCAGGATTTATATTTTTATATATGAAAAACCGGGATCCGGGACAGTGCAGCTAATTCCGGGAGAATCCCGGCCATGTGGCAACCCTATTGTGATAATGTGTTCGACAATAGAACAATTGATAACATGGTGTTTACATGTGGTACAAGTGTTTAAGTTCCGGAATGTGCGCGTCATACAAAATAGAGAAGTGGAACGCGATAAGCGATTTTAAAAAAAGGTGTAGGTACTAAAAAGAGACCATTTAGATTATTTAGCTTTTGTCATCGAGAATTGGCGTCATTTTCTTACCTTTAATTCAGATTTTACCTTTGGATTTGAAATTTGAAAATCTTTGATATTGACAGCTAATGACAGCTAAACAGTTTAGTTGGCAAATGATACTACCAACTTAACAAAATATATGACTCGTTTTATTTTTCAACGGAATACTGGCTCGTATTTTAACCAATCACAGTTACAGTGTAGGACTGAACGTCAAATCTTCCCTATGGTTTCTACCGCTACCATCATATAATAATTGAGGTGTAAATCATGTAATGTAATAACTGTTGTCAGTTTATTGAAGAATACATTAAGCTGCATTAAAGAAGGTAGACTATTTGGAACTCATGACACTATAAATTGTAATGAACGATCAACAAAGGATGGACGTCTAGTCGCCTTTGGAAGTTCAAGTTAAATATGCTTTCCCATGAAAACAAAAATTCCAAAGGTGACTTGATAGCAACTCTTTTTTGATAGCATAGTTACATAGTATAAACAGATTTCTTGAATAAATGGAAAACAAGTATAAATATTTGTCTTGACTTTCCATAAATAGGTGTAGCTTCGCGTGCACGGGCTACTTTAAATTAATTATAAGAATTACAATTGCAACCCCACTAGGTAAAAGGTATAGGTACAAATTTAATGATAAGTGCGGTGGGTGCGACCAATGAATGGGCCCATTTAGTCAAAGAATAATTACTAGTTAGGTACTCTTTGATTTAGTCTGAATACTAAATACGACTGTGTTATTATTTAGCGTATGGTAAGCGAGATGCGCCGGGTTTCGTATTTACACAGATCTACACATACAATTTACGTTTCGCTCTAACTCGAACGGTTTGGCCTGTAGAAGGCCTCAAAGTTAGAAAATGCGAAAATCGCCTTGTTCACGACGGGCGCTCCGAGTCACGCAGTTCCCAAACGGGACCATACAATTGAATCGCACCCCGGCACAAATACGCTCCTCCACATCGGCCAAGATCTCAGAAAACCGCAATAGGATCTTTGGCTTAGTTTTCGAATTACGAATTTTTTTCTAAAATTTTCAATTTTTTCGCTTCTTATGGCAGCTACCCCGAAGGATGCAGGAGGTATTTTCTTACCTTACCTTACCAAAAGTCGCGCCAATTATCTAAACTCCTCGTCCTCGAACCGGAGCCCCGACGTCCTAACCCCACCCGTATGGAAACGGCAAATTTTTCTCCGCGGCCGCGCACCTCGGCGACGATGCTCCCCATTCGCCCGGCGAATTTTCCCAGTAGCGAAATTCTCAGAATCGATGCGAAATCGTTTCGAGAATCTCTCCTAAAAATTTCGTCCAAATCGCCGTACGAATTCCGAAATTAAAAATGAAAATCGAGAACTTGCCTGAGTTTACTATTATCATTGAATATCCAGAGGAGTTGGATATTCAATGCTATTATTAAGGATCCTCAGATCCTTTATAGTTTTGTGTTGTCGTCCGTCCGTCCGTCCGTGTGCGCTATTAAGGACGGACGCTATTGATTTTCAGGAAGCTGGTTCAACAGAAACAAAAGTTATAGGGTTTCGAGTGAATCGGGAACAGGAAAAACTGTGGGCTCAATATAATAGAAATCAACATATTTCATTCCCTAGGTCATGTATCGAGTTCGGACTTTCGCTAGATTATTCCCTATGACTCTTAGATGTGTAATAATTTAATATAACTCTTCTCTGTTGTATATGTCAAAAGTTTTAGAGCCAAATGTACCCAAAATTATTCTTTACACATAAATTTGGAGTTGTAAAAGCTTTCAAACGCATTATCTTGATGCTGAAAGAGTACATCACGTGCACATTTGATAACCGCATGTGTGTGATTCAAAGATGTTAAATTATTTTTTGAGGTCACATAGATTTTGACCAAAATATGTCAAAATCGTTATTTATGCACCAAGATCGTTGGGAAAAAGACTAGGGGCATTATCTCAATGCCCAAGACATGAATGTGATGGATTTTTGGCGACCACGTGGATTTTGATTAAAACATGTCAAAATCGTTATTTATGCACCAAGATCGTTAGGAAAAAGATCAAGAGCATTATCTCAATGACCAATACATGAATTTGATCTATTTTTGGCGACCACGTGGATTTTGATCAAAACATGTCAAAATCGTTATTTATGCACCAAGATCGTTGGGAAAAAGACCAAGAGCATTCTCTCAATGACCAAAACGCGAATTTGATCTATTTCTCGTGACCACATGGATCTTGATCAAAACATGTGAAAATCGTTATTCTTGCACTGATATCGTTGGGAGCAAGATTAAGAGCATTATCTCAATGACCAAGACATGAATTTGATGCATTTTTGTTAACTATAAAGTGTATGACTTATGTAAGATTAATATAAATTGTCGTTAAAAGTGATTGTAATACTGAGGATCCTTCGATATTTCGTTGTATCGGTTTATTTCAGTATGTATGTGTAGATCTGTGGTATTTAGAAATAGGAAATGTGTACGAACCAGATTAAAAAAAATGCTCATATTGTCAATTCTAGCAAACTTGCAGGGGCGGGCCTTGTTTGGTTTACACACTATGCAGTAAAAAGTTGCACCATGTGATGTCGCACTACACAACAAAACATGATTCAAAATTAATTTTTAAGAAAAAATTATAGTTATTTTTAAAACGGCGGTATTTTTACTAAATGGGCCCATTGTACAAAATGAACAAACCACAATGTGAGTTAAATTTTCAAGGTGCTATCACTTAGTGATAAAATATTTACGTATAAAGATCTATTACTATTTTCTCACAAATCGATAAAATTCTTCATAGTTTTGATTATAATCTCTAGGTAGTTGAATGTCCAACCGATCGGCCGCCATGTAGGCAGCCCCAACGGCCATAGTTGTGGTCAATTTGACCAAAGATAATTGCCTAACGTCGGTTTGCTCTTCTATAATTGGTATAAAACCCTCCTTCAGCAGATCCCAACTCAGCCAAACAGATCCGACGCAAAGCACCTGCAAACCGTGCTCTCGATTAATTAATTCGTCCGACGCTTTCGCTATTACGACCGCAATACAGCGCGCCAAGTCGCGTCCCGCCGTTTTAAATATATGTTTACAAAGTTCGTCACCTTCACCCGCGCACACGGATAACTTTTTGGAAAGACCGGCGATGTGGTCTTTTTTAAAATTCGTATAAAAATGAGGTAACAAATCTAAATGGGAGGTTACTCCGAAGTGCTCTTGTATTGTTCTCCAGATTACGTCGGTGGAATATGGCGCCTTTTTAAATTGGTCGTTGTCTTCGAAATAGCACTTGACTGCCTCCAAAGCCATTCCATACGCTGCAAATAAACATTTAAGTCATTCTGTTGCAAAACAAGCCAAAGAAAATGTGCAGCTAATATTGGCACAATGCCAAACATGCGTCTATCTATACATATAAAAATGCTTCTCATAAACGCAGTATCTTTATACCTATAACAACAAAACTATTGGATATTTAAAGATTAAAATAATGTAAGTTAAAAAATGTCCACCTATTTAGTTTTTGTAAATAGATTACCATAAAGGCGGAAACAAGAATATTTTATCTGACGGTCAGATAGGTTTTTGAAACAAGATTAAAAGCCTACGCACTTTTGCGGACCACGATAACGCATTTTTATATTCGACTATTTATCACAATAAAATGATGAAAATGAGTAGATTTATTTACTACCAGCATGGACTAATTTTTTGTAGTCTATGATGGCCAAGGCCGCCCAGACAATTTCAGGAGCCTGGGACAAAGTAAATTTTGGGGCCCTGTTTTGGAATAGAAAAAATTTCAAAGAAAATGTTAATGTTAATGTGCCAACGGCAACTCTATTGCTGTTTCATTCATCCTCACAGCAGAGTTGGACTGGGTCACTGGGTCAACTGGGTCATTAAATTAAACTGGGTCACGTCGTACTCTTTTCAGTTAGACCCAGTGACCCAGTTTGACCCAGTGACCCAACTTGACCCAGTGGCCCAGTTTGACCCAGCGACCCAATTTCACCCGGAGACCCAATTCGACCCAGTAACCTGGTTTGATCGAATAACGCAGTTAAGTCAGTGCCCTCGGTTCAAGTGTAGAGATTATGAAATAAATGAAATGCTGGTTTGTTGAAAATAATACTCGATTGCTTGACAACTGCCATTTCTGTGATGTTTGCTTTAATACTGCCGTAAAAAACTTTCCATGTCACGAATTGTATTAGAATAATGTTATTTCTAAACAGTTCCCTCCTTCGTTTCTTTGCTTCAGGGCTTACCAGTTTGCTTACAGGTGTTCATTCACATTTAATTTTTTTCTACTAGTTAGCTTAATCCAAATAAATCTTTTCTCTAAATACTTTCATTGACTACTTGACTACAAACTATAAACAAATGCATTTGATTTTTTTAGGTATTAGTTCTCTTGAATGAGATTGGGCTACGTGCTTGTTGGCGAATATTATTGAGGAAGTTTTTTTTAAAATTAAAAGTTACTTGAAATTGTTTTGGATGATACCTAACAATAATTTAATTACTGGGCCACCGGGTCAAGACGGATCACTGAGTAAAGCTGGGTCAAGATGGGTCACTGGGTCAAGCTGAGTCACCGGGTCAAGCTGGGATACAGGGTCAAACTGGGTCACCGGGTCAAACTGGGTCACCGGGTCAGTAAACTAACTGGGTCACCGGGTCACTCTATGCTTGACCCAGTCCAACTCTGCCTCACAGATCCACGGCCAACACGGGGGCCCTTTGAAATCGGGGGCCTGGGGCAAATCGCCCCAGTTGCCCCCCCCCCTCTGGGCGGCCCTGATGATTGCAGTAAAAGTCTAGGGTTTTTTTAGTCTATGCTACCAGTTTCATTAGAAAAAGAGGACCTGGTAGGCGTCTAGCGGTTTCGTCATATTTTCAAATACGGATATCTCAAAAACTTGGTGGAAAAATTAAATATCTCAATGAGACGCGTTTATCTGTGCCATCCTAGTAATGGATTTTAACCGCAAAAACAAAAAAATCACTCCATTTAAATCAATGGCGGTACTGGTAAGAGAAAGGTATTACTTTTTATGCAGTACCAACTAAAATTTGCACCCCCTAATGTGTCGGTTTCCGGAAAATTTATAAAAATGCTACAACACGACAAATTTGTATTGAAGAGCCACTAAATTTTAACTGGGCATTCGTTTGTTAAAAAACAAGACAAATATGCAATAGAAATCCCGCCTGGTTACTACACTCTTTGTTGTGGTCCCATATTTTTCCGGTACCGAAGTGCAGGCCGAGTAATTAATTAAAAACCGAAATAGTTCCAATCGCATTTGTATTGAATACAGCGAGGAGCTGGAAATTCTCTATTCCCCAAACTCCGAATTTCTTTATAAACGCTTGATTTTTTAAAGATCTTTTGCATTTGTAAGTACCGAAATTTTAACTTTACTTTTGCAACCGTAACGTATTTAGATATTGTGCCACATTTTTAAGCACCGTATTAATCTCTAGCATGGTCGTAAATTCAATTTGGATCTGTACTGTTTTATTCTGCTTTATACATTAAGTTACCCGTATTCATTGGATTTGTTTTGGCAACAGTTTCTAACGCTCCGTTATCTGCAAGGTGAACTTACATTACTTTCCGTTTCGCCAATTAAAAGGGGGGAATTATTGCTCGCTTTCCTGCAATTGCTTTTCCACCGCTTCTACCGATTTGAGCTGCGTCGCTTTCGCTCCCGCTAGAGGGAGTCTGCCGTGATTTTGTTTTAGTTTTGCCGAAGTAACCGCCGTCGTCTGCTGGACCCTGGAGCTACCGTTTCTCCAGTGGAGTTTACCCCAGAGGCTACCGGGACGCGTCGACCCACCCACCAGTCCGAGGCTACCGCCGACCTCGACCAGGCGCGAGATTTTCGCCTGATGGCGCCCGAGTCCGTCCGTATCAGCCCTTCCCTGCCACCACTCCACTGAAAGCCCAGGTTTCCGTTGGCTACCGCTGCTGTACTTAATTACAATAATTTGTTTATTTATTCATATTGATTTGGAAAAATAATTTTGTTACTATCGGATTAACACTCGGGTTCAATAATAATAATTATTATCATTACTATTTATATCTTTTATAGATTCCATTCATCCATTTATTTTTAAATGGAGGAGCATTTTTATAAACAAAGAAACTGATTCCATTGACCTACCGCTTCCAGCATCGCCCAGTATGTGCCCCCAACCCCCACACTGGACCTTTGATCCGTCTGGATTGATTAAAATTGTATTCGAGCCGGTACCCGCAATGCATGTAATTCCACCCTTGTTCGATATGCACGCAACAGATCCGTCCGTATCGCTTCCGATCGCATACCGTTCGCTTAGACAGGGAAATGTCTCCAAGAACCCCCTAACCAACTCTTGGTTTGTTTCCTCCTGCTCACAGCCGCTTAACGCGAGCCCCTGAAAGTACAGTCAATGATAACGAAAGTGTGTTAATGTTCTACTTAAATCGAACTTTGACGTAGTAGCGTAAGTGATAATAATAAGTACGGGTTTTACCAAGAACGAAAAATTTATTGCAACAATCTAGAGCAATAAACAAACTTACAAGAGCTGCCAAAGGGACGTCGTCCGGTAGTCCAGCTTCTCGTTTAGCCTCATTGACTAATTCTGCTATCCTTCTCCTGCACTCTTTCATTCCTAATAGAAAATGGTTTGTTCCGGGTCCTTTCGCTTTTGACAATATGCTCCCGCGGGAATCAAACAGGATTACCGTTGTATGAGTTGCGCCCCTAAAAAGAAAAAAAAAAACATCATTTTTAGGCACTGTGGCATTTTAGACTTGACGCATAGAAAATGTTTGTTGCAAACTTTATTTATGTACGAAACTAAATCATCTAAAAACCGATTTCTTAAAGAAAATTATCTTCTGTTCTCCGAGGACCGAGAGGGTAGGAAACCAAAATTCCGTTGCGGCATTTCTCTAATTTTTATTTGTAAGAATACTAAAAATTGCTTGATAGTAGAGAGAGCCGAACTCGGCTTCAATTTAACTGAAATTAAAGATGACTTGATAAGTAAGTATATAGGGGATGTGGAAAATCGGATAGGAAAATTTCAATTTCGCAATCACATTACATGGTGGTACGCGACGCGCTAGTTATCGATTCGCATTAATTGACAACATAGTAAAATTATGTTAAGGTTAACAGTGCACCATATGTTAAGGTTAACAGTGCACCATATCACGCGTATGTAACTACCGGTAGTTAAAAGTAGGTAAAAGAACTGACATGGCCAATTGCACCGTCAAAATTAAGTATCTCTTAAAGTTAAGCATAACTTAAATACCATGGCAACGATTGTCTTTAATAATCGTTGCCATAGATTTTAAGTTCTACTTAACTTTAAGCAAGGCTTAATTTTGTTGGTGCAACTGGGCATGAGATTCCTTCCTAAGCGCGCTGGAATTTCGCAATTTTTTTGTTACTATGAATTTTGATGGTCGGCCAATTTTAATCTTTGTTTGCGCTTTGGCGTCAAATCCAATACTGCATTTCCAAAAATGAAAAAAAGGTTTTCGCCTTAAGGCGAGTAATTTGAGCGCAATTTCCATGAATTGATTGATCAGTACTTCCCGAAAGGTCATCTAACGGACTATTTGTGTGTACAAAGGCATAAATATTTATAAGAAACTTAGTATTGCGGAGTCTGCGCATGCGCACCCTTGAGGTTTAAAATCTGCGATACCTTTACTAGAACAATCTTTGGTTAAAATTTCAAAAAAATCTCTATAAATAAGAAAATTTACATTGTGCAGTCTGCTAATGCGCACATCTGATTTTTTACATAATTCGATATGTTTGACTTTACTAGAAGAATCTTTGGTTAACCTTCCAAAAAAATATCTCCATAAACAAGAAAGTTGATTTTTACAATATGCGATATGCGTGTGTTTACTAGAAGCATCTGTGGTTAAAATTCGAATAAAATATCTCCATAAATAAGACAGATGACATTGCGCAGACTGCGCTAAAAACGAGGCTAAAAATGAATGTGGTGGGAAATTAGTTGTTTGTAGAGAGTCGTGGGAGAAAAATCCGTAAAAGTTCTCGCGTCGAAGTGTGCGACAGAGAAAACAGTTTCCGTTCATAAGCGCGAGGCAATGTGCGTTAAGTCACGAGACCAGCCACGTTAAGCGGTTCGACACAGTTAAGTTAAACACCCTATAGATTACTGCAGAGTGGTTTTTGAACCAAAGTTATCTTAGATTAATTAAACATTTTTTAAGTTCTTTTCACTTTCCTTTTACTGTATTTACTTCTCATGCATCGCTTCACCTTTTATTGAGCAAAGTGTCGTCCCGAGGCGACGCACAGTGACGAACTGCAACGGCTATTGGAAAAGCACGGTCACCAGTTTACTAATACAGAAACGCAACTCACTCTGATGGAAAGAAAACACGCGAGACCGTAAAGATATCTTTAGTGCCCATAGTGCTCGAAAGAAAGAAGTTACGGGTAACAGTGGTAGGTACTTTTTTCCAATGCACCATTTTTTACAAAGACACCCCTAGGGTTAGATGTCATTGAAGAGGCCGGAATCGTCATCAACGTGTTCGTATACGCTTGATCGTGCCGATTTCTATTATAGAAAAAGAAGTTTCTCTGCAAGAACTCACCGTAAACCCGTTGCAAGAGACAGCTACAACAAACGGGGCGGTGCACATGCTCGAAAAGTACCGGCTTTCCATGCTACTCACCCCACTTCGAGAGGACAAAAGTATGGTGCACACTCCACTATCAAAGACTCCAATCAGTGAGGAAGCCGAAGTAATCTGGGCAGGTTTGCCAGAAACGCCACCCACTGTCGTATGGCACTTACACACCATCAGCTTAGAAAACTAGAAAATTGAGTTCTACCGTCTCTAGGAAAATATTGGACGTTGACGACCAACCAGTAATGAATTTGGAGGTTTTGCTCTTGAACAACACACCTCTACCATTAAAACAGGAAGAAGGAAGACATCTTACCCAAGATGAAAGAAGGGCGCTCGAGCAGCTACTGTTCCAAAATGAAGAAGTGTTTGAGGCTCTCACAGAACCATAACGAAACGCCCAACACCGGATTGACATCGGTGCCGCATTTTTCGTATCACAATACCAGTTGTCACATTCTCGAAGACTACAACTAGAAAAGGAGCTTCAAATGGAAAATTCACGTCTGTACAAGTTCCGGCAGCTAAATCTGGCAACTCGCCCAGATCATTGTCCTTTACCCCCATCGATGACTTGCTGCACGTCGTCCAGCACACTGGTTATATTTCCACAATCGACCTGCAGTGCGGATACTAGTAGATCTAGATCTAGCAGCCTCGGCTGAAACCCCGCCCACTTAAAAATAAAGGCAAAATAAAAAAATAAAATAAAAAAAAAGATCAAAGTTCACGAAAAAGGTCATGACAAGACAGCAATCGTTACCCCCTCTGGAATGTACCGGTTCCGACGGGTGCCTTTCGGATTACGGAATGCGCCTTGTACTTCCAGAAACTTATGGACAGGTTTAAGAGAGAGACAAAGAGTGTAAATTTGGATGATCTAAATTCTGCTGTCGCCAGCGCTTGAAGAACACACGCAAACCGAGAGTTCTTTTCCTACTCGTGCAGACAATCAACAGTGTGTGCGCGTGTGGCCCTGTAACAAGAAGCCAAACAAAAGAAGGAAAGATGACAGCAATCACTACCACCGCCGACCAGCTCAATGAGTTTATTAAGGGATGATCCGCCACCAATACCGAGGAAAAGTGGAAACCCGTTGCACGGTTCGTTTTGCGGGGAAAACAGATCAAGACGTCAATGTGTTTATAGGAACCATCGAGATGTATAAGGAATGGGCCCAAGTTAACGACACTATATCACACATCCATTATTTTTTTCCCGCCTGTCAGTTAGTAGAGTAGTAAAAAACAACCCCCTACTTTTTTTACGGAAATACATCAAACAAAATCTCGATTATGTCCGTCGGTCTGTCTGTCTGTACTCTCATTACCAGCTAAACGGCCGAACCTCGGGCCGAACCGATTGGAAACAAAGCCATAGCAAATTTTTGGTAAATGGATGCACTGGATTGCAAAAAGACTATTAAATTAACGTTCATTTTAAGGTAATATGAAGTACTGTGAAGTCTCATGGTCGTCAAATATCTTTCGTAATTCGTAAATTGAATTATATACACGTGTAGGTAAATTAACTTGTACTTATGTTTAATGAAATAGCACGGGGCAGATAACGTTCGTTTAGATTGAACGCGGTGTTCGCCATAAAAATGTGTATTTGTACATGATTATGTGAACGATATGTTGCAGTTAATCTGTAAGTGGCACGCATTTTTATGAATAGGAATTGCAGCGCAAATCTTCCAGGTAACGTTGTCATACAACTCATTTGGCATTCTCACACGATTAGGATTTTGTGCGCCGGTGCACCATCCTGTTGAAACCAACAAAGTTGCCAACTTTTTTTGTAACGTATATTGTTGCATTCGTAATAAAAAATGCGCTAAAAAATGAAACGACCACGGACAGCATTCACGGCGCAACTCGCCTTTTGCTCTTGGGGACAAGGAGCAACACTACAGGTGGACCGGTCGGGAGAAAATTTAATATCACCTAAGAGGTACGAGGGACCCGCGTACGAAATTTGAACAAAACTGGTGAAGCTCTTACATTCGGACGGACTGGCGAATAGATATTACGATGTACGATCTCATAAAGTAGGTATCGTACTTTGGTGCCGCGAGCGTAAAAATCGTTGATTGGAACAATAAAGGCCGACGCTTACACCGCCCAAGTGGAAAGCAATGGGAGCATAGTTTACTTGAAAAAACTCCCTGAGTCCCTAAGAGAGCTCCCCAATCTCTAGCTATAGAATATTAAAAAATCTCACTTCACGTCTTATATTGAATATCGAATGCATCGCAGCATGTCTTTGAAGAAGTTGTTCTGCGATTATTTCCTCTTCTTCCTCGATGTCTTCCAGATGGAAACACAGCAACAGCTTTCGGTCACATTTTGCTATATTAAAATTTTCAAGTAAGAAGTTCAGTAGTCAGCGGCTGCCGCATTCATAGAAAAGCCGCACCGCTTCTGACGCGTCATAGGTAACGTACCTTTACCAAATCTGTTTCAAAAGAAATAGCAAATTTTAGCAGAAACCGTAGTTCGTTTTTGCGCTCGACCGCAAATATTGCTTTCAAACAATTGAACTTTTCTAATTACCCAATCGACTGTTTTAAAGGCCCCTCTTACTCTTACATAAACGCATCGAATATCCTTTTGAATTTCCGTTTGGTGATAATAACGAAAAGCCTTCACGATATTGTTGATATTTCGTTTATTTTAGTAATCTTAATATTAATTTATTACGACAATTAAGTTATGGTAATTTAAAGATATTATTGTACCTCAATTGTCACACTTCGATTAACAATATTTAATTATAGTGGAGTGGGAAATATCGAAGAAATTACCTATAAATTTAAACTTCCTTTTAACCTTGAAGAAACAATTAATAGGAATTTGTCTTTGGGATACTTTCACGTAATTAAAAAGTGAATGTAGTTTAACGAAAGTAAAAAGGACAAGCAACAAGGGATCCGCGTCTGGTTAAATTTCTTGAGCCAGACAATTTTTTTAGCGCGCGTAGGTCACTGACGAGGGTCGTCGTAATCGTAATCGACGAGTTTGTTGTAATTGGAAAAACGAAATAAAATTACAAATGTACAAGTGAAGTACAGAAAAAAAAACTGAAATCATACCCTTCAACTCCTCCAATTACGATATTGACCATTTTACAAGAACTAGGTAAATCAAAGGTGCGAAATATCACATGCTATTTTTGCCACGGCGGATTTATAAAAGCATACACATCGTACGCATCCGCATCGAACGTAAGTTGAATGACTGTCGAATAGGAACTGCGAGCGGTATACAACAAACAATTCCGCGTTCAATTAGAATATCTTTTTGATAAGGCGAATTCACTCGAACTAAAATCCGAATATTCGCACCCATTTTAACGTCATCGACTTCGCTGCAATTTGGCATTGCAGCTATTACAATTTACAAACAAAACACGTGTAGGTATGAGGTTATATAAGATCACGTCCCACCTGCTCGTAAACGCCGATTACAGTTTCCATTTTGCAAAAAAGTAACGGTTTCGCACAAAGAGAACTGTAATGTTTTCTACCGCATTGATCTAGCAATGCCATGGGTTATAAGATGGCGCACGTAGCATGATAACATATTTCATTTCCAAAATTTTGAGTAGCAAGCCCATGGTCTGACCGAACTTACTGAGCTCTTCCAATTCCAACAAAGAAGTTGTTGTATAATCGGTCCGTGAAGTTCGCAAAACATTGGTGGGACAAATCTCGATTGGTCATTACGAAACCCCTCCTAAACTGTGGTGGGATTTTGATGAAATTTGTGTTATGTGTCTGTGCATCCCCAGGAAAATCTGTGTTCAGGAGCGTTTCCGGAACGGGATACTAATAATCTGTACACCCAACAGATGCAGTTAAGCCACTCCCAATAAGTTTTGGCCAATGTAATAGCAGACCCGTTTCACAGTCATAAAAATCGGGGAAATTTAAAATCGCATGTCACATTGTATGACTAAAAAGTGTTATGTTTTGAATATTGACCTTTCAACACAGCGGTGCATAGTTTCAAATTGTTTCTTAAGTTCAAAAAGATTATTTTCTTCGTATAAATAAAATTAACGGCAAATTGAGGTAAGGCAAATACAAAACGCAATGACAGGTTTGACGTTAAGGATGCCAATTAAGATACGGCAATTATAATTGGAAACAAATAGTTGCGTGTGTTACAGGTTTTGAAAATTCGGCCAATTAAAAATGTTCATTTAAATTTGCCGGGAATTTTTTGGGAGGAGCTTAACTGCATCTGTTTGGTGAACAGAGCTCACTATCACTGCCGGAAGTGAATTTCCGAACTCCATCCTTATTCAGCGCACCGCTTCGCCGAATAGAGCCGAACACCTACTAACTCACGACCTTTAAGCCGAGTTGACATGGAGCGTGTATTACGACCGTGATACACGTATTCGTGAAATTTTTAATTCGTGATGTCACGAAAACTGGTGTATTGGTTCGTGGAAAGGTTTACACAGAATAAACATTTTTGTGTTTAGTCGTGAATATGCAGTCGTTGGTAGTAGAGGGTTGTTTAGTTTTGTGTCAGTTATTAGCGACAGAATTAGCAAAACAACAGAATAATAACAACAAAGTACAAGCAAGAAGGAAAAGGAGGTGGTGGACCAGAAAGTGGATATTGGACAGGAACTCTGGTGGGTGCTCGCTAACCAAGGAACTAACTGCATATCCCGATGACTTTAAAAAGAATGTTAAGAACATATATGTAGTCTTTTATACATAGTTATATGGTTAAGAATGTCCGAAGAAAGTTTCAACTATTCACTCGAAAAAGCGATAATGACAACGTCACGACTAAATTCACGCTTAAAAAATCAAACGCCTTTGATTTCATTCGTGTCGTGTCACACTACAACTTTAGACGATCATATTTCGCGACTCGAGTGTTTACACTAGTAGTGATCTATGGTCATGACTTGCACGACCGTGGACTACGCCCCGTGTCAACTCGCCTTTACCCTTGGATGAAAAAATAACTGCTTGCAAGTCAAAATTTATGAAACCAACATCAGCAGCGCCATCACAAGGCAGTTGTGCGTTTTGTGAAACGAAATTGACACACATCAATTTTACGAGATTTAATTTTAAGTGTTTTATAGTGGTTTTATGTAATTTTGTGTTAATTAGTTTTGTTACTTTTATATAATTAATTAAAAATGGAACGCTGAAGTTGTTTTGTAAAAAATTGTGATGCAGTTTATAACCTCAAAAACAAGGACGTTAAAACAGAAACGTTTTCCGCATAAGTAAAAAAAAGGTTAAATCGGTTTCTTCAATTTTTCCAAATCTATCAAATGAAAATGTCGATAGTTTCTCTGACCAAGAACAAGTTGAAGAAATGACAGTAGATGAAAATGCACTTGTCCTTGCAAATTTCATATTTAGAGCCTCAGATTTAGTTTCTATTTTAGTCATACCCAGTGATGGCGATGCAGATGTTGGCTTCAAGTTTTATATTGAAATAATGAGTTCGGCTCTATTCGGTAAAGCGGTGTCCTGAATAAGGATGGGGTTCGGAAATTCGGTTCGCGGAAACCAATATGACGTATTCTTGAACACTTTCCTTAGATCATACATCACTTTCCCAGTATCGTGAGAAAATAATACTGCGCACAGAGTTGCCAAATACTCAAATTTCATCGAACTTTTCAAATTATATGTTCAAGTTGGAAAACGGAGTAATTTAACCCCATTTTTCGATTTTATACGTCAGCGGATGCATGTTGTATCTACACACTGTCTTAGTGGTTTCATGTATTACAATTTGAATAATCTCGCATGATGTTATTCAAGATTATATCATTGAATTTATCCACATCCATAGTGAACGAGGAATACAAAATTTCCACACTTTATAGCTTATGTGGTTATAATTAAATGACTAATAAAGTAGATGCTACGAGTAAACACGTAGAATAAATGTTATCAAGAAGCTCTTGCCGTAACTCTAAATTAATGAAACAAATTGAGGTTTGAAACCTTGGCGGGAATTCGTTTTCTCCACCGTAAAAGGCAAGGAACATAGAACTCACGGGGGAACATTCACTTCTCAATTCAGGTTTTCAAGAATACGATATTCGCTGTTTTAAGGTGAACTACCGCCACTTCTCCTTGAAGCTTTCCTCCCAGATATTCAAGAATACAGGCCCAGCTGGTTTAGATTCACAATGGAACCCGACCGGATTATAGGATTTTTTTAAAAACCTCTTTTTTCGTTGATGTCGCACTCTGCTGTTTTGCGCACCGATCGATACATGCGCCAGATTACTTACCCTGCCTCGTGCCGATGTGCAGTGGTACCAATAAAGTCAATATTGATTAAAGACAATTTAACAAAAATTAATTATTAACAAAAAAAAACTAAATGTTGACATTGAGGGATTTATGGCAAATTGGCCAAGAACTTCCACCTGAGCTACTTCATTAAGCAACCTTGATTGCTTTCTTTTTTATTGATAATAGATCCCGTTTCTTCGAATTTAGCGACCCAATCTTGAACATAGGCATGGCTTAATTTTTATTTTTTTTGTTAATTATAAAAATTTTGTTAAATTGTCTTAATGAATATTGACTTTATTGGTACCACTGGGAAGCATTTTTCAGTAGCCTTTCAACGATGTGTCACAAGTATGGCGTTGCCATTTAGGCTTTTTGAAGAGGGGGGGATTGGGGGGTTAATGGGGGGTAGGGGGTTGTCACTCATAACGTCATTCTGGTTTCCCCTCGATACACCCGAAACGGTTTTGGGCGATTTTCAATATCTCCTTTAGTTTGGAAAATATGGCCGACTGCGTTTTAAAATTGACACCCTGTATATCCGTCAATATCGAGCGTACGAAGTCGCGGGGAAAATCTAGTCTACTATAGATTTTTATATTATGTTCATGCTTACTTCGCACACTGACTTTTGTTCATCGCGACTAGTAGGTGGATTAGTTAAGCTTTTCAGGAGCGACACATTGTGAATATAAAACTTCGGTCGTAAAGACGCTCCATCCTCCAATTACGATTACGGAGAACAGATTGTACACAGTGCACATTTTTAGAAAGACAGAAAATAGAAAATGTAATGGAAATACTGTAAATTAAGTTTTTGATAACTTTTAAGAGGGTGCTATTTTGACTTTTCGCCAAGCCTTTTTGTCTTGTCGTAGGTTGCCCCCTGCTGAATCCGCCACTGGGTTTTTGTCAGTTTGTGTCATAAAGGTTTTCCTACAAAATCAATCGTCTCACTTCTACATGTTCTGACAACTGTGCACACCTTTGGTTTGGTTTGGTTTGCTTATGTGCGCTGCTTTGAAGAGTTTGTGCCAAACATAACATTCCTGAAAAAAATCGTTTGATAGATCACATTTTTCATTTACTAAGGTTACAGAATTGCGCAAGGATGTCTGTATTTAGCGGGTGAGGCTAAATAAAATGCTGTCGTGTATTTAGAGAATTTATACTCACTCAGTGACATGGAAATTGCAACACCAAGAAGGAGCGGGAATTTTTTTACCAAACTTGGCAGAACCGTTTAACTACTAAGAAAGAGGTAGAAATAGATTAAAACTTAGAAAACTCGCAATTCCTATAATTGAAAACCGTATTCTCAATAATGTTCATGATAAATTCACAAAGAAAACGAAGAAAAACTTGAACCAAGTTTCTTGAATAAACGCACGCACTCAGAACTATCTTATAATAATAATGATAATGGTGCGTAGATTATCTAATCTCCGCTACACTACAATCTTCAGCACTCATGAGGAAATAACCATAGCGCATCTACTTGCCGACCGTGTGCAATTGAATTGTGCACTTCCCGCCAAAACATTTTCCAGTGGCGTAACTTGGGATGGAATACCTGACAACCTTGGGACTTGGCGCGTAAAGTTCACACTCATTGTTGATTTCTCTTTGGCATTAGATATGTTACAATACAATAACAATTGTAGCAGGTATTCGGAAAAGATTTATACAAATATATTTCACAGTCTCTCGAAAATAAATCAACAATAACAAAATTCTAAACTACAAGTAAATCACAATTTACAGTTTCACAATGCAATAAAAACTGAGACAATAACAAACATTAAGAAGTCACTTCATTTTCAGCCGCGTTGTTCTCGCTGTCATTAGTTTTACTACTTTTGTCCCTTTTCCCACTCTTTCTACTGACCGCAACTTCTCGATCTTCACTCTTAGATGTGTCTTGGTGAACGTCTGGGATTTCAATTGGAGCGGGAGTTACCGTATCAATGCTACCATCTTCTTCGTTAACATTTAATCCGATCGTAGCACCTAATTTCGCCGACGCGTCCGAGAAGGTGTCACTCAGCTTGACTTGAACGACGTTAATGCACATACTCATGAGGGCCAAACCGAAAACTAAATAAATGACGGATGCCATCATGCAGAAGGGGTCGTTCGGCACATAGTCGCCGAAACCAATCGTCGACAGTGAGATGAATACGAAATAGAAGGAGCCGAAGAAATCCCACTTCTCCCAAATGCAATACATAACCGCGCCCAAGAAAATATAGAGCACCAATATAAAAATGGCCACCGATATAGGTAGATTGAATTCGTCGTCGATTTCAAAATGTGAAAGGGCTGGCGTGGTAGGGGTTGCCGAATGTTCTGTTCCAGGCGACTTCGGATTTTCGGCGTCTTGGGCCGACACAAACATTGAAGGTTTTCGCAATCTCGCGATGTCGTAAACCATTTGTGCTCCTTGAAGAAGGTCCTAGGAATGTATATCATAGTATTAGTGCGCAATGAAGATGAGCCTCACCTGCACATGAGCCGTCTTTCGTACTTTTCGGCAGCTTCCAGTGTAGTACAATCTACGCACGAAGGACCAAACGAATTTGATGCCACGGGTGAACAGCTTGCCGAAGTCGGTCAATGCAATCAGGAATAGTGGAATTCCTATGATTGCGTAGACAATTGTGAGAGCCATTCCCGTGTTTGTTGTAGGGAACATGTGACCGTAACCTGTAACAAAAATACTGGGTCAGTTGAGGTTTCGCGACTATTTGGAAGGGGATACCGATAGTGGTCACGATTGTTAAGCAGTAGATGACACCGTTAAGGAAGCTCCACGATCGCTGTCCGCTATAAGTTCGCATGCCGGCTTCGTGAGCTACATGCAGCTGTTCTTCGAAAACGCGCAGCTTACTACGCGCCAGAGACTTCCACTCGTCCTCGCGTAGGTTGTGGCTGCGGTACCACAACACGTCAATAAAATCCCTCTTCACTCTTTTAACCCCGCACTTGTAGAAATTCTCGAACGCCCCCTCCACGTATTTAAACATGATTCCACCGAGTCCACAAAAGATCATAATAGCTAGCAGATCTGATACGCATTTATTCCGTAGTCGCATAATCTTGTCCCACTCTCTCCACCTCTCCCTCTTAAACTCTTGATAAAGTTTATAAATTTCCCTTACGGACAAGTATTTAAAAATGCAAATTAACCCCCTCAGAGTAACACGAAGCTCTGGGACCCCTCTCGAGATCTTCTTTACCACTTTTGACGTTTTCGGATCGAGTATCTCGATTATTTTCGGAGACGGGCTGGGTTTCCTTTTCGGAATCGCGTCTGCGACTTTTCGTTTGGTTACCTTAGGTTCGTCGGGGATATGTGCAGGTTTGGGCTCGTCGGCGGTTTTCCGAAATGAAGATTTGCGAATGGGAGCTTTAGGTACATCGTTCGTGGTTCGTAAGGAAGATTTTCGTGTCACGATGTTCAGTTCATCAAACTCGAGTAATTGGGAAGGTACGGACTGGCTGCGCTTGGCGATTTCTTTTTTGGCGTTCAGTCCGCGTTTCGCTTTGTTCAGCAAGGCCAAGATCTCATTTTGGGTCGTACTTACTAGGCTGTTTTTCTTTTGATCGTTTGGCTTCGGGGTGCTTTCGCGAGGTTCGAGATTATCAGGGTCGTTTTTGACTTTGCTCAGTTTTTTACGTCGGCGTTCGGGAGTTTTCGGTTTTTCGATTCGTTCGTCTTCGCTGCTTGTGTTCTCAACGACATCTCTACCGGGCGTTTGTTCTCGCACTCTATTTGTGTGTTTTTTCGATAATGTTCTTCGTTTTCGCGCAACGGTATCACTCAGTATTTGTTCGGGGGTAACTAGGGCTTTAATTTTATTTAAATCGGTCTCGTCACATTTTTCCACGTCATTCACCGGTAAATTGTTAAGAAATTCCGTGGATGCTTGCAAAGTATCCATTATTTCTAGACTGAGTTTATAATTAGAACCGCGTGCGGTATATCTGAAATTAGCAAACTTCGTTGGCCGCGGCTGTAAACAGATGGAGCTCAGTTTTGATTTACTGAAATTTTCTATATCAACAATTCCCACGTGATTAATTACGAAAAAAACGCATTACGGTTGGATTGAAAGCAAATCTGGAGTTACTCGGGGGAAACTGATAAAATATGGAAACTTGTTTGCCATTTTTGTTCTCGTTTCGGAAATAAACGGAAGCATCAATCATTTCTGAAACGCGAAAGTATTTCGATTTTATTTTGTGATTTAGAACTACAATCCTAATGTCGAAATTCCATTTGATAAGCCAACGCAACTTTTCGTACGTTTCAGATAAAATTAGAACAACTACACACACGACTTTCCATTGCTAATTTTAAACGTGGAAGAATCTTGTCACCTTTGCCTAATTTAAACCGCACGAGATTTATTGTTTCTTCAAAGCGTTCACCGGCAAACGGATAAAAGTTTTCTTCTGAGTTATACAGAGAACAAGTAAGTTTCATGCTAGAGGCAACGGCTTAAATGACAGGTTTCACACAACATCGTTTCTGGAATCTGGATACCTATTACTCTACCCTTTAGGTGATACATGATGGATGATAGTATTCGTGTTAACTCGCTGGAAAACTACTCAGAACTTGTGAGAATATAAACTTTCAGACTACATCTTAATCAGTCTAAACTTCGATGAGAAAGACGTAGAACACTTTGTTCAGTTTCCAAAGGAAGGTTAAACCTTCACTCAACGGTTAAACCCTTGTCTTATTTTACAATTACTAAAGTGTATGACTCTGGAGGCATCAATTCGTGAATTTATGTTACAGAAATCCACGGTCGTTAAAAGAAGTCCTAATTTAGGTACCTATAATATTGATCATTTGTTTTCCATTCACTGCCCACTAAGATAGAGCTCTCTTTTAGAAATACTTTCACCCTCATACCACTGAAGGGAGTTCGTTTTCCATGTACTGGTATCCTATCATTTATCTAACTTTTATTTGCGATTGTTACAAACTCCCATATTAAGTGGGTCTATATGGCTCTATGCAATTAAGCATAGCTTTAGCCATATAAAACACAATTCCAACAGTTGAGCCTAATCACAGATTTAAATATTTAAATCTGTGGCCTAATCGATCAGCATTCACAGTGCCCTTTGCGCATCTCGATCACCGAATTGCAAACTTTCTTATTTATGAAGCTATTAAAATGAAATTTGGTACGTAGCCACTTGGAATAAAAGCAAATTTAACGCCAGTTTCAAAATTTGGTTTTGCGCATGCGCAGTGCCAACTTTCGTATTTATGGAGGGATTTAAATGAAATTTCATACAAGCCAATTGGAATTAAAAAAAATTTAACACCAGTTTCAAAATTTGGTTTTGCGCATGCGCAGTGCCTACTCTCTTATTTATGGAGGCATTCAAATGAAATTTGAACCATAGCCACTTGGAATAAAAGCAAATGTAGCGCCATTTGCAAATTTGGTTTTGTGTAGGATGTGCAGTGCTAACTTTGTTATTTATGGAAGCAATTAAATGAAATTTCATACATATACACTTTAAATAAAAGCAAAACTAACATCAGGTTTAAAATTTGGTTTTGCACATGCTATAGCCATACCCAGGAGCTCGTTTGCTATATTTGTTTATTTTATTGGATATCGTGTCGATAGAAAGTTTTATAATACTGTACTTTTGTAACGCCAAACCTATGTTTTTATTGCTTGTAATGGGCAGTTACAATTGTTATAATAAATAGAAAAAAATCTCAGAGCTCGTTAATTCCACCCTACCGTTGCGCGACAATTGTAACGGTAGTTACTGAAATGTCGGCGGGTAGAAAAATGTTAAGTATTGTAACAGTTTAGTTTATTCATATTCAAATTTCAAAATTACCGCTTGCTAGGTTAGGTAGGATATAGGTGAGATGGCGTCACTTGTACGCGTGTTTCTTTCCTCGCGCAGAATCGCGTTAATTTTTCACTTCATTTCCGTTTTAAAGCCAACGAGGTTGTACTTGTTGTAGAGCGTGGCATTGTGAATTCTTCTTAAACCAGTGGGTAATATTTGCCATCATTCATGTGAAATCTCTGGCAATTTTACCTTTTTATTGGCGTTGTCGAGTAGAGTAACTCAGAAGCCGTTTTCTCCATTGCGAGGCTATATATCTGGTGGAAGTTCATCGCCCTACCTACATGTAAGTGAAATGGCGTTGATTTTCTTTTACGTTATGTTATCTAAAATTCTTTCAGACTCACAATTTGAGGTTGGATAATTTCCCTATTTCATTGATTTAAGTATTTTTCATTACCCTCCTGACGATTTCAGGTATGTTATTAAAAATCTCGTTAGGGAGTGTTACATCTTCATTACTTTTAGGGGGTCCATGTAGTAGACGAATTCTTGTACCGGTCAATCCATGTAGTAGATGAATTCTTGTACCGGTCAATCCATGTAGTAGATGAATTCTTGTACCGGTCAATCCATGTAGTAGGTCAATCCTTGTACAGACGAATCCTTGTATGTAAATGAATTTGCATCTTGCGAATATTCCGGAGTACGAACACCTGTTGATTGCCGGCAGCTATCCGGCGTACCACGGAGTAGATAAGCGCTAACACCTAAACGATACCGGGAGCGACCAGCTGATTGTGGAATTTTCGGAAGATACGATCTTTTACACAACCTTTTTTTATTTGCTTCAATACCGTTAATCTAGTGTAACCTTCCGACGATTTATGATTGGAGCTTTGTATTTTGTTCGCATCTAGTGTTTGAGGTCGTGGCTCTCTTCAAGAGCAACGCACCTGTATTTAACGTATGGGTAAACGAGCCGGCTACGAGTAAGCTATTTTTTTTTGCCCTTCCGGCTCATATAATCGTTCCGAGCGTTGTAGCTTGGGGTTTGTTTTTGTGTTACAGAACTGGAACTTCGAAGGAGAGCTCTTTTTCGGAGAAGACAGCGTATGTGTTATTCAAGGTAAGATTTTTAATTTACTTGTACCCAGTGTTGCCTATATGAGTTGTTATTCGGGTTAACTTAATTCAATCTTTGAATCCATTGAAATTTTAACTACATTTTTGCTCGATCATTGTTGTAGGGGTCTGGTAACGTAATTATTAGGGAAGTGTTCATGAATTTATTTGGGGATTATTTTTGTCATTTAAAGTATTTGTTATTGTCGTATTGAAGATACATTTTATTTGCGATCCTGCACCGTTTTTGCCAGGATTAATAAATCAGAATTGCTCGTAGTGAATTTATTATTTGGCTCTCTTGTGTTTTCCCAATTTCTATACAGGAGAGGTCAGAATTTGTGCAAAATTGGATGGCGCTCAACTAATCATTTCTAGTGACTACCAAAGATCAAAAACTTATGTTATATGCCCAAACGAACAAACCGCTGTGGAAGATTCTCATCTCGAGCCCTTCTTTTAATTAAGAATCTGAGCTAGCTGGCCGTTTATGCGGCGGGGTTTGAGTTTTACAGCGCCGAACTAACCTCACGTTATAGTATATACTTTTAATTCATATGAACAAAGTAATGTTATTTTGTTGTAAAATTATGTCGTCGGATAGCTCGCTATAACAGTATTTTTTAAACAAAACTTTTCCAGGTAGAAGAAAAAATTACAATCGTCGTACCTCTGTTTTAGACGCCTCAATAGTACACAAAGACAAACATCTAAATTTCAAATTATTTACGTCTAGTCAAAAAAATTGTGCATTTATTTACAGACCTTTGTAGCAGTAGCAAAAATAATATTAATTTTGCGTCAAAATCAAGTAGAGGTTGTACGCAATTATTACCGCTTTTTGAATTAAGCTTAGCGCTTTCGCGAGTTATAGTGAAAATAGCTACTATATGACGCATTTGTTCGCGAACATTCTAGAATATTCGGGATCGTTCGAAAGCGTTCGAGAACTTTCTAGAAAGATGAGGACTGTACTAAATAGTACTAGATTACAATAAAAAATATCACTTCTCTTTACTTTACTCTAGTGGAGCCAGACATATATCCACATGCATGCATTTTAAATTCTTTTTTGATTTTTTAAACCTCAGGGCTCTTCTGTATTATTCAACTGAGAAAATCTAAATGTACAGCACCCTTAAAAGAACGGGTCTATTGCTCGAAGTACTATTGATCCACTTGGCCGATCCAAACGATTGAAAATGACACTCGATACAAAATCCTATAATATGTCACGTATAATGAATGTCACCTTTGATTTGAAGTTCAAATACAAACAGTAAACAATTAGTTAGGTAATAATAAATATAAATAATTAGTTGATCTGACGGTAAGGCTCTTTTCACAAACGACTGACGATCCATCCCGATGATTAGCTCTGACGCGACAGGGCCATTGTTTAATTTTACCTTTTCACATGTCGTGCGTACCATCAGTCGACCGATCAAATACCGATAGAATAATTAGTGCGGTAGAAGAGATAAACTAATTTCAGATACGAGATCAGAAGATTTATTAAACAAGTTGGAAAGTACTCGATCATGCATCAAGCTACTTAAGCGACTGATTGAAGTTTCTTCTCTTTCAAAATATTATCTGAATTGTGACACAAAGCAAATGCTTCAAACCCGAGCACCTTTGCAGCCGACCGACCGCCCGGCCGACCGAACAGCCAAAGTGAATATATAAGCACAACTTTTTTTCAAAAACGCGCTAAAAATCGGGAAATAAAAGGTACTGCTTGGAGCGACAAATCAGAAAGCGACAACAACGCGTTGCTCCACGATCTGCATGTACCTTTTTGCGACAGATCAACGCATCAAATGCATGTGAAAGCAAGATACTTCGACTGACCATCAGGACTGGTCATCAATCCTCAATGTCATATAAAGTTACTACTTGCGCACAATCGACTGCTTCAGACGCGCAGAGAGTTATATCATGAAAGTCCATTTACCTCGATATATTACGATGATAGAAGTACATATTTCCGCGTGTTTAAATTTATGCTACAGAT